TCCTCTGGTACGAACGACGGGCTTGAATTGGCCTGTACGTTTAGCTGAAAGCAACGTTGTATGTGACTGGTTTCTTGTGGTGACCTAGAATAGTGGTGGCGACTGATGGTTGTTGAAGCCTAAATTCTCGTCCCGGACCTAGCATCCGTGCCGCGATTGATGCCTACCAACGTTGAACTGCCATATAGCAAGCACTGTTTGTATGTTTTAGTACTAGTCATTGGTTTGTGATTAGTACCTTGTACACTTAAGTTTCCTACTCTGTATACAGGGGTAACATGATTTCTCGTTTCTTTTTCGGATTCCATGTCTTCGGACAGGGCACCTGGTGTTCTGTGTCCGAGTCTGCCCTCACGGCGGAGCGTGGGTCGGAGCGTGGGTGCGGGTGCGTGGGTGCGGCGAAATCCTATAGTCCGCGTTGAGTGAAAGTGACGGAACGTGTTTGGGCAGAGACACGCTCACAAATTATTCCCACGCCACAGTCGCACACCCCCGCCTTCTGGTCCGCGGCTCAAGTTACGCGACGTCGCGAGGCAACTCTTTGCTCTTCCCCGTCCCACATAAAAACTTCAGCTTTCTTCCACTCTTTTTCATCTGTCATTGCTTGACGTGAAAGCACAAACATGTCGTTTCTCAATTCCATCGGGTATGTTTCTGACGTCAACTACTGAATACTCTAAATGCTTATCACGCATCAATGCAGTCGGTCTATGCAGAGAAACCCTCGCGGGCCCAAACGATCCCCCACACCGACCGGCCAGTCCACCGACAACGTCTCTATACCCCCGCAGCCCTCCAGCCCAAGCAGCCCATCACCCAACAAACCTCTCTACCTCTGCAGCCCCTTCGTCGAAGCCGCTCTCGTCAAGGGCAACTTCAAGACCATCGTCGTCCTCCCAAAATACGTCGACATCATGGAGTGGGTCGCTGTCAATGGTGCGTCCTTGTACCCTCTATTCACGCGTTTTCCAGCGCTAACGCGAGCGGCACCATCTACGCACAGTATATGACTTCTACACGAACCTGAACGAATTCTACGGCGTCATCACCGAGCACTGCACCACCCAGTCCTGCCCGACCATGGCCGCTGGCCCCCAGCTCAACTACACCTGGATCAACCAGGATCGGAAGAACGTCCACCTCCCCGCCCCCACCTACATCGACTACGTCATGACCTGGGTCCAGAACCTGCTCGACGACGAGGCCGTCTTCCCCACAAAGGCGGGCCACGACTTCCCCCAGTCTTTCCCCGCCACCGTCAAGCACGTCTACCGTCAGCTCCTCCGCGTCTTCGCACACATCTACCACGCGCACTACAACCAGATCCTCCATCTCCGCTCCGAACCCCACTTCAACTCCCTCTTTGCCCACTTCCTCGCTTTCGGCCGCGAATATGAACTCCTTGACATCAAGGAAGTCAAGGGCGCCCCGCAGGCACTTGTCGGCGCCGGTATGCTCTGGGAGAAGTGGAAGGAATTGGGCATTCTCGACGGCTGAGAACTACGCCACAGGGGAGGGCATGAGGAATGATAATGATGAATCTGAGACGGACGGTGTGCTCAGGTCTGATCAGGAGGGACTGTGATGCGTTTCTCTTATTTTTCTTTTTTTAGGATATGTACCATAATCTGGAATTAACGCGTTCATGAACATCATTCGCGTCCTGCCGAGTGAGCTGTCTCTTGCGAAGTATCAAGTCGGGCAGCTATTCCCAACCCCGACTTTATACCGTTATGTAGGAGAAAGCTTCTCTTTATTTAAGCAAACGCGGCGAGACTATCACAGCAATCTTTACAGTCACATACTTCATTTCGATACTACGGTGCACGGGCTCGCTTTCATGCATGCCTATGCACGTCCTCAAGCCTTGCGGCAGGGCTCACCATACTTCTTCACAACCTCCACACACTTCTCCGGAACCTTGAATCCCTATCGTCCGGCAAAAACGGGGGTCAGCACTGTCCATACATCCCGACAGTCAGCATGCACAACTCACGTTTGTCCTCTCATAGTCGCCCGCCAATGGGCCCTTCTGCTCAACCTTCGCATCATCACCGAGGCCACGCGCAGCGAACGCCGCCCACAGCTCGCACTCGTTCGCGCCGCCCGTCAGGTGCTGGTCCGCCTCCAGAATGGTCCGGCGCCCGTCCAGGAAGCTCGGCACGGGGCACTGCATGAGCTTTAATCCGTTGATCACGATCTGCAGCGCGAGCGTGTTGCCGTGGCGCGGAACGGGCGGGTTGAGCTTGCCCGTGCTGGGGTTGGTCGTGCGAGGGAGGTAGAAGCTGTCGGGCCCTTCAAATGCGCTCGAGGGGAGCGAGCCGTCGGGAAGAGGGGCGGGGGGAAAGAGGGTTGTGGAGAAGCCGTGTTTGTCGGAGAGGATCGCGGAGGCGGTCCAGAGCATGTTGCCCCACACCAGTCCGACGGCATGGTCGACATCGTCTTCACCAGTGTACTCCGTAACGGTTTCGTATGTCGTTGGGTTAGTTGTGCAGCTCTAATCGCAATCATGTGAGATTCTTGGTACACGCAATTTCGACTCAGCGAAGAGGGAATCTTACGAGAGTGTAGGGGTACCTCCTCGCGCCTCCCGTATTATTCATAATCCAATCGCCCGTCACGTAGTCAGCGCGCGGATCCGTAGCGCGAACTGTGGTCGCAACATAGTCTAGACAGAAAAACAGCTATGAGGTTGGACCGGCGCGAGAGCATGCCGTGACTTACCACTCCAGCCTTCACTCATACCCTTACTTTCGCCAAGGTGCAAACAACCAGGCACCCCAGGCCCGCCGGCAAGCCGCGACGTCAGCCCGTGAGTTAGCTCGTGAATGACGAGGCCAGCCGACATCGCGCTATCCCGGTACGGGTCGGACATATCGAAGATGGAAACTTCGCATCGCCTAAGAAAACACCTTGTCAGCACGGCGATGGTCTAAAGCAAACTTGGGGAGAACACGAACCCGGGCAGCCCGTCTTCCGGCGCATTCATGAATCCCCAGTTGTACGCGTCGCCTTTCTGGACACCCAAGATGACGGGATCATTATCGATGCCTTTATCTTCGAGACCGACCTGGAAATTCCACTGCTGGAAATTCCCTGCAACTTCATCGAAGCCATATCTATTTATTTTTTAAATCCCAGTGTAAATGTGGAATGAACGGGGAGAGCTGAAGTAAAAGGACTTGCCGGTAAAAAAGGTCATGCACCATGTTCGCAGTATAGAATGCTTGCGTAGCAGATGCACCCATGTACGAACGGGCAATCTCGCGTTTCGCTGTGTCAGTATCGTCTGCAGATGCGACAGGATTATAGCCAAACTCGAAAACTCGGCCGCCGCCGTCGGTACCCTCGGCAAGTGTGCCCACAGGCCGCTTGTGGTCTGAATAGCCGCCACTCCCACTCCAGTCCTCCTGCACGAAAACCTGTCTCAATATTTAGCACGATGAGTAACTCTGGATCGCATGATGAGGATTATACAACTCACGTTATTGCCGAGAGTGGTGTCGGTAGTGTACCACCAGTTTTCTGGCGTGTCTGCTTTCCAGCACTGGGCGAACACTCCAGGGACTCTGCACTTGGGCATGGTATGCCAACCCGCACGAGCGGCAACAGAGTCAATGTTCTCCTTCTGCAACGACTGTGCTTCGCCGTACGGAGGGGCGGACGGATCGCCAGGGAGGATTCCAGCCTTTTTCAGCGCCTCCGACGGGTCATTGTATCCCCACTGGAAGACCTTGTAGGTGGAAGGAGCCAGCTTTGGCAGGGGGACGTCGGGAATAGGGCGCCTCCTTGGTGCAAGTGAGTCGCCATGCTGTGTGACGAACTTCCTGGATGGTGCAGAGTTGATGTCACTGCTATGGATAGTATCTGTGTGCGGATCGCCATCGGAAGCGTAGTCGACGACGGAGAGAATGCGGTGGGGTGAGCTGACTGAGACGTACGCCTCGTACGAGTTCAGTGGTAGATCGACTCGGAACTATAGGAAACAGCTTTCAACAGCCAGCTCGATCAATACATGAGGAGCAGACTCACGCGATGAGCAAGCGTCAGGACAGTATCCCCAGTATCGTCCGACACTTGAACGTACACAAGACGAGTAGCGACGTCATTGATGGTACCGGGGGCACCTGAGATGCTGTAGGCACCTGTGTCCTGAAGAGCGTCAACTTGAATCGCTTGCAGATGTTGACGTGGATTGTTGAGAATGGACTCTGACACAGATGGATCGGCGGTAGCAGCTACAATGAAATACAGCAGAGCGGTCTCTGCACTGGGTCCCAGCTCTCGGAATGCGTTAGACGATGTGTGGACGTGGGCGCAGTACGTCTCCACGCGCTTATTCAGAACGCGAGCTTCCTTGTTGAACTGCTGGCCGAGGTAGACCTGACTAGCAGCATGGGGAGTCTGAACGGCCAGCAATCCGTTCAATCGCTTCTGAAGACCCTCACAGTAGGCAAGGTAAGGATCGAATGTGGAGGAAGCACCTTCGGGCCAGGATAGCTGAGGACCGGTGTAGAAGGAGTTCCCATGAGACAAAATGACGCCGTCACGAATGTTCAAGTTGATGTGAGCGTTCGCGACATCGAGCCCGTTGACAAGCTGACGCGCGTATATGTGAGTAATGCCGCTGACGGCGTCCGTATATGAGTCTCCACGAATGATGTAGGAGACATCGGAGCCGAGCACGTCGCGAAGAAACGCGCTCGCAACGCTATATGGGTCGGAAGGGTCGATAGCTGTGTCATGGATGTACGAGGTAGATTCGGAGGAGTAATATGCGTGAGGAAGCTGAGTTCCAATGGACAGAGACTTGCGGGCTACAGCGTGAGCTGCGAGGAGCAACGGTACTGTGAGCACCACTCGCATTGCTGGTGGGTTTCTGCGACAAATGGTGCTGAGGAAAGGGGGAGCAAAGAGAATAGGTAAGATTATATACCTTGCTGTCAAAGTGTCGGCAAAGATACGCTCCGAGTGCTTGTCAGTTCCTGTTCGGTTCCCCGCTTTCAAAGTGGAGTTTCTTCTTCCAAAAATATCAAGAATTTAATGCGCCCAAAGATCGGGAGAGAACTAGGAGCGGTCTTGACGTCCTTGGGAAAATCTAGGTGCATGAAAGAGCGCGAAGGCACGTATACAGAACAGTCTGGCCATACTCAACGGAGACGCGATGTTACAGTGGAGCCATGAGCTACATACATTCTAGGTGTACAGTACCAAAGGTACTTCACGAAATCTTTGGCGGTGAGAATGGAACTCTTATTTTGCTACAGATGGATCGTTTTGGGTAGGAGCAAACGCTTGGCTCGAGGTACTGCTTTCTTTTGTGCAGCCGTTTAGCAAGTTTGATACGTGAGCGCTACACTCTGAACTTGTGTAGAACGGATTCGACGACCCAGTTTTCAGACACTAAGAATGAATTTAAGCACTTCTTTAGATCTTGATTGTACCTTTGCTTGCCCAGGCGCGAAATGCAGAGGTATGCACTGCAGGATCGATGGAGGCTCTGCCCAGGCGCTTGAGGGGAACGATCCGAGGTGTAAAACGGCGGATGGTTTTCGACCTTGGACCGGTGCATATTAGATGCCTTACACAGACCCTGAGCTACGCTGGCGAGAAAGGCAGGGTCCGTTGACTGAACATCAACCAGATAGTTCGGATGCTTCAGCAGTCAGAGCCTCTTCGTCCTTGAACATAGGATTGTCTCCCATCTATGTTTCACTTTTCACACCTGCTGAAACTGTCTGTGTGTGATGACCGTCGAATGTTTTATACACAGACAAATAAACTACAGCTGAACGCACCTCTGAAGCTGTCACCGGTACCTCCAAGTTCTAACCCCAACGTCGATATCTCCGGTAGTTCTCTGGTCCCTCTGAAAGTGACGCGTCCTACCAGCGAGTTTTGGCACCGTACGTTCGTATTTCATCGTTAGCAGCGTTGGATGCGGGCCATGATGTTTGACAATCGATGTTATTCGTTGCGCGCGAGAGACAGCCCATGGTGTTACGGACGTACGGCTGGTCAAACCACCGCTCGGCCACCCCGACACATCAAACACGTTAGTCGAACTCGGAGTCCCACGCTTAGTCCCTATGGTTTCTTCTACCCTACCATTACTAACTTCAAGCACTAGGTCTCGACACTTCATCGCTGAAAGTCAACACTTTCCCCAGCACGGAAGCTCTGCGCATCGCCACATGCAACGTGGTGCCCATGAAATCTCCGCTGGTCACCGTCAAGCCGCTCAAATGTTATTGTCTTCACAAACGTATATTCAAGAAACAGCAGAAGGCATATACAAGATTTCGTTCGAATTCAGCGTAGATCACTAGTATGCAAGAAAGTATAGAAAATATCAGTTCGGCGGCCCCACCCTGCGCATCCACTATCAAGGATTAAATCCCTAGATTGGTGGCTACGCCAACTTCTTGGTGATGTCCTTGCACTTCTCCGGAACCTCAAAGCCCTGTCATTCGGTCGCCAGGGGATCAGAATGGGCCTTGGGCACTACCCGTTGTAAAGCACTCACATTCGATCTTTGAGCATCGTTAGCCAGTAGCCCTGCAGGCATGACCCTTGCATCGACGCCGAGCCCACGCTCTGCAAACGCGGCCCACAGCTCGCACTCATTGGCGCCATTAGTGAGATGCTGATCTGCCTCAATGATGGTATCACGTCCATTCTTAAAGTCCAGTTTGGGCGAGCATGGCATAAGTTTTAATGCGTTGATCACCAGCTGCAGCATGAGTGTGTTGCCACGGCGGGGAACAGGTGGACTAAACAAGCCCGTGGCTGGATCTACCGTGCGAGGAAGATAAAAGCTGTCGGATCCTTCAAATGCACTTGAAGGGAGCGATCCATCCGGAAGAGGTGAAGGCGGGAATAATGATGAAGAGAATCCGCGCTTTTCCGATAGATAAATAGTGGCTGCCCAAAGCATGTTGCCCCAAATGGTGCCGACGTCATGGTAGACGTCCTTTGAACTCTTAAAGTACTCCGTGACAGTCTCATAGGTCGTGGGGTTTTTCTTTCGATCCTGACAAAGTGGGGTAAGACTTATAGTACACGCTCGGCGAAGAAGTCTCACAGTAGTAAAGGGATACCTCCTTGCGCCTCCCTCTTTATTGGAAATCCATTCGCCCATCGCATATTCAGCGTGTGGATCGGTGGCGCGAACCATGGTTGTGACGTAGTCTAGATGAATACGTTCGAAAGATAGTCGCAGCCTGAACGACAGTCGTGACTTACCACTCCAGCCTTCACTCATGCCTTTAGCCTCGCCCTGGCCCAAACAACTAGATGTAGAGGGTCCTCCAACAAGACGCGTTGTTAGCCCATGCGTTAGCTCGTGGATAGTAACGTCAGCTGTCATCGCGGTATCACGATACGGGTTGGAATGATCAAATAAGTATAGGTCGCATATCCTAAGGTAAAACCCTTGTCAGCATTATGTCCTGCAACAAAGAAAGCAAACAGACGCGGCTTCCCCATCCCCTGGGACACTCATGGAGCCCCGGTTAAAGCCATTGCCTTTCTGGATATTCAAGATGACAGCATCATCTTCTTCACCACATCGACCGAAATTCCATTGTTGGAAATTGCCTGAAACTTCATCGAAACCGTATCTGTCATACAAATGGTGAGTTCAGAGCCAATAATGAGGATGAAGGAGCGACTTGCCGATAAAAGAGGTCATGAACCATGTTTGCAAGGTAGAACGCTTGCGTGGCGGATGCGTCCATGTACGAATGTGCATTCTTAAGTTTCTCTGCTTCATCTTCATCTTCGTATCCAGTGGGGTTATATGGAAAGTCGAAGATTTGACCATTATCAGAGACGCTAGCAATAGGTCGCTTGTTGTCCGTCCATCTGCCATACCCTTTCCAATCCTCCTGTACAAAAACCTGTATCTCTGTTCAGCATGCAATCTTCCACTCGTAGCGTAAGCTCCATGACTCACGTTGTTGCCGAAGGTAGTGTCAGTGGTGTGCCAAAAGCCGGCTAAGTCGTCACAGCCATCAGGTGAATCAGGAACCCTACAATTGGGAAGGGTATGCCATCCTGCACGAGCGGCCACAGAGTCAACATTCTCCTGTTGGAACGAACGTGCCTCGTCATACGGCAGGGAGGAAGGGTCGCCGGGTGGAATGCCAGATTTGCTCAACGCCTCCGACGGATCGTTGTACCCCCACTGGAAGACTCTGTAGGTAGAGGGAATCAAATCAGGCAGGGTGACGTCGGGAGTAGGATAACAACCAGGCTCAAATGTCTTGCGACGCTGTTCTATGGATGTTCTAGTTGTAGATGGCGCAGGTTTAGTGCCGGAATAGCTGACAATATCCGTATCCGGATCGCCATCGAAAGTGTAGTCGACAACAGAGAGGATGCGGTGGGGTGAGCTGATGGATACGTACGCCTCGTACGAGTTAGACAAGAAATTGACTCGGAACTTTAAGAAGCAGCATCAGCAAACGAACAACCAAGGGATCGGTGCATAGACTTACACGGTGAGCGAGCGCGAGGATCGTGTTTCCAGTGTCATCTGGTACTTGAACGTACACAAGGCGAGTTATTACATCACCCATGGCACCGGGTACACCTGAAATGCTGTAAGATCCCGCGTCCTGGAGAGCGTTAACTTGAAGTGCTCCCAGGTGCTGCTGCGGATCCTTTAGAATGGATTCCGACACGAATGGGTCGGCAGTAGCTACTATAACGAAATATAAGAGTGCGGTCTCCGCGCTGGGTTCCAGACCTGCGAGTGCGATGTCGGATGCGATGTGGGCGTGAGCGCAGTACGTCTCCATGCGCATGTGCATTACATGAACCGCTTTGTCTGGCTGATGACTGAGGAGGACTTGATACCCCACGCGAGGAGTTTGAACATCGAGTAGCCCATTCAACCGTGCCCGAAGACCTTCGCAGAAAGTTAGATAAGGGTTGATTGTGGAGGAAGCGCTGTCGACTGGGGGCATCTGGGGACCGGTGTAGAAGGAGTTGCCATAGGATAGAACGACACCATTACGAATGTTCAGGTTGATATGGGCATTGGCGACATCAAGCCCGCTGACGAGCTGGCGGGCGTATATGTGAGAAATGCCGCTGATGGTGTCCGTGTATGAGTCCTCGCGAATGACATATGAGACATTGGAGCTGAGTAAATCGCGCAGGAACGCGCTCGCAACACTGAACGGGTCGGAAGATTCGACAGCTATGGCATAGGTGTATGAGGTGGGCTCAGCGGAGTAATACGCATGAGGAAGTTGGGGTCCAATGGACAGAGACTTGCGGGCTACAGCGTGAGTTGCAAGGAGTAATGGGACTGTAAGCAGCGCTCGCATTTCTGATGGGTGTCTGTGAGAGATGGAGCTGAGAAAAGAGGGCTCACCAGCAAGAGAGATGATATATACCTGCTGTCAAGGCGTCAAGACGTCGACAGCGATTCGTTGCAATCTCTGAGATCCTCCCTGATCCTCCAGCATTCGGTTCCCCACATCTACAGCGCCTTTCTTCGCCTCAAAACATCAGTAGCCCATGTACTAAGGTTCCGAAGAGGCCGAAGTTGTTGATGGATCCTTAGGAGAGATGCAGAGCCATGAGAGGGACCAAACCAGAGTTGGGCTGTAGAGGATGAGTTTCCCGCCATGGAAACGACTGCCCGGACCAGAGTACGATTCATTCCGAGCTAGTACACAGCATGTATGAGCAAGCAGTTCAGCCTGGTTCGTCGAGTGCTATCCCGGCCTCGTCCATTTGAGTCAGATACATACCGGACCCATGGCCCATGGGTGCGTCGCATTGGAATATGAAGGAACTTTACCATACATATGCAGCGATACTGTAGTGAAGCATCAGAGAAATGCAATGTTCCATCCAGAGCTATGTAGCGCTAGGGAGACATGAACAGCCCGAAAAGCAAGACATATTCTCCGTGACGTTGAAAGTAACCTTCAAATAATGGCATGAGGTAGTACCGAGTCTCCAGATGTGCACACCGCGCAAGATCGTTGACAATCGAGCAAGGCCGGAGACGCACGTAGGGAGCACCCTGTTGAAATCAGAGCGGGAGAGAATAAAACGGAAAAAAAATGAGCAATTTGTTGCACCGCGAGTATTCTTGATGTTCTCGATAAACCTACGACCGTGGCGATTCCGAGCCACCAACGCGCCCGTTTGTGGCAGTTGACAGGTGTTTGCATCCTGCCGAGTATAGTAAAGTAGCTGGACTTTGATTCAGAAGTGGAAGATGTCCCACGCTAAATGAAAAGTACGATGTAACGACGAGAGAATTGCCTCCGCTAAAGCTCTGGCCAAGCTCCGGCCCATGAACATGAGGATAGGCTAGAAGCAGAAGCTTGAGCGTGGCCACACTGAGGGTATTTAGCATGAAGTATGGACAAGAGGCAATATACGCATGTCCTACATACTCACATGAAGTGGATGATCCTAGGCTTGAGCACCAGCTTACAGTATGGCTCAAGTCCTAGTGCGAAGCCGCACGGTCGCAACGCTTCCACTCGCCAAATGTAGCATATAGTAGGAATTACTCTGAAGCCTTGCTACTGTTTAGTCAACTAAACTTAGTAACTCATCTTTTTAAGCCCTTATCACCGTAGTCTGACTGAAAACAGCGATTCCAGTGCTATTACAGTTACTCAAATGTGCAGCTACTAAAATGTCTATCGTACACAGGTAATTATGCGTCACAGCTACTGGGCCGACTAGAGGGCTATTTTGCCGTTCTTTGCTTCATACGCGCCTTTCAGCATCAGCCACCAGACTAATGCGATGGATTCATAGCTGATCTCAATGTCCTTCCTATCGTTCTCTTTCAAAGCAGCATCGGCAACATCCTTTGGAATGCCCCCTTTGTTATCCGCTGTTTCGAGGCACTCCTGAATTAGATCTGCCATGGACTCTCTGTTGAACTCGGGGTGACCCTGAGTGGTGAAGATATGGGCCTTTTCCAGCGCTTCGAAGTAATTCTTGGCCGACTTGAGGGCTTCCTTAGGTTTTTGTGTACCCAAAAACTTGATCATACCCTGATTCGGAGTGAGATCGGATTTACCCCAGCAGTCGAGTCCAACGACACGGTCAATGCTATCGTCGATAACCACATCCTCTTCCGATCGGGGAGGACCTCCCTCGTATTCGCCGCCTCCAGCGTTGCTGTTCAGGCAGACGTAGTCTCGGTGTATCTCTTGCAATGTCTGGTAGATAACACATTATGTCAATGCCCACGTCAGAGAGCCTAGAGACGACTAACCAAGAATCCCTGAGAGCCCTTGAAAACACTCTTCCCTAGATCGTTCAGGCGAATTCGCGTGGGGCCAACCTCCCAACCTTTGGGGTTCAATCCGACCGCATTTCCGCAACTGAACGAAAGGATCTGGTGACCGAAACAACTGGCTGGTGACTGTCAGCCGGAGGTTCTTTAAAAAATTCCTGTTACTTACCGAACACCCTGGTGTCCTTTTCGCCCCGATCGGTTTGGTCGATGACGTAGCGAAGGTATTTTTGCAACCTCTTGATTTTGCCTTCCCACACAGGCTTTCCGTCTGGGGTAATCTTACTCGGGTCCGAGCTATCCGTCTTCCAGTACCTAACACTCGCTTCTGCAAACGACTTGTGAGCAAGTTCTCAAAGGGCGATAGGTCAATCTCACCTGAGCCTGATATGATGATCACATCAATTGTATTGAGGATGGCTTCGGAAGGAAAACGAGGATCATCATCGATAAAAGTGCGCTTCTCGTCGACGTCACATGGTTCTCCGCCTAAAACGTCCCAAACCGAGAACTGTAGGCCGTCGGTGATCTTTGCAAGCTCGGGATTGATGACATTTCCCCCCGAGTTGTACGGGTTAGCGCCCTTGAAGCAATAGTCGCTGATGAAATTGCTGAAGAGCTCCTGGGTTCCTTGAACGCCTTCGCTAAGTGAAGCAGCCTTGGCCTGCGCAGGCGTTACAGGACCACAGGCAAAGACAGCGATTTGAAGCGGAGTAGGTTTTGAAGAGGGCATGAGTGAGAGCTAGTGATGAATATGACAGACAATTTAGTTTGCTGGTTGGAGTACGTACGTCTTGAGATACTGTGTCCTTATATACGCAGCGATGCGTTCAGCCAGATCAAATCCGAGGACCCCTTAAGGAAATGTAATGAATGGTATGCGTTGAGTCTGGTGATTTGGAGGCGTTCAGTACTTGTATTCCAAGTTCATGACGGCTTTTCAGGCTCGAAGTTCCTCCGTTTCATGGAATGCAAATTGATGGCCGCGTCGAGCGCTTAGTTCTACGAGATTTGGAATGCTCTCAACTTGTTCAGAACGTTCAACGTAACAAGTTGTCGCTTAACAGTATTATATAATAGACTGGACTCGACCACGAAGGCTCGTTAATTCAAGCTTATCGCATTCATAGACCCGATCATATGCATTCCACCTGATCAACTCGAAAATAATATTATGCATTAAAATCAACGATATCGATTATCCTACGCCAAATGTTCTGTAATCCAGCGCATGCGTGGCAGGTATAATATGTATGAAACATTGTCGTGGCATGTTTGCAGGCAGATCGCATACTGGTAGTCACCCTAGACGGCGATACTGTATGTGGCCGAGGTAACGCGAGTATTAGTTATAGTGGACAGCAGACTCAGAAATCTTGCGGAAATCTAGATCTATTTCGAAGAAGTCGTCAATTTGGCTGAATGAGGAACTCTTGTCGCAGTGCCTGGGAAGGATAAATAAGCAATATTTGCATGGATTTGCCAGAGAGCGGTACGAACAGATGCCTCGGGGTTAGAATATAGAAGTACGAACTTCGAAGCGGAAGCAAACTGCTCACACCGTAAAAGGAAAGGATCGGCATTGCGGCAGTATTCAGGATGAGAAGAGGTGGAGCGCACTGGAATGTGGAACAGGAATCTCAACTTAAGGAATCTCAACTCTCGAAGACGTGTGGCTTTGTGTTGAAGTTGAAGAATAACATGACGTTAACATGGTTTGTCCGTAACACGGGAGAAGACATATACATTCCCTGCTTACCGAACCGGTGCTGGTGGAATTCTGAACTATGCTACAAGTTGAGTGTGGTTCAGCTTTGCATGTAGTGCTCTGTGGATCTTTTCCTGGCTGTATTCCAGCCGAGAATCGTCCGGCGGTCAGATCGATTCAAGGAGAATCGGAGAATCAAGAAAGAATCAGGGGAAACTAGTACTGCGACTGGCTAGCCTCGTCAAATAGCACCGATTCGCTCGGAGCGGGCTTTCGCCGAGAGCAATTATAGTAGTACACGTACTCGTTCTGTCCGGTCGAAGAATCTGTCGATGTGTACAACAGCGAAGAGAAAGTAAGTCAGACGAGAATCATTCACCGGCCATTTATAAGACCGGATATCCTAGATAGAAGCTTGACGGCATATGACTCCGATCAACATTCAAAATATGAATGCCATTGTCATATCGAAGTCATTCGCAGCATTCAAAGGCACACTGGACCTCGGAGGAATTCTTTTAATGTCATGATGTCGCCAACACTAGTACTAGTATTTGGTTTTGCTGGTATTCGGGAGTCTTGGGTTGGAGGGGGTTGGCCTCTGAAGATCTGAAGAGCTTCGATTTTTACAGCCCCGCTGTTCTTTTCTTTGAAAGTGCACCTTTGCCTTCCACATAAGCAATTACACATTACGGGTAAGAAAAGGGGCTAGGGATTTGAGCCCACGAAGAAATCGAGCACCCCCAGAAAAGGTATAGTGGAAGCTGTCGTACCTCTAGGATGAGATCTGGATTCCAAAAACAAACGCCGTTATCCACTCCGTATGACAGCCTGCAACTCCTATAGCATAGCCTCCTGCAACTCACCGGTACTCACCTATCGCCGGAGAGCACCTAGGCTCCTTTGGAATGCTGACGCTTCTCATGTTTCTCAGTCTAGGAATAGATAAATCTTGGCATCAGAGAAGATGAAGTTGAAGACCGACATTAATGCGCAGGTTGTGCTACTCGAGGTCCTATGGTGTCATCGGCGCTTATTTTTCGGGAAGCGAGATACAGCTGCAGGCCTTGCAAGGCGGGAACTCTTCAGCTGGACTCCCAGTAATTAATTTGGTCTGGCGCTGAACCGCGCAAACAACTGAGATCGTGGAAATATCTGCATCAATTAGACACTGAAAATGATCCAAGCTAGACTTCATGAAGTCTAGAAAGAAAGTATTAGTGCAATAATAATTGTTGACATTGAGTCGATGACTTGGAAGTGTGCGACCATGGTGACTTCGAGTTGGAACCTCCACTCGGCCAATTCCGACGTGTTTGGATCGACGTCACAAAAGCCCCTATCTTGCCCCTGGCTAATTCGCAGCACCAGCCCAGCTTGACGTCGAACCACTATGTCGCAACACTTCATCGCTGAAAACGAGCGCTCACCAGACCACAACCATATTTTGCTCATCACCACTGGCAGCGTCGCATCCGTGAAAGCGCCGCTCATCGTTGCCGAGCTGCTCAAAGTGCGCCCCCGCCCTCCCCTCTTCTCCCTACAGCATGCCAAGTGCTGACCTCACCGCATACACCCCCATATGATCAACACACACCCGCCTATACCCGTGTACACACGCACCATTGCGCACTCACTGCATATGGGGCGGGACCTGGTCCAGTAGTGCCAAAACGTGAAAGTCGAGGTTGTTGCGACGCGTCCGTCGCTCGCGTTTTACAAACCCGAAGATATTTATGCGTTAGGTACGAGGGTATGGACGGACCAGGATGAGTGGACGGTGCGCTACATTCAACCTGCAGACTGTGACTACACTGGATCAATAACCAAGGACCTGACGATGGAGTTTCATTCTGGTTCGGGATATAGGGAGGCTACGAGCTCGGCGACCCAATCCTGCACATTGAGCTTCGGCGGTGGGCTGACCTCGTCCTCGTCGCCCCTTGCTCTGCCAACACGCTCTCCAAGATTGCGCACGGGGCGTGCGATAACCTCGCCGTAAGCACACTATTTCCTTTTAGTTCATAGTTTCAAAGTTTAATATAACCGTCACTGTGCAGACCTCGCTCATGCGCGCGCTCGCGCCCACGACGCCGACGTACATCTTCCCCGCGATGAACACGCTCATGTACGAGCACCCGCTCACGGCGGAGCATCTGCGCGTCGTGCGCGAGGTGGTCAAGTACGAGGTTGTCGGGCCGATCGGAAAGTTGCTCGCGTGTGGGGATATTGGTGAGCACTAACATGATCCTTCACTCTTGGCTACTCACGCTGATTTGGTGGTCGATGAATCAGGTATGGGAGCTATGACAGAGTGGAAGGATATCGTGCAGATAGCTGTAGACAGGCTCAAACTGGTTAGGAAGGAGGATGGAGGAGAGACTGGGTGAAGTTGTCAATTTAGAGTCTGTATCGGTAGGTCTCAATATTTGTATCACGATATCTAGAATTATAACATCCATTGGAACTCCTGGAAACACCCTTCTATGATCACGTAAATTGTGATGCATACTTGGAGTCTATCGTTGTGCAACACAACGGGTCCACTCCACACCACTTTCGGAGAAGAGACATGACCGTGCACCAAAGTTGGAACACTACACAAGACCTGTACCTCCGGAAAGACGGAGCACGGTTGGAAAGGGTTGATGGTCCTTGTGAGCTGTAAGGGCTAGTTACATGATTCGCTTCTGCATCGTCGTTAATCAGGCGATGCTGAGCTAGGGAGACGTAGGTGGATGTTATCGGCGGAGGGGCTGGTGTCGGATGTCGGCCAGTGTTACCGGGCCGGTGCGGCGACATCCCATCGGCCTCCAAATTGGGTTGTCCCTCGATCAAGAGACGCGATTTAGTTTATCTCCTTCTCTTCGTTTCCCGGTCTTGTGCGCCGCCTTCTTCATCGCGTCCCCCGACAAGCACCCTACATTTTAGACGCCACGATGAACCCAAAAGTCTTTGACATCCGCCTCCAAGACGGCGTCAAAGGCCGCGAGATCAGGACCCAAAGCGCTGTCGAGACCATCCTCGAACCGCTCCTCGCGCCATACGACCCTGCCCTCCTCGAGGAAGTCTACTTCAGCGGCAACGTCATTGGGAAGGCCTCTGCCACCCGCATCGCCAAATTTCTAGAACCAGCCAAGAACCTAAAGGTGCGCGATAGACCACACAGATCTTGACAAAGTTCAACCAATTCATGCTTGCACAGCTTGCCCACTTTGCGAGCGTCTTCTCGGGCCATGGTCAATCGAGCACGGGAGAGACCACCGAGGCGCTCGAGATCCTCTTTGACGTCCTCAAGGAAAAGAAGGAGCTCGCCAACATCAACTTCTCCCAGAACGCCATCGGCCCCAACGTGATCGACCCCGTCGCGAGGTACCTTGAGGGTGCGCTCTCGCTCGAAGTCCTTACCCTCACCGACAACGGCCTCGGCTCGGAGGGCAGCCGACGCGTCGTCAACGCGCTCAGCCGATGCGCAGGGAAGGCCCGGAGCGCAGGACAGACGCCCAAGCTCCGTGTACTCAACTGTCGGCACAACAACATATATCTACTCGACACGCCGTTCAAGCTCGTCGAGGTCAACGGCACCCCTAACTCAAAAACTCCATCTGCACCCACCAGCAATAAAAAGTCCGAAGACGCCTCGATCTATAACCCCGCCATCTGGTACACCGACGCCAAGAAGCGCGACTACGGCCCTTCCAACAACCCCGCGGACGCGTGGAAGGCCGCGCTGCTCGCGCTCGACGGCCTGCAGGAGCTCTCCATCGGCGATCACAACGAGCTCAAGCCCCCGCAGATGCACATGCTCGCCAACGTCCTCTCTACGCGCCCGAACATCACCAAGATCAACGTCGAGGAAGGCACGATCCCGCACGGCCCCGTCTCCGACGCGTGGGTGAAGGCGGTCAGAGGGTGGAAGAACCTGCGCAGCCTCAATATCGCTGCAACGACGAGCGTGGACGACGACGGCGAGGAGGACTCGGGGCCGCGGGAAATCGTTCGGGTGCTCATGGAGCGCGAGAACCCGAAGCTCGCGTATCTGAAGCTCGAGGGGCTCGAGCTCGGCGCGGACTTTGTCAAGGAGCTCGCGGACGCGATCACGAAGGAGAACCGGTTCCCGAAGTTGCGGACGCTTATATTGGAGGACAACGATATCGAGCTGGACGACGACGGGGTGCCGGAGGAGAAGGAGGAGTTCGAGGAGCTGATGAGCTGGTTCGAGGAACGCGGGGGATACTTGGTGTTCGAGGGCTCGCAGAATATCAAGGATGAGGATCAGCTGACGGCGGCGGTAGCAGTGGAGGAGGAGGAGGAAGAGGAGGAAGAAAAAGGAGCAAAACCGCCCACTGCTGCCCCCGAAAAGCCAGCACCCAAATCAGCCGTGGACAAAGCTACGGACGCACTCGCGGACCTCCTCAACAAGGTCCATATCGACTGATCAATCTAATAGATGTTCGTGGCCCATCATCTTGTTCCTTGCTGCCCCGCTTCTTTCTTCACGTCTTGCATCGCTCGGGCACCATCTACATACTTACTCACTCTAGATCATTAATTGGGAATCTTGCGCGCATGTATACCTGTATCGTCGACGTCACGCTTTATACAATGTAGGCTTTTTTATGTATAAATATCCGAGATGGCGTTGCCTTTCCTTTGTAGCTCAATTGGTGATGACTACTGCATCGTACCCTTGGTCACAAAAAAGTACTGTACCGTACGTTCACCCAAGGGAGATTGATGCCACGCACAAATGTTTGGCCAAGATGGTGGCATACGTTTTACCGACATCATCACACATCCTCTCTCCGCGCTATTAAGTTTCCATCCATTCTCGCTCACCTCGCCTTAACCACGACCCACCGCCCATCCATCCCATCCCCCTCCTTCCTCTTCACACTGCCCCTCCCGCTCTCCCGCTCCACCCACGCCTCGGGCGTCACGTCCTCCGCGGCCTCTGACACCGCACTGAGCACGAGCGCCCGCGCGAGCCACGCGTGCGTCTGCGGCGCGGAGAGGGAGAGCTCGCGGTACGCGCCGCGCACGACGAGCCACGCCGTGTCGCGTGCGCGCAGGCGCAGACGGTGGACGAGCAGGAGGAGGGATTCGCGCGGAAGGTCAAGATTGGGGCCGGGGCTCGCTTTCGCTTTCGTTTCGGGGGCGCCATTCCTCTGCGCTTCCGATGGCAAGGATGCGGCAAAGTGAGCGAACTGTGAAGGCTCCGAGAGCCCGTGCGTCTGCACGAAGTTGAAAGTGCGGAGGCTGCGCGCGAGTGCGGTGATCCAGCGGTACGCGTCCGAGCTTCGGTCGAGGACGTTGGGCGAGATCGCGGTGAGCTGGGCGAGGTACTCTCGCTGCGACGGGTACGCGGTGACGAGGCGGTGGAGGAGGGAGATCAGGGCGACTACGAGTCTGGTGTTGGGGTTCGGGCTGGAGGTTGAGGTTGGTCTTGGATTGGGAAAAGTTGGTATTGAGCAGAGGTCCGAGCCGAAATGCGAGAGGATGGACGTCGTCTGGACGGGCGAGTCGAATATGGCGGCGAGGAGAAGCGAGGTTTCGTAGACTTGGTGTAATATCGTGTGAGGCTGTAGGAACAGGAAAGGTCGAAGTTGGGGAGACGCACCTTCAGTGGCGAATGCATCTGATCTCCCGGAAGAAGAGATGCCCTCTCTGAGTTTCCCTGCTCAGCAAAGATGTTAGTTTCTACGAGAGATGTCGCTGGTTTGAAAGGCTCACGAAACAAGATCAGAATGTTCTCCTGCCTCTCCTTTCGCTGGTTGACCTGCACCTCCGTTTCAGATGGTCTTCCGCCAGGTCTGTGGTCCGCGAAGAAGGCATCGATCTGCAATAATCTTAGCCGTCGATTCCCATGCAATGACGAAGGCGACGCTGATGACCAGCGGAACCCACCTTCCCGCGTATAAACACCCTATACTCCTCCTGCGTCTTGAACTCCTTCAACCTGAATCGCTATGCCCGATCAGCTGTGTCCTCACACCACTCTCTACTGCCCATCAGAGCACGCGGAATGAGTGGTAGATGAGAATAAACGCAGCCTTACGCATTCCCGTCGCGCTCGAGCCCGCCGCTCCGGCTGACGGAGGGCATCAGCTCCATGTCACGCGTCGTGCGCGATCCTGAGCCACCCCTTCCGGCCCCCCAAGCACGGCCGCGGGTGCTGCTGCGCTGGCCTGGCGGGCCAAGGCCACTTCCGCGGGGACGGGTGCCGGTACTTGTCTGTGGCTGAGGTTGTGCAGTCCGATTCGGAGGCTGGCTTGGTGAGCTTGAGTTTAGGTTGGGCACGCCGCCGCCACCGCCGCCACGACCACGACCGCGTCCTCTGGTCCAGACGCCTCGTTGTGGCTGCATAGAATGTTCTGAGTGGAGTATGGGATGTGGATGAGGGATGTGGTTGTGCAAGGGCAAGACAGGAGCCAGTCAATTATGGTCGCCACGTGGCTGGGTGCGATCTTGGCTTGATCTCTCGAGGGCAGTTCCGTTTTACCCTGAACGGCTTTACGACGAATTTCCTGTGCGGTGATCAAGTCATGGCCGCTGCCAGAAATATATCTCTTTGCTTGACCACTTCTCTCTTTTTTGCTGCGCGGTCTTTGTCATGACACAGACTCTCCCCCTCACTCAGCCTGCGAATGCTCCATCGAAACAACGCTCAGCCGCTCTTGATGAGCCAGAGGTCCCCGGCCCACCGACGCTGGAAGAGTTGATGGCCGATTACCAGGCCAAGTTCACCTGGGAGCAGCTCAAGAGGATTATCAGCTACGGGTAAGTCGCATACGCCGCATACACCCATCCCGCGGCTCACAAAGCACCGCGTCGCATGACGACTCTACGCGTGTCATAGGGACCTCGGGCTACTCAAGCGCGACAACAAGCTGCAGGAGCGGTACATGATCTGGTCCGATGTCGTGCGCAGGCAACACGACGGCGACATGAGTCTGTCATCTCGTCTTGTATCCACCTTGCACGAATAACTTACTGTATCATAACTCTACTCCGATTCTCAATCACACAGAGAAATACCTCACCGATGTCCGCCTCAATTGGGGCCACCCCGACACGATCTGCAAGCTCCCTTCGTCACTCCCGCGAGAATGGCCCGCAAGCCACCCCAACGGCTCCGTCAACGGCACAACCTCCTCGCCGAACGCGTTCACCCGCGACCTCCCATTCGACTCTCCCTATCTCAGCATTATCATCAACGACTGGCCGTACTCTGTCCCTCCGGAGGTCGAACACGCCCTCATCTGGACACGCCTCCCTTTTCTCGAGCAGCGCATTGAAGACGACGACGGTCTATGGGGCCTCACCGGCACTGACGCGCCGCGGGCGGCAGACGGCGGGCGACTGCAGCTCTCGGACCTGGACGACTGTTTGGAGATTCTCAAGGAGTGGGGGGTGAAGAGGGAGGCGGTGAAGGACTGGTCGCGGCCGAGCAGCAGGACGCCGGAGGAGCAGGAGATGCTGGATCAGGCTGCGGAGGAGGTGGGCGGGTTCGTGAAGCGGCTGTGGCCGGCGGATGGGTGGGAGACGGCGTGGTTTGTCAATCCCCCGGTGAGCAGTTTGGTCCCTTCGTGTTTCCTTGTTTAGCTAAATCATCATATACAGAGGCTGCAGAGTGTTCCGGGGTTGGCGCACGCCCATGTGTTCGCTCGGAGGAAGTGAATCAATGATATAGGTCGTAAAGCGCGTCATTCGGGGCAGATTTCGACAATACCTCATAGAATATAGAAGATTTGAACGGATGATATAGTTCTAGACGTCCTGATATAAATATTTGAACCTACTGATACATATTCTAAGCTAACACTGTGCACATTTTCACGTAGCCTCTGGATCAACTCATCCTAACCGATATCCCCGCACGCGAGCATCTTACCAAATTTTAGCCCCGCAAACCTTGATCTGCAGGAGCCTGTAGGTAGCGCTAAGCGCCAGATACAATAGCGCCAAACTTCGATAACGAGTTGTCTGGGTAGACATGTGGGCTCGGGGCCAGTGCCTTAGTGCTCTCACCGGCGGTGAGCATACTGTACCGAGCCTGCACGCGCCACTGTTACCGAGATTAAGTGACAACTTTGAGCTCGAGTCCCGGCTCGGACACACCTCGGTGTTCAGGGGTTCTCAACCTACTTCGACTCAATCCAAAGGGGCGTTCTTCCCGAAGCCAACTCAACTCGCGACAGCACTCTGCGTGGTTACAGTCACCTAGCGTAGAGCCAAGACACGAATAACCTGGAAGGCTGCAGCCTGCATTCGCTGTTCAAAGTCTTGGCTTCCGACGGTCAGTCTCGGTCAGCCTCGGTCAGACAACTCTGAGCGGTTTGTCTCGGTCGAGCCCGGTTGACAAAGGAAAATCTGACATTTTGATCGAGGTCGATGATTTGTGCGTGTGTGTTGCCAGACGTTTCCGCACCGCCCAGCACACGGGGCCAATCCGGGGCAACCTGCATGCACAAAACGACTTTTCTTGATGCTTCCTCAAGTAACTTTCAGTGGCAGAAACCACATAAATACAGGTTGATCTTACATCGAGGTTTACCCACAGATTCTAGTTTCAATCGCGCTTTTAGTGTACCATGCTCTCTTTCGCTGCCGTTGCTCTCGCTCTCGCAAGCAGTGTCATCGCTGCCCCCGCCGACACGCGCGACGTGCACACAATCACGGTGGGCTTTTTTCTTGTGATCGACCCATGAAAGGAACACTGACCGTTCGTCTTTTTTGGTGCCAGTTCAACAACAATTGCGGCTACGGCAACCCCGTCTGGAACACACCCAGCAACGCCACCAAAAACGGCGCCGGCAACGGGTGGGCCGCTGTCGTGAGCGGCGTCGCGAGGCTCGACGTCGATGGCTGTGGCTCGCACGGCGAGAACTGCACCGTCGTCGAGTTCACGCTCGACAACCCGAGCCTCGTTGGTACTCACGCCAACTAGTCGGTAGCGCCGTTTTTTTGTTGTGCTTGGCGGACGTTCGGCGGCTGACGCGGTGACACATGATAGCTCGGAGGAGATCAGCATCCAGATATACGGGGATCAGTGCTACGATATTCTGACCTGCGACTCCGCTGACTGCAAGGACGCTATTCACGACTCGAGTGCCTCCAGCCCTCTTATTCACTGCACGGATCATTTCAACGCTGGTGTAAGTGATCCTGCATTATTTTTTCGAGTGGGTTGTGCTGACACCATAGGTAGCTCACTGTTGATTTCTGCTCGGCCATCTTGTATTAGGCTTGCGGGGTGTTGTTTTTTCGAAGTTCATGGGTTTTATAGGGAGTACATATGTTTTGATACTTACCTGGTATTGATGGTGTCACCAACATCGGCTGATTGTAGGGAAAGGTCACAAAAACACCGGAGCTATGTCTGAGAAAGGATCAAGGGTCGTTTCGAGAGACCAGCCGTCCATAAAATCTGGGTTAATCGTCTTGATGCTCCCCATAAGCAAACGGATTGAACATCCAGCTAATATATTGACAACTACGATTCTGATCGACCTGAGACCCATTATGAGACGATATCGATGATAAGCGGAGCAAAAGCTTATAAGTCTGGACATTAATATGACTTCCACTCCATTCCATTGAAGTCTGGACGTTGACTGTGGCAAAGCTGGGCTATGCTGGTACTGAGCGACTTATTCGGTGTATAGCACCATCGTGTTGCGCAAAAAACCACATCAAGCCTGAGGTTGCTGGAAACATGATAAGGTTGTTTGATGGCGCGCCACGATGCGACAGAAATCAAACAAGCCGGGCGAAGGACAAACTCCAAGGGATTCAGCATGAGAGAGAGAAAACGCAGTATGTATGCATGAAAGGAGACGACCTCAAGCTGACAAATGGCATTTTTGGCAGCCGAGTCAGTAGAGTATTGAAACACGGTCGCTTCGCCAGGAGTTCCGTTTCAATCCTCGACCATTGCTATACTATCTAGTATCGAATTCAAATGTTCTAAAAAGGTTTCCTTGCAAACTGCGAGAACTGATTCCTCAGCAGCCCGACATATCGTCATAGTAGCTAGAGAAGCCAAGATTTTAATTTTTGTGCCAAGTTGAATGTCACCCTTGAAGGTTTCGAGCAAACCTCGGTCATTCTTCGTCGCATCTGAATCAAGTTCGTTCAGGGCGGAGACCGACTCTCCGGGAATATGCGACAGGAGGTAATAACCCAATTGGGAAGGAGTGCGCTATCTGCAAATTTTGTCTGCGCGACTTTTCTTTCGCTCATCGTCCTCGTCGCAGAGGACACTCCTCGACATCGGCTCAAGTCTGTTTCGCCTTTGATTGACCATAAGGTGTACTTGGAGACCAAGAATTTTATCGGAAATTACCACCTGCTTCAAGTTCATGATTAGACTTTGGCCATGTCCCAGACCGTTAATCTAACCGCTGCCGACCCTCTCCAAATCAACCTCGCTAGGCAGACCCGTACACTCCTCTCTCACATCCTCCAAAACTCGCATTATGCCTCTTCGATCGAGCAAGGTGCATCATCGACCACTCAACTTCTTGTTACATTGTCACGGCTGCTCGCCAACCCATCCTTGACAACCCACATTACACAATGTTTCCGCCCACTGCTCCTTGACTTATCCGCACGGTGGTTAGAGGACGATGAAGACCTTGAAGATCGCTTCCGTGCGCTCGCTTTTTTGATACAGCCCCACGAGGAGCTTTATCCGTACGTCCTCGAATGGTTTTGTCATGTTTCTAACTAATCGCATTCATATTCACAGCGTCTTATTCGCATTCCTCCAAAAGCCACAACTAGCAGACGGACCTCTTCCTCTGCTCGCTGACGCACCCTCGATTCCACAAATCAAAGCTGCACGTCTTCACGCCCTCCTCATTGCGTACTACCGCGTCCTGCAAGCCAACCGCCTCCTCCCAAAACACCTATTTTGGTCGATTGACCATCTTTCCGCACTTTTCACGACACCACATCCGGATAGAGGCGTTCAACTTCTGGCTATACGATGCTATGCGCTCCAAGCCGGGATGGTTGAACGGGAACGGCAGGCGCTGGAGACTCGAGTGCTTGGCGCGCCATTCGAGTCGGACTGTCCGATTGTATGCGGGCAGGATGCTGAGGGAGCACCGGTCGTCATGGATGGGTGGCTGTTCCCTGCGCTGGAAGCGAAGCGAGTTGTGGACGCGAGGAATGCGAGCGTGGAGAACTCGAATGAGTTTTATATTGTCGATGAAGTGCATACGACGAGTGCACTTGGACCTCTTCGCAATGACGACCTGAGGTGAGTTTGATTCTGGCATGAGGGAAAGCAAAGGTTTTGCTCATAATTGATTTGAAGTTCATATACCGCGAACATACACGGTGTCCTTCTCCTAAAATCCAACCCATTGCCCATCCAGCATGCGGACATTGTCATGACGCCCACCGCCCAAAACGCTCTCCGCTCGCTAGCAATCCACCGTTCCCTCCGCCTGCCTGTCCTCATCTCCTCCCCACCTTCCTCCGGCAAATCCCTCCTCCTCACCTACCTCAGCGCCGCGCTGCACCCAACCCAAAAAGACAACATCGTTACCATCTACCTGGCCGACACGTCCCTCGACGCACGCTCCCTCCTCGGCTCATATGTCTCCTCGGTCACGCAACCGGGCACTTTCGAGTGGAAAGATGGCGTGCTCGTGCGCGCGATGAAGGAGGGCAAGTGGCTTTTGCTGAAGGACATCGATAGGACGAGTAGCGACGTCCTTGGTCTCGTCCGGCCGCTCGCGGAGTCGATGGGCCCTGGCAATTGGATCGGCGCGCGCGCGACGCTGGATGTGCCTGGACGAGGCGAGGTAGTGGCGGCCGAGGGCTTCGCACTATTTGCGAGTCGGTCGACGATACCGCTCAGGAACGGGGCGATGCCTGCGCCAGGCTTTCATGGCGCGCACAAGTTTGCTGAGATTGTAGTGGATGTGCCGACGCCGGAGGAAGTCAGGATGATTGTGGATGAGAAATATCCGAGGCTGGCTGGGGTCCTTGCGCAGGCGCTCATCAGGATGTGGGCAGATGTGCAACGGCTGGGGTATACGGCGTCGTCCAGGCCCGTAGGGCTCAGGGATCTGGAGCAACTTTGTCGAAGGATCAATCACATTCTCCCGTCTAACCATTCGTCGTCGTCTATGGACGTGGATATGGACGCCGGGGGAGAAGTTGCTCCATTGCAGGATATCTTCCCCAACCCCACCTTCCGCGAAGACATGTTCGCCGAGGCGCGCGACGTGCTCTTCGGCGCGGGAGCGTCGACGTCGGCAGCCCGCGCGCATAGGGATCAGGTCGCCGCTGTGGTCGCTTTGCATCTCGGCCTGGACGACGAGCGGCGGGACTGGATTCTCACCGGGCGCACGCCCGAGTTCGACGTCGAAAAGGACGTCAACGGCGAGACGGTCGCCGTGCGCGCGGGGTATACGCGGTTGCGCGCGCGCCCCGCCAAACCAGGCTCCGCCTCTGCCTCGCTTGCGGCGGCGGCGGCCAAGCGGCCGTTTGCGATGCACAAGCCCGCGATCGGGCTCATGGCGCGCATCGCGACGGCCGTGTCGCTCGCCGAGCCGGTGCTGCTCACGGGCGAGACGGGCACGGGCAAGACGACAGTGGTGACGCATCTTGCGGGGACGCTCCGGCGGCCGCTCGTCGCGCTCAACTTATCACACCAGACCGAGTCTGCGGACCTGCTTGGCGGGTTCAAGCCCGTGGACGCACGAGTGCCAGGTGCGGTGCTGTGCGAGCGGTTTGGGGAGCTTTTTGGGGTGACGTTTAGTCGACGGAAGAACGAGAAGTTTGAGGAGGGGGTGAGGAGGGCTGTGAGGGAGGGGAAGTGGAAGAGGGCGGTTGTGTTATGGAGGGAGAGTGTGAGGCTTGCAAGGGAGAGGATTAGGGCGAAGAGGGTGGAGGGGAATGTTGGGTGAGTTCTGTGATCCTTTATTCACTTTATTCGAGGTCGTTCGTTTGCTAATACCCTATTTAATTTATATTAACAGAGGCGAGGAGCGTGAAGCTGTGCCGAATGGTCTGAACGACGGTGCGCCTCGCAAGCGGCGGAAGGTAGAACAGGCGTCGCTGGAGGCGTCCGAAGCTGCTTGGGCAGACTTTGAGAAGGACGTGGACGATTTCGATATTCAGCATGTGCAGGGCAAGGGCAAGTTGGCTTTCAATTTTGTCGAGGGGCCACTGGTCAAGGCGCTTCGGAATGGTGACTGGTGAGTTATAGGTATTTAATTGTTCTCTATTGTACATGTTCTGACAACTACATGTTTTCCAGGGTACTTTTGGACGAGATTAACCTTGCCAGTCCGGAAACGCTTGAGTGCATATATGCGCTTCTCAAAGGCCCAACAGCATCCATCACCTTGACTGAGCAAGGTTCTCTCGATCCTGTCATCCGCCATCCCGATTTCCGGCTGTTCGCTTGCATGAACCCGGCCACCGACGTTGGGAAGAAAGACCTCCCACCCAACATCCGAGCTCGGTTCACCGAGATCGACGTCCCCCCGCCCGACGCCGACCGCGAGACCCTCCTCGGGATCGTGGCCCAATACATTGGAGCGAGCGCCGTGGGCGACAAAGCCGCGATCCTGAACATCGCCGAGTTCTACACTGGCGTAAAGGCGCTCTCTGAGGCGCGCGAGCTCGCGGATACGGCAAACCACCGGCCGCACTATAGCATGCGCACGCTCGCGCGTGCTCTGACGTTCGCGGCGGACATCGCGCCCACGTATTCGCTCCGGCGTGCGCTGTGGGAGGCGTGTCTGATGGCATTCACGATGGTGCTCGATGTGCGCAGCGCCGCAGTCGTCACGGAGCTCGCGCAGAGGCATATTTTGGCGGGTGTCAGGAATCCGAGGTCGTTGCTGGCGCGGGAGCCCGCGCCGCCCCAAACTCGGCAAGGGGAGGCGTACATCAAGTTCGGGCCGTTCTACCTGCAGAAGGGGCCATTGCCGGAAGACCTAGTGGAGGAATACATTATGACGCCGTCGGTGGAGAAGAAGCTCATCGACCTCGCGAGAATCATCTTGACACGAAGGTTCCCCGTGCTCATCGAGGGCCCGACATCGGCCGGGAAGACGAGCGCAATTGAGTATCTCGCGCGGCGAACAGGGCACCAGTTTATCCGAATCAACAACCACGAGCACACGGACATTCAGGAGTACATCGGGTCATACGTCTCGGACCCCGCCACAGGCAAGCTAGTGTTCAAGGACGGGCTGCTGGTGCATGCACTGCGCCATGGTCACTGGATCGTGCTCGACGAACTGAATCTGGCGCCGACGGACGTGCTCGAGGCACTGAACAGGCTGCTGGACGATAATCGCGAGCTGCTTGTGCCCGAGACGCAGGAGGTGATCAGGCCGCATCCGCATTTTATGCTGTTTGCGACTCAGAATCCCCCTGGACTCTATGCCGGGCGCAAGGTGCTCTCTCGTGCATTCCGCAATCGGTTCCTTGAGGTGCACTTTGAGGATGTACCCCAGGCGGAGCTGGAGACGATCCTGTGCGAACGGTGTCGGATTGCACCTTCGTATGGTCAGAAGATTGTTGCTGTTTTTAGGGAACTGCAGCAACGGAGGCAGGGGAGTAGGGTTTTCGAGAGCAAGCAGGGGTTTGCGACGCTCCGGGACCTTTTCCGGTGGGCGGGGAGAGATGCCGTTGGGTATCAGGAGCTTGCGGAGAACGGGTATATGCTGCTTGCGGAACGGACGAGGCGCTTGGAGGACAAGACGGTGGTGAAGGAGGTGATTGAGTCGATCATGAAGGTTCGCATCGACGAGAATGTGCTGTACGACCTGGGCGGCAGGACGTTCGAGTTCCTGGGATGCCCGGTGCCCTCAGGCGGCGAGCACAAGGTCGTGTGGACGGGCGCGATGCAGCGACTGTACACGCTCGTCGCGCGGGCGATGCGGTTCAACGAGCCGGTGCTGCTTGTCGGCGAGACGGGCTCAGGCAAGACGTCAGTGTGCCAGCTGTATGCGGAGGCGCTCGGAAAGCGACTGTACACGGTCAGCTGTCATCAGAATACGGAGACGGCGGACCTTATTGGTGGGCTGAGGCCAGTTCGTGGGCGGAGGGAGGCTGAGTTCAATGCGGTCGGCGATGCAACTGCTGTGCTCGGGCGTGCTGGGCTTGCTTTGCAGGGAGCAGAGCTGGGGCCGGGAGACGTTGAGGAGGTACAGGTAGCTATTGGCAAGGCACTGAAGAGCCTCACCGGCGCGGGCAAGGGCGCGGACCCCGACTTAATACAGGAGCTCCGGGCGATTCAGGGTGACCTGCGGCGCCTGGCTTCGCTCTTCGAGTGGAACGACGGGCCGCTGGTGAGCGCGATGCAGCAGGGCGACGTGTTCCTTCTCGACGAAATCTCACTCGCAGACGACTCTGTGCTCGAGCGCCTGAACAGCGTGCTCGAGCCGAGTCGGAGCATCGTGCTCGCCGAGCGGGGCGGAGCGGACTCACTCGAGCATCCAACGATCAAGGCCGCGGGGGATTTCAAGCTGCTTGCGACGATGAATCCGGGTGGAGATTATGGCAAGAAGGAGCTGTCGCCTGCCCTCAGGAATCGCTTCACGGAGATCTGGGTGCCGTCTGTCGACCAGGGGAAGGATTTGGAGGTGATCGTTGCGAGCTCGTGGAAGGGCGATGAGTTTAAAACGATCACGGGACCGTTGTTGGCTTTTACGAGTTGGTTCAGGGAGAAGGTGGATGTGTCTGCATGTACGCTGCGGGATATTTTGGTGGGTTGATATGTTCCCATGCACATCGGGCGATGGCTGACACAGACATTGCAGGCATGGGTCAATTTCTCGAATGTGATGCACGAGCGCGATTCTAAGATGCCTCTGGAAGCAATTTTCGTAAGTGTCTATGTAATCATCAGCTTCAGCTATTGTTGATTATATTTTTATGTTAGCATCACGCAGCCCGGATGACTCTGATTGACGGGATGAACTCGTTGCCTCAGCTTGCGCATTGTCATCGCGACACGCTACTTCAGTTGAACACCGAAGCGGACAAGAAGCTACACGAGCTTGCCCCCTTCTCTGACACTCAAGCACACGGAACCTACCCTCCTGATCGATATGTTCAGTTTGGGCCCTTTGCTATACCGAGAGGGAAGGAGGTACCGACAGTCAGTCGCTTCAGCCTTGAGGCGCCGACGTCTCAAGAAAATGCGTCCCGCGTTGTCAGGGCTTGCCAAGTGCCCAAGCCAGTTCTTCTCGAAGGCAGTCCCGGAGTGGGTAAAACCAGCTTGATCACTGCGCTCGCCAATATCGCTGGCTATCGGCTCTGTCGTATCAACTTATCGGACCAGACCGATCTCACTGATCTCTTTGGGTCTGATTTGCCGGTAGAAAACGGGAAGCCTGGGGAGTTTGCATGGAAGGACGCGGAGTTTTTGAACGCACTGCAGGAAGGTCATTGGGTGCTGTTGGACGAGATGAACCTCGCACCGCAAGCTATTCTCGAAGGTCTCAATGCCGTGCTGGACCACCGCGGCACCGTTTACATTCCCGAGCTGGGGCGTTCGTTCGTTCGGCATCCTGAGTTCCGCGTATTCGCTGCTCAGAACCCCCTGAACCAGGGCGGTGGCCGGAAGGGACTACCGCGGTCTTTTGTGGATCGGTTTACCAAGGTGTATCTCAACGACCTCACCCCGGATGACCTTCTCTTGATATCCCGTGGCATTTTCCAAGACCAGGGACACGACGAAGATGTCCTTCGGGCCATGATCCAGTACAATTCCACCATCAACGACGAGGTCGTCCTCCGACGGTCATTTGCGCGCGAAGGCAGCCCTTGGGAGTTCAACCTTCGTGACGTCATACGCTGGGGCGAACTCCTCCGTGCATCAGGAGGCCTCGCCGGGGACGCGGAGTCGCATATACGGACGCTGTACCTCAGCCGGTTCCGGACCTCGGTGGATCGTGAAGCTGCTGCCGCTCTGGCTCGCGTCGTTTTTCCCGTGATGGGTGATCACCAAATTCGGCCTCATCTACTTGTCTCGCCCACTCATCTCGCTGTCGGAGAATGGAACCTTGCTCGCGGCAACATGTCGTCCTCCGTCAAACCCAGCAATGTGTATCAAGCCCGTCTTCCCAGCCTCGAGACTATGGCCGCCTGCGTCTCGCAGTCATGGCTCGTTATACTGACCGGAAAGCATGGCAGTGGTAAGACCGGGATGGTTCGGGCGTTGGCTAACTCTACAGGGAACCTACTATGGGAGCTCACCATCAATAGCGCGACTGACACGATGGATCTCTTGGGCAGCTTCGAGCAGGTTGACGGTCGAGCACACATTACTGCGTTGGCTCAGGAGGTGCTAACCTTTACTGAGCGTCTCATGTGTCAGTCCCATGGGGCTGCTGGTCGGTATAGCCGGTATTATATACTTCTGCGGCATCTGCAGTCCATCACCTCTTTGGCTCCGGTAATCATGGAGCAGGCGTCTGAGCTACTCCAGGACCTGGCACCGATGGCGGAAGGATCTCCAGCGCTTACCTTGGAATACGAGCAGCTTTTCAACAAGGTCAAACGGCACCTCGTGTCCAACGCCTCGACTGGTCGGTTTGAATGGGTCGACGGCCCTTTGGTACGCGCGATCAAGGAAGGTCACTGGATAGTCCTGGAAGGCGCCAACTTGTGCAACCCCTCGGTTTTGGATCGCCTCAACTCTCTTTGCGAGCCGAACGGGGTACTCATGCTCAGCGAAAGGGGTTTTGTCGACGGCACAGTTCAGGTCTTGAAGCCTCATCCGAATTTCCGACTATTCATGACCGTGGATCCTCAATACGGCGAGCTTTCTCGGGCTATGAGAAACCGTGGTGTCGAGGTCGCTTTGCTGGACAGGTTTACCCCTGAGGACGAGCAGCGCTACCTCGACGACATGCGGTGGCCCCGTTCTCTGGAACTCGACTCTCGCGCGTCACCCACCAATTGCGAAGTTCTTCGACGTGGACTACACATTGTGGCGACAACGGAAAGTCACTCGTATTCTCAAACGTGGCCATCTGGGATGCCAGTCGAGCAAGATATGGCCTCATCCTCGTTGTTGACTATTGCTCCTTTCTTCGATCGGCTGTCTACGTCTGATGTACGAGCAACATTGCGTTTCTTCACTCGGACTTTACCTCCCGCGTATCGCCTTGTCTGGTTGCGTTATCTTGCTGGTTTCGACTTCGGACCTGCTGGTCAGATTATCTCCAATGCACTTCGTCAGCTGGATGTCTCGGTATTCTCGGCGGCACGTTCGAACCTCCGGGAGTCGACCGGCCCAAATGGGAAACATGAATCAAGTGTGGTCGGAATCATGGTTCGTGATTATTGTTGCTACACTATAGGCAGCGCGTTAGATATCGGGGGCATGTACTCAAGCTACTATGGATTACAGCCTTTGGACAATTTCATGGTTCTTCCTTCTAATACGCCCGACCTCCGCGAACGAGATATTCACCTGATGATACTGCAAGCCCTAAACCTTTATTGCGCGATTATTAGTTACGAAATGAACACTTCGAGACGTACCTCGTCAAAACCTCCACAGCAAAGGTCCGCGCTCGAGCGTATAGTCAACGCATCATCGTCAGTTCTGAATGAGATTCGAGACGCATCCATCGTCGTCCTAAGAAATTTCTCTGAACGTATATATTCCCAACCAGTGCGTGTTGACAGTCCCTCGTAAAAACATCTTATTCTGACCATTAGCCAGGACTTGGACCTCGCGGTCTCCCTGTTGAGCTATGCTGAACATCTCAAAAAGGCCGCAGATGGGGCTCAGATAAATTATTCCTACGTATTGACGTTGGCCAAGTGGATCCATCAGGCGCTTCAAACCTCATCGATCACCTTCTCTCGTGTTCTTCAAGAGTCAGATGCGCTTCAGAGTGCCATGATCCTAAGTACGGGTCAAGGTCTAGCAGAGATATGGACAAACCTCCTGCTCCCTCGGCGCGGCCTTTCTCGCGAGACACTGGAACGCCTGGAGGCTGCCGCGCGCACGTTCAAGACGCCTTCCGCAAGCATTGGTAAGTGTATTTCCTGTATTCTCGAAGGTGAACAGAATATTGACGAGCGACATGACTTCTACTTTAGATGCCCGGAAAAAAGTATTTGACGTTATGTGTCTTGGAACTCTTCCTCAAGCGCCTTCCACCGAAGAAGAGGAGAACATGCTCGTTCTTGCTTCGAAGCTATTGCAGGTATGATGTATCCTTTCCATGTTTGTCGAATATTCACTCAATCTACTCAGGCATCGGAAGATTCAGGATTAAGCGGCGATGTTCTACCGAGTGAGGGCACCACCCTATCTCTAGAGTTGGCGACTTTGGCGACCACATACAACGGCCTGACTACCGTAATAATTTCGTATCTTCCACCATCGATGACATCTCATAAGCCCTTCACAGGCGTCGAGACAATTATTGAGAGACATTTTAAGAGCCGCCTATCGAGATCAATCCGGTGGCCTCGTTCGCTTCGTTTCGTACCAACATGCTATTTGGGCTTCCGAAGTTGGCCTAGGTAAGTGATTTCTTTTTCTTTTGTGATACTGCATACCTGATTTCCGCCCTAGTGTCGCACGCCGTGTTATCAAGGGCACATTGCTATTGGCTACAGGCGCTCTTGGATTACACTTTTGAATACGACGTAAGAAAATCTCCTACAATGAACATTATTGAAATCATGCTGACGCCAAAAATAGTCTGCCTTGAATGGGCCCAGCGTGCTCCTTCATCCTGTGAACTTGAAGGTGACGCAGAAGATGAGGTTAGCCTGAAATCCTTCGAAATGAGTTGTTGTCGCTGTTGCTCACCGGCTTTATGATAGCCAATGGACAAGAATCACAATCGGATCTCTACCGAGTTACGAGGTCTCTTTAGGACGCTTCGCCGACATTATTTTATGTCACTGTGAAATTGACACGACACGCGTTCAGCAACTGGTCGGGTTCCTCCGCCAAAGCATCTTGATGGTGAGCGCTGTTGAGCTCGGTAGCGTGTTATACTGATGGGCTACATATAGGCGTCCTCGTCGTTTGCGGCCTCATATGACGAGGGATACTTGGAAAATTTAAGCTCCTGTCGGTCGCAGGGAAACCCGATTGAGCTGGCCTCGCTGGTGACTGCTCTGCAGAAAACGTCGCACGAAGCATTCTCGCAAAATTTACGTGCAATTATGGAACCTGCAGTGAACCGACTCGTGATTGACTCAGCCTCGTCAAAAGCTATTAAAGAGCTCGGTCGCTGTTTCGTAGCTTTGAACAAGCTGCTCATCGAGACATACGTGCCAAATATTCCCCTTGACCCTGCTGCGGTATTGGAGTGTTCAGTGGAATTTTGGGGAGACGAAGAAGTACTGTTGGCGGAACAGCTGGACTTGCACACCCTTCACGAGAAGAGAGTCACTGGAAACGACCAGAACCCTGTCACACGATATATGGAAGCTGCTCTCGAAAACGTTCGCCAGAGACTATCTAGCTTCTCTGTTCCGGTTACTCGGCGCTCTGAACGTCAACGAGTGGCCACGTTTTGGGCGGAGTACCAGCAGTTCCATTCACAAGTCGTATCGGGAGCAGGGGTTACGGCAATAGTGTCCTCTGATGGCCCTTGGGACTCGTCGCTCAACATGCGTGAAGAGGTCATTCAAGAGTCTATCGCCACTTTCTTGCAACGGATGGAGGAGTCGTATCCCGAGTTCGAAGACATTTTCTACCCTATGAAGCTGGCGTTGCAATACCTACGGCTTGGTTTGCGGCTTATCCGCTCCTCATCGAGCGACGACTCCAACTTTTCTCATTCCAGACTTGTGGAAAATTTGCTCCAGTTCCCGTCTATGCTCAGCTCCCAGCTGCTGGCTTCCCAAAGGGAGGTGGTCGCTGGCCCGAAGTCGTCGGTCTCGCTGTCCGATCAGGTTATCTTGCAGCTCTCTTCCGTTTCTTTACTTTCGGCTGTCCAACGCGTAGGAGGGCACGTGAAAGACGTCGAGGTTCTGTACGAGCGCATTTCTGCACTATGGAAGCTCGACTGTGCACGTAGAGAGAAGGCAGAAGCTCAGTCGCTCTATCGAGTTGCTGAGCATGCGATGGTCAACGACGAAGATGAAGAAGCTAACGAAGTCCTTGCTCTGTTCCCGACGTATGAAGCGGATAACGAAGACGCAATGTCACCCGAACAGCAAGAAACATCCAAAGTCTCCCAGCTTCTCAGCCCCTCCCACATCCATACGCTCTGTCGCCTTCACATTAGTCTCTTCGGTGATAGGAATTTGTCGCAATCCGAAGCACTCAAAGATTTCCTGGGCTTTGCGCAAGGCGTCGTTGACTCGGAGTTGAATTCTAATCTCCCGGCTTTTTCTGAGGCGTTGGATCATCAGAGTCTTCCCTTCCAAATCCTTCGGCTGCAGCACTTGCTTGATGGCTTACATATGAACTCGTCGCAAGCACCTAATTTCTACCGCGATTCCAATGTTTACGAGGCTCGCAAGGCGCTCAAAGCCGTTGAAACGCTCGACTCACGACTCGTCGAACTAATAGCCGAATGGCCCGATCAGATGGTTCTTCAGCATCTCCGGGAGCGATGCCAAGCAGTCCTACAGCTACATCTGGATAGTCCTGTCGCCAAGATTCTCTCCGTTGTTGAGGCGCTGCTGATTCAAACTGACGATTGGGAGATGTACGCGCATCGGAACAACTCCCTTAAAGAGTACCAGCACACGTTTATGAATCTCATCGTCGACTGGAGGCGACTGGAGCTCTCGAACTGGAGGGCGCTTTTGCAGTCGCAGTACGAGTCTTTCTGCGACGGTGTGTCAACGTTCTGGTTCAACCTCTATGATGTGGCGATCCGCAGCCCTTTGGCGTCCACGGAAGAGGACTTCCCGACCTTCATCGCTCAATTGCCGTCTCTCCTCGATCAGTTTATTGCTTCCAGCCCTATCGGACAATTTGAGGCACGCATGGAGCTTCTGCGATCCTTCATCTCTTTCGTTCACTGTCTAGCTGGAACGAAACAAGCACCAGAGAGGACGTACCTTCACCGTGTTGGCTGCGTCCTGCACTCCACTTGGACGTACTACGATCTGTTCTCGTCTGCTCTGTCTCAGTCGTTTAGCAAGAAAAAAGCGGCTTTGGAGAAGGAGGTACAGGACTTGATCAAGCTAGCGAGTTGGAAGGACGTCAATGTACACGCTCTCAAGCAAAGTGCTCAGCGAACGCACCATAACCTGTACAAAATTATACGCAAGTTCCGGGAGCTGATGAGGCAGCCTACCTCCGACCAAATGTCGCTCGTTCTGGCAGGAGATTCTGAGGGTAGCTTGCTGCGATCAGATGTTGGGGTGCGCGACGAAGGGATCATCACGTATCCTATTCCGAAGTCGCCCACGTTCCCACCTGTCACTCATGGCGTGCTATCCCAGCTCAAAGATATCTCTCATACCTTCTCCAGGTTCTCAAACTTCATCGAAACGAGTATTCGCCCGGCTTTCAACCAAACAACAGCAGACGTCGCGGACGAGTTGGCTGTCAACATCATCGTAATCAGCAAGGAGCTGGCAGCGACACCCATACCCGGCGATCTATCCAAGGAGAAGAAAGAAAAATTCTCCAAGGCGCTTCTCGTCCGGAAGCGCAAGGCTTGGAGTGATCTGCTCAAGGAGCTCAGGCGCGGAGGTTTCGCTACTGGCATCAAACCACAGGTGGCTGAGCAGCTTCGCAACGAGGGCTGGGTTCGGGAACAGCCCATTTTAGACTCGAAATGGTCTTTCTCAGTCGACAAGTCGGAGTACTACTTTACCAGACTTCGCGGCGTCCTTCCCAGCTTCAGGAATCTGCTTTCAGACCATCACACCGATATTAACACTCGAGAGCTGCAGCGAGCTTTAGCCCTTCTGGAGTCCGGGTATTCCTTCGCTCTGGACAGCCGGAGATGGTTCGTTCCTTTTCCCTTTGAGAACCTCACGTTTCCTGATGAAAATTTCCAGTCTGGCTGGATCAATCCACGACTTTTGCCAGGTTTCTGATATCACCCGCCGGCTGTATGCGTTGTCGACAGAGGGGTCTGTGATCATTGATGGACCTGCTTTGCAAGCACTGTCCACCTCCCTTCGGAGCGCAGTTGTTTCACTAGAAGAGGTGGTAGAGGGATCAAGAGCCTACTTTGCGCTTCAGCAAGATAGGATAAGTTTATCCGAAGCTGCGGAACAGTCACTACAAGAGTTACGCTCTCAGGGAACTCGTTGTATCGAAGAAATTGATCCTGTCGTGCGAATCCAGGGTTCGCTGCCCTTCGTGGATCGCATCCTCCCGAGTACGTTATTTTTATGTGATCGAAATATCCATGCTTAACGACAACTTTTCGTCAAGGTGAACGTGAAATTGCGGACAAGGCACTCGACTATTTGCGTTCGCTGCCGTCAGCTTTGGTCAAGGTTTCCGTGGAAGAGCCAAGGTTAAAGTACCTCCTAGACCCTGTCGTCTGCTGGCTCCAAACGTTGGAGATGCCATCCACGCTTTATCCTATCAATAACCATGTGCTAGATAAGGAGCAAACAGGCGAAGAGGTCATCAATATCATGCTAGTCAATGTGCAGATCCTTCTAGCGCAGCGTCCACCGCCTACCAAGGAGAGCGACGACGGACAGCCGGAGGACAACTACATCCGGGATGGGCTACGGGTTGCGACAGACTCTGTCCGATGCCTGTCGCTCGACAAAATCCAGTCGGCCCTTAGTGCACTTTTCGTCGCGCACGCTGGCCAGCCCTTCGAAATTATGCGACCCGTACTGAATCGCATCCTCCCTTTCCTTCATATCTACCTCACGTTCGCCCAAGAACGCATAATCGCACAGATCCGATGGGTGACGGTGCTCTTCAAGCTCCTCTTCGTGCTGTGCTCTATCATGCACACCGTAGCCAAGCAAGGTTTCTGCAGGCCTCCCGATTTGGAAGAAGGAGGTGAAGGCGAAGATGCCGGGGAGGTCACAGGTGGCGTAGGCCTGGGCGAGGGCGCCGGGTCGAAGAACGTGAGCAAGGAGATTGAAGACGAGAGTCAGGTGGAAGGGCTTCAAGGAGAGGACGAGGCAGAGCAGCCGGAGGACAAGGATAAAGAGGCGGGTGGGAAGGACGATACAATTGAGATGAGTGAGGATTTCGGCGGGGAGCTCGAGGACGTGCCGGACGAAGAAGACGAGGAGGGAGAGGCAGACGAGAAGGAGGATGAGGACGAGGGACCGGAGGAGAAGGCCGAGGACTTGGATCCAACCGACCCTTCAGCTGTCGATGAAAAACTGTGGAACGGCGAGTCAGGGCCTGAGGATAAGGAACAAGATCAGCTGGGGGAGGACAATAATCAGCAAGAAGGGAAAGATTCGGACGTTGTTGCAAAAGAGGACGAGAAGTCGAAGAAGTCTAAGGATAAAGAGCAGAAGGAAGGCCAGGCGAATGAGGAGGAGAAGGACGCTCCGGAGGCTCCGGAGGAGGAACAAAGTGCAGGTGAACAGGAAGAGGATCTACCAGATGGTGAAGCGCCTAACGAGAGTGGTGCACCCATGGACGAGCACGTCCCCGATGCTAATGCCCTCGACCTTCCTGACGACATGAACCTTGACCAGCAAGAACAAGAGGATCACGGCGACATGGATATGGAGGACGACTTACAGGACGACGAGGACGCAATGTCGGACCAAGCCCCTGAGGACGCGGACACTCAGGGTATGGACGCTGACTCTCCCGCTCCCGACGAGCCAGTGCCTGAGGACGCTCCGGCTGATGGCGCTCCTCAGGCGACGGCTGACGATGCGGAGGAGCCTCCAGAAGACGACGCCCCAGAAGATGCAGTAGCTCAGCCTGATCTTACTGCTGGAGGAGGTGATCCAAGTCAAGCGGATAATCGTCAACAACTAGAGGCTGCTCAGCAGGGCGAGTCTACGGGCGCCAACAGGGGCAGCGACGCAAAGGACGAAGCTGAGGAGCGGCCAGAGGCAGGGTGCGTTCGTTTCTTCAGAATATATGATCCACCATTGTTGACGCCAGATATTAGCGAGCAAGAAAGTGGGCCACAAGAGCATCAGCCAGAACCAACTGGTGGTGATACGTCTGGAAGCAATGCAGATGGCGTTGAAAGAGGACACGAGTACCGCCAACAGAATAGGGAACTCGCCAACAACCCACTCCGCAACCTCGGCGATGCCTTGAAAGAGGTCCAACAACGCTTCCAGGACATTCTTGAGAGCGAAGAGGGCGCGCCCAAGCCTAGCGTGGAGGAGAAGCCTGATGGAACAATCGAACAGGTTGAGTACGCGGACGAGGCCGACGAGGACATGCAAGCCCTTGGGCCTTCCGAGGATGCGCAGGTCACGAAGCTGAGCGAGCTGAAGCTGGTGGAGGAGGATTCTGCGCAGCAGCCTCCCATGGCACCGATGGATGTTGACCCTGCGCTCCCCGAGCCTGAAAAGCAGCCGCCAGTGAACCAGATGCACAGCGAGCCAACTGCGGAGCGCTTGCAACCCGACATCGAAGGCGCCATCTCGCAGATGAACCCTCGCGAGATGGACGGCACGAGACATGTTCCAACGCTTCCTGACTCTACCTCCATCAAGGCTGATCAGGACCTCGAAGACGACCCAACGACCCAAGCCCAACAAGAAACCGTCGAGCTCGCGCTGCGCGAATGGCAGTCCTCCGGCCAACCCTCTCAAGGCGCCGAGCAAATCTGGCGCCTGTACGAATCCCTCACGCACGATCTTTCCTATGCGCTCTGTGAGCAGCTGCGCCTCATCCTCGAGCCGACGCTCGCCACACGCCTCAAGGGCGATTACCGCACTGGAAAGCGTCTTAACATGAAGAAGATCATCCCTTACATTGCGTCCGACTACACCAAGGACAAGATCTGGCTCCGGCGCACGCGCCCTTCGCAACGCGAGTATCAGGTTCTCATCGCACTCGACGACTCGCGCTCGATGGCTGAGTCGCACTCGGTGCATCTCGCATACCAGACGCTCGCGCTCGTCTCCAAGGCGCTCAGCCGGCTCGAAGTCGGTGACATCGCGATCGCCAAGTTCGGCGAGAGCGTCGACGTACTGCACGCGTTCGACCCCGCTGCCGCATCCGGCGGCGGGCCGTTCACGGACCAGGCGGGTGTGAAGCTCGTGAGTGCGTTCAAGTTCGACCAGAAGGCGACGGACGTGCTCGCGATGCTCGAGACGAGCCTGCGGGTGCTCGAGGAGGCGCGCGAGCGGCGGGCGATGAGCTCGCAGTCGGCGGCGGACCTGTGGCAGCTGGAGATCATCATCTCGGACGGGATATGCCAGGACCATGAGAAGGTCCGGACGACGCTTCGCAAGGCGGCGGGGCAACGGGTGATGGTGGTGTTTGTGATCATTGACTCGTTGCATTCGCACGTTGATAAGTCGTCTGCGGCTGGAGCGGCGGCCGCGGCGGCCTCGCAAGCGCAGAACTCGATCTTGTCGATGTCGCAGGTGGGGTATAAAATGGTGGACGGGCGGATGGAGCTGCAGATGGAGCGGTATTTGGATTCGTTCCCGTTCGAGTACTATGTGGTGCTCAGGGGCGTTGAGGCGCTGCCGGAGGTGCTATCGAGCACTCTGAGACAGTTCTTTGAGCGAATTTCAGAGGAGTAGGACACGGTTGATACGAATGAAGTTGTGTTTTGTATTTTGATTTTGGGCATGCAAATTAATATACTTTACATGTACATGACTGGTGGAATTAATCGTCCGAATGGATTAAGGTTCTAGAGCTGGAATGTGTGGATGTATCAGTCCGTCTGGATGTTAATTTACAAGCGAATGTCTAGCAATGAGGTCTACAATGTCGGTGGGCGAGATTTTTGCCTTGACCAAACTTTCCGCTGGTAGTCGAGGACGACGGGGACGAGGTCTCGGAGGCCAAAGTCTGGCCAGTAGGTATCTGTGAATTGTATCTGTGTATCGTCACTGCACTGAGAAAGTAACGCAAATTCATGAGGTCATTGGTCTGGGCGTGCGAGGGAATATGCAGTTACCTGCCAAAGCATGAAGCCGCTTAACCGTTTGACTCCGCTGGTGCGTATGAGAATGTCGAGTGGTGGGCTACCGGCGATGGTGGTCAGCATCCGGTCGTCGATGTCCTTTTCTGTAAGATGTCTGCGGGCCTTGAGCTCTCCTATAAAAGTCAGAAGTAAGTAGCGCGTACCTTGGTTTCCCCTCCTTCACAACGTCAATTACAGCCGTGCGTACAGCGTTGTCGATTTCGTAGTGAGAGTCGTAAGGCATGAGCATGTTAAAGATCGCTCTGTAAATGCAAACGATGTTATGACATTTTTATTATTAAGCCAAATAATGTTTTAAGAACGCACTTATCATTATGTCGAGTGAGCTCCTCAGCTTTCTGGACAGCCTCTTGCACGTTCTTGGGAAACAGCTTCTTGTCCCCTATGACGTTTAGTCGTACGCCGTGTTTAGTGAGTAACCCTCTTCAATACGCGTCCGATTGAGCCAGAGGTGTTCAGTGAATAAGCTTGGCACGTACTCGTGTTGACATATCTCTAACAGCTTGCTCTCTGCAAGACCCATGAGCGTGTCCACCTCCTCTTGCGGACGATTGAAATTGGAGATGGCGAACGAGTACACGCTGACACAGCGTATGTTCATTTTGAAGCATATATCTAATGCCTTCACATTTTATGTTAAGCAGTTAGTCAGAATTCCAAGGCTATAACATACCCGTCTAAGAGCATCGAACCCAGCATAATGCCCCTCCTGCGCCTTTTTCCCTCTCTTGCGTGCGTACCGCCTGTTCCCATCCATCTCGAACGCGACATGTTGTGGTATGGGACCGCAAGAGAGAATTGCAAGTATCCAAGCCGTGAAGCGCGCCTGAAGCCACGCCCAGAATCGCAGAATAAGCTCATGGAGGAACATGCTGATGTGGCCTAAATCCATATATTGACGCGACTCGCCTATTCGGTGTCACCCCCTCTCACCCCCTTAACCCCTCTCATCGACATCCCTATATCTGCGAGTTTTTCTGCACCCTACCTATGTCAACACATCGAACATGGATGCTCCGAAAGCTTTTCCATTCACCAATGAGGAATTAGATGCAGCTGGTCTTCGGGGCGAAGGCGTTTCCGAGCTTGCCGTACAGGTAATGAGGACGATGCATATGACGGAGCACCCCAAACTCCTCGATCTGTCCCTGTTCACGCGCACGCTCGAGTTAGTCTCCCCTATGCAGACCCTATATCAGAAGACAGTGCATCAGCTACTCGGGCTTTCGCAAGTCCCTTTCCTCACCCGCCTCGCCAACCCTTAGCCATGCATCCCCCTACCTCCACCATCGCCCCGGATGCCACCGCTGTCGTCCAATACGCTCTCTCGGACTGGGAGAGGACCAACTACTACAACGGTATCTCTGGCGACCCTCCTGAGCTCCTCTACCGCTCGGATCTCCTCGAAAATCCCTTCCCCATCCCCAAGGGCAGACACCCTCATCTCCCTACCAAGACTGTCCATGGAGTCTTCAACACGCCGCTCAACGCTGTCTGGGACACTGTCGCTCCTCAGATCTGCGAGTCATTGAAAGCTCGGAACATTCGCTACTCGGTCATCACGACAGCTCGTTTCGTCACCCACGGCGAGGATGGGAATGACACTATGGGTCCCGTCGTGATTTGGATTGCAACTCATCCCACTACTACCACCGCCGAGAACGCGCACGACGCTTCTCCAGACATCATCGCTCTCCTCAAGGCCAACGGAGTCGAGGGTGCGGTGGTCGAATGGTACGAGGGAGCTGTAGAGAGGCTGTTAGGTCCACACCTTCTGCGCACCACCGACGACACCAACCCCACCAACCATGTCCGTCGCTTTCTCATTGCTGCGCTCGGCATGCCTATCGCTGCTGCGGAGAGGGAGGCCGATGATGCTCAGGGTAGCGTCGCGCTGTTCTTCCACGAGAAAAAGGACAAGCACGGCTCCCCTAGCGCCAGGGTCTTCGGTGTTAGCAACTGCCACGTTCTCCGCGAGGACACCACCGTCGAGTACGAGTTCAAGGGCGCTGACGCACCTCCCCAGCATGTTCGACTTGCCGGATTCCGTCGATTCCAGCGCGGCCTCGATGAGGTCAAGGCCTGCATCGGTGGCTACGGAATTGACGCCGATCTATTGGCTAGGGAGATTGCTGAGTTGGAGGCGAAGCCGAAGAGCGATGACCCGGACGAGGCGGCGGAGGACGAGACGGCCGTGGGGGCTAAGCGGGAGAAGTTGGCCAAAGTGAAGAAGGATATCGGTGTATTCGAGGCCTTCTACAAGGACACTAAAAGCCAGTGGGGTGATATTGCGTGCCGAAACATCGGTCACGTCGATTGGGCTCCCAAGATCTCTGTCGACGTCCAGGATCGCAAGTACACCAAGGACATTGGTACGTTCGAGGTTGATGCGGCGAGGTTCAAGGCCCAGTTCAAGGGCAACGTCGTCAACTTAGGAGACAATTTTACTCCCCAACAACTCACCAACATGTTTTACCCTCAAAGTGTCGGTAGAACAGCGTTCAAGTTCCCTACAAATCGCCAGCTCAGGATCAACGGTTGTGTCACGCGCGAGCTCCTGGCTGTTCCCGACTGTTTCGACAACAGCGGCGAGCCCTGCCTTATCGTCATGAAGGATGGCAACACCACCGACCTCACGGTCGGACGCTATGCCGGCCTGGAGGCCTACCTTTGCGATGACTTTGGCGTCGAGTCCATCGAACTCGCCATCTATAACTACGATAGGCAGTCCGGCCCGTTCTCCGCCAAGGGCGACTCGGGCTCGCTCATCTTCGATGGCGAGGGTCATATGGTCGGTATTCTCCACTCTGGGATGCCGAAAGGCGGGAGCAACCACGTCACCTACGCCACCCCCGCCTGGTGGGCCATCGAGCAGCTCAAACTCAAGTATCCGCACGCCGACTTCGATCGCACCGCCTTCTAAACGCACACACCATCGCCCCTATCCATCATGCAATAACACCGTCGGCGATGTCAGTTCCGCGACTCGTCCACGTGGGGAAGCAAAGTCAATAAGCGCCGATGTCTTAGTCTTGTTTAACCCCTGAGTCGCGAGTTGCCTCTGACATGTACTTTCACCTTAGATCCACCTCACATACCACGTCGTGCATTGCCTGTACGTGATTTGTCGAGATGTGTTGTATATCGTAGTTTTGTGAGTATTTTTTGTAGCAGAAAGTCGACCGCGAACCTCAATCGTAAAATCCAGCACTGGCAAGAAGGGCCACGACTGTCGCACCGATCGTCGCCCCAGGAGTGACGAGGGTGGGCAAAATCTACCGTCATATATTGGCTGCCCCGAAAGTAGTACGTGCAACCGTCCCAGCAGCGAAGCACCATCATGTCAATGTTACTCGTGAACAGGTTTGTAAAGCCAATATTTCTGCGGAGATTTATTCCAATCGTTTACTATCTCGTACGGTCCCTCCGATATTTCTTTGGTGCGATTGCGATCAATGACAACACATTGCTCACCCTAAAAAACATGTACACTTTTGCTGCCTACAGCCATCGCGCAATCGATCGCAAAGCGATGGACTCTGGAAAGCGCAGGCCAGCAATATGTCCACAACGTCGGGCCCCTGATCTCGTTGGTATCGATGTTCGCGAGGATGTAAACGTCGCGAAGGGAACAAAATAGACATTCAAAGTGCTGCCCTTCTGTGACTAGGCTGCATTCACTTCATGAAAGCCGAACGTGTCTGCGAGCTTGAGCGATGGGGTGGACGACGGCTTACCACACGTCCGTCTTATGTTGTTCAACCTTGCGTGCAGCGTAATGGTTTTGATGCCTGCATACCGTGTATGTAGCTAAACATAGAGGTACTACTTTGCTCGAGAGTCCTTCGGAACGTACACCGGGCCATAACTAAAGTCTAAGAACGCGCTGGGGGATAAATTCAGAGTCAACTCAATCCAGATATTATTTTTGGAAGATTTTAGAGCATATAAGCGGGCTTCCTGCAGGGTAACACAACAAACATTTTAGAAGGTCGAGGAAGAGCTGTCGAAGACTGTTGAAAGTTGGTTAGGCTTTGTTTAGCTTCGAACGATGATCCAGACTTCGGACCGGAGTTGCCTTTTACGTCGGCCTGCGATCAGCTTCCGGGGTCTAAACTTGTCCAGCTGCTGTCTCGCGTCTGTCTTCGCCAGTGTCGACTCGGACCTCCCCGCCCTTTCCATCCCCTCCTCTTGTCTCTGACTTCCTGCCATGGGTCCCGGAGAGAACTACCACGAAGCCCATGCTGAAGAAATCAAAGCCCTGCTCAGCGACGACAAGCTCAGCCAAGACTTCAAGTTCGAGTTCTCAGATGACTCGGATCGCGTCCAGGACATCGAGAACCAGCAGCGCCCAGTCACGCCTCGACGTTGCCCTTATAAATGGAAAGGGATTCTGGCTGCTACGCTGGCCGGCCTAAGTCTTGTGTTTCTTTCGGGTTGCATTCATAAACACGCTAGTTCGTCTTGCACTCGTGAGCAGCCGTGTCCGCAAGCTGCCACTAGCAATGCGGGGAAGTTGTTCAATAACGGGACGCATGACTTTAAGAGGACGGTTGTTATGGTGTCAATAGACGGCTTGAGGTGCGTTTTCTGGGCTCAGCTGGGTTGCTGCGGTAGTGTCAAATGCTCATGGTTGTTGCAGAGCGGATTATCTCGACAGAGGGTTTACCCCGCATCTGCTAGATATCAGTAAGAAGGGGTTACGGGCTAAGTATATGAAGCCCATATTCCCTGTGAGTATCAGGTTCTCCACGTTCGCTAATTTGTTTGCTGACTTCGACGAACAGACACTTACGTTCCCGTACGTCAAACGATTTTGGTTATCACAAGCTTATCCGCTGACTTCACTTCACACCTTCACAGAAATCACTGGGCACTTATGTGCGTTGACATCAGTCCCAAAAGATTATCGCACTAAATTCTTTCATAATAGGACTGGCCTACACGCGGAGTCGCATGGCATAGTCGCCAACGCAAGTCTCACAAAATTAATCCACACATCATGTTGTCCTGACTCCGCTCCGTAGAACTTCTACGACCCTGTCTCTGACAACGTATTCGCGTACAACAAACCTGAATCATGCTGGAATTCCTCGTGGTGGTATGGCGAACCGGTTCGTTATTCATTGAAAAATATTTGGGGTTTGGCTAACCTATGAGCAGATGTGGGAGACGGCCGAGAAAGCTGGTATCACCACCGCCAACCTTATGTGGTAAGTGTTCTCAGAATTTATTATGATTTGATTTTTTCAAGAAATATCCAGGCCCGGACCGCCTGTCACGAGCGACGGAGGGTCCTCGACTTATTTTATCCCATGGCGGGTGCGTCCTGTGCTTACCTAAAAATCTGGAAATTGTTGTTGATGGGTAATCTAGGATCATGTCCCTTTGCGGGAAAAGCTGGATCAGATTCTGACCTGGGTCGACCTTCCTGTGGAGACGCGTCCCCAGCTCGTCCTAGGTCAGCTCCATTCTTCTCGATTTTTACCGGAATTCTGATTTCTCATCTGATATTATCACAGCATACGAGCCATCCCTAGACCAAGCCGGCCACCTGACAGGCCCCCTATCCCTTCTAGTCAATGTACGTCCCCCCAACAAAATCCAAAATACTCGTAACCGTTGTGAAAGTTCTCTTACTATGACACCTCGCTGTGTAGACTACGCTCGCCGAAGTGGATGTCTTCGCCAAAGAGCTGCAGGAATCCCTGGCAGACCGGAACTTGACCGACATCGTGGATATCATCTTTGTGAGCGACCATGGGATGACGGACACCAGCCACCCAGAGTGGTTCTTCATCGATGATATCCTGGGAGACGATATTAATCTAGTTGAACATTCTGATGGTGCGCTACCATTCCTTGCTGTGTTCTCCTCTATTTTGCCCACCGCCAACTAATTTCGTTGATTTTGTTGCGCCGACCAGGCTGGCCGTCGATGGGCCTGCGCTTCAAGCCCGAGGCGGACCTGACACGTATCTATGACATTCTGTACGACGCCGCGTCCAAGAACGAGGAGAAGTTCGAGGTGTTCACGCATGAGACGATGCCCGAGAGGTACCACTTTTCGAACAACTACAGGATCGCGCCGATCTATGTTGTCCCGAAGGAGGGCTATGCACTCGCGACGCATAGTGAGGATACGACGCTTATGTCCAAAGGAGTGAGTTCCCCCTTTCCTGTGGCTTTCGACGACTGTGATGCTGATGAACAAAACAGAACCACGGATACGATAACGAGAATCCGTCGATGCACGCCATGTTCGTCGCGCACGGACCCTTCTCGTTCGACGCCAAGGCGACGTCTTTGTCTTCCCGGTCTGCGGAGGCGTGGCACAGTGTGCAGGACGACGCGTATGTGATGCCCGGGTTTCCGAACGTCGAGATCTATAACTTGATCATGCGGCTGCTCGATGTTGACGAGCAACGGTGGGCGCCGACGAATGGGACGGATGCGTTCTGGGATGCGTATTTGCCGGAGGATATTTGATCGTTCTAGTGGTGGTGATGATAACTAATACGGGCTAGGCTTAGACTACAGGCTGTGGGGTCAGTCCTGTCCGAGTTCAGTGCTCGGCGAGTTCAGCGTTATTCGGCGCGTGTCCTGTATGCCAGCTGATGATCTCAGAAACGCGTTTTTAGACGATTCGTGACTCGGGTAGTTAATTCAACGTATGATTGCCTTTTGACTAATAGTTTGCTGTACATTAATTTAAACGTCTTCCTGTAGAAACAGTAATGGGTTACTTGGATCGTTATTAGTCTTCCAGTGAGATCTAGATAGACTTCGAAAACTGAGGGTGCTCCGAGTCCTCCAAGATATTGCTGTCGAACTGTTGAAATTAATGTTTGTGTCAACCAGTGTGACGTCGCTGTTCTATCAGCTCTTTCCATGTTTTCAAAGCGAGCGCATGCTTGAATAATCGCTAGACGTCGGCGAGTAAAAGGAGGCAAAGGCCGTGTAGGAAAGGTTGGTAGAAGGTTGACGTCAGGCTCAACTTACACAGCCGCGCCGACGAGTCGGTGGGCGCATGGTCCGAGCCCCCGAGGACTGGCGCTTAACATGGTAACGACAAAAGTTAGTGTCTCCGCATGACATCAATTACCCTTCCCAATGCATCAGGTTCATACAGCACTCTGCTAACACCACGTCCAGCACGTTACGACTCGGGGCAAACGCATCGAGGCAATGATACTTGAAGGGTACATTCTACCCGTCTCCGTTCCTCATAAAAGGCCAAAACACCGTCGTCCGTTGTGCCCGACATCCGTACCCAGCCTCCTGCGTTGCTGTCTCACCCAGGCTCCGGGCCCTCGCTCTTATATTTATCAAGACCCACATACCTGTAGCAACAGCATACACATATATCTTCAACCCCTCCCCCACTATTCCCCTCAAGCTTGACCACGTATACCCACGCCCCGCCCTCGAATGACCACACCCACGAACAAGAACGATCCCTCCTCATCCAAGGTAGCCAATTCCTCCGACGGGCTCCGAAACCGGGCCAATGAACAAGGACGGCCGCAGAGCCAACAATGGTCGCGTCTTCTCGTGCTCTGCATCGCCGTCGCCCTCGGGGGCGTCGTGACAGCACGCGCACTATGTCCCGACGTTGCTTGGCTCTCAAGACAGCATATCGACCTACTCTGCTCGGTGCCATCCTCCCTCCTGAACGGTTGGCACGCGGCCCCAAATACGATGTCTAATGGGACGCACGAGTTCCGCGAGACGATGATTCTCATTTCCGTTGACGGACTAAGGTGCGTGTGCTGTATACCTGGGCACAGCTAACGCGCATATATGCTGACTGTTGTATGCATGGTAGACAGGAGTACCTGGAACGAGGGCTCACTCCGCATCTCCTCGAAATGAGCAAGACGGGTCTGCGAGCTGACTACCTGAACCCCATATTTCCAGTCAGAGCGTTCTCTATGAAATGCTTGAGTTGTGTTGACTGACTGGTGAACGTTCATCAGACATTAACATTTCCGTGAGTGTCATAATGAGCATAGCTTTCGCAGTGTTCGCTAACATGCATGACAGGAATCACTGGACGCTCATGTAAGGGAAATCAATGTTAATGCGGAGCTTATCTTAAATGTATTCGGGAATTAGGACAGGGCTGTGGGCGGAGTCCCATGGGCTCGTTGCAAACGTATGTTTCCTCTATTCATAAATTACACTTGTCCTTACGCGCGCCTATGGTGATCACAGAAAATATTCGACCCTGCTACAAAGAAAGTCTGGTTACCCACCAAGAAGGAATCGTTCGAGCCCGAATGGTGGTTTGGCGAACCAGTATGTCTTCCTGATAGCAGCAAAACGCGCTATATTTTTCTCTTCTTTTGGCTCATCGACATACCAGATGTGGGAGACAGCTCAAAAAGCTGGCTTGAAGACCGCTGACATCATGTGGTACGGAGTCCTCGTGTTATCCAAAATTTGATCCAAAAACTAAGTTTATCAACAGGCCAGGACCTCGCACCTCGCAAAGTGGCGCCACGCCGACATATTCCGTGCCGTTCAATGTGCGCATCATGGTCTGGCATGGCAGAATTTTTCCGCTAAATTGTGTTATCGTTATAGTTCTCGTATCCAATAGATGCAAAGTTGGATCGAATACTTGAGTGGATGGACATGCCGATCGAGGAAAGGCCGCAGCTTATAACGAGTGCGTGACTCTTCCTAAACTTCAAAATTATCACTAATGATTAGACAGTGTATGAACCATCGCTCGATAATTCGGGGCATGAGACAGGACCACATTCATTACGAACCAATGTATGTAAATACACTTTTACCTGATTTTTGAAGACGGCTAACGTATTATCAATCAGCAAACGCTGGCCAAAATCGACAGCTGGGCAGGAAACCTCACAGCATCCCTCCAAGCGCGCAATCTCAGCGACATCGTCAACGTGGTAATATTGAGCGACCATGGAATGGCTGATACGAGCGCACCCGAGTTGATATACATGGACGAGATCCTTGGAGAGGACTTCGTCACGATTGAATACATCGATGGTAATTGCTTTCTGTTCTTTTTTCATTCTCTTGAATAACCTCTTGTCTGCCACAGGCTGGCCGTCCATGGGCTTGCATCTCTTCCCGGAAGCCAACGCGTCCCGCATACTGGAGAAACTCTACGCAGCAGAGGACCCCACAAAGTTTGAGGTCTTCACGCGCGAGACGATGCCCGCACGGCGGCACTACGCCAACAACCCGCGCATCGCGCCTATATTTATTACGCCCCACCTCGGGTATGCACTCACGACGACGGTGTTGAACGGAACGGAGATATCGGTAGGGGTGAGTGCCTCCCTCGAACCTTCTCCTTGTGCCGACATATCTGATGGCGCTCGTGGATAGAACCATGGCTGGGACAATATATACCCCGACCTGCGTGCGGTCTTCCTCACGCAGGGCCCGTTCGCGGAGAGAATGAAAACCAAAGCTGCAGCCTATGCCTCCGGATCACCTCGGAGTGATTCGGACCTCTGGCAGTCAACAAAAGGCTCTGGCTCGGACGGCTACGTGATGACAAACTTCAACAATATTGAGATATATAATTTGGCGATGCATATGCTGGGCATTCAGGACCGCGCCGCGAGTAATAATGGGACGGTGGGATTTTGGGATGCGTACGTTTAGTTTAGAGAGGATTGTGTGATTGTAATTGTTTCCGTGATATCCCATCTCATCATTTGCATGACATTATTTATTGGAGATTGCATTCGCCATACCAATTCAGAGTGCGGGTCTGACATAGATGAATCAATGACTTGCAGGCGCTGCCAGTACGTATAGTGAGGCTTACAATGTTTCATAAAGACGTCCAGAACCAAGCTCAGTATAATACAATTACATGATGCAGAAGCTTCACTCCATTAATCGGACACAACCTTGATCGAGGCGGAGGCAAAAACTGCAAACCAATAGATGGAAGGGCGGAGGAGAAAGAAATAGATCATTATGATTTCGTCAAGTACCATATCCCGCCTCTGTCTGTCTAAAATCCCCCCTTTTCTCTCCCCTCAACCCTCGGCGTCGAACACGGTGTGGTGCGCCTCGGCGACGTCCATGTGCTCGCCGGTGGCGGTGGGCACGTACGCCTCCTGCGGAACGCCGGTCTCGTCGAGGCCCTCGGCAGCTTCGATGATCTCGTACATGCGCGAGGCGACCTCGGGCGGGGGCACGCGGCCCGAAAGGATGTCGCGCGCGGGGACGGGGGAGCCGTAGAAGTCCCGGTTGGCGTCTTTGCGCTCGATGAGGACGGTGCCTTCGAGGGAGAGGCCGGCGAAGAGGCCTACATACGTTACACGAGATTAGCTTGGGACTTTCAACAAGAGATAGGAGGCGGGAGGTGGGGGGTGGTAGTGTACAACTTGGAAGAGGACTACGCACCCTTGCTCTTCGAATACGAGAACATCGGCGCCGGATGCGCGAGCGAAGCCTGTACGGCTCCGCCAGTCCCGATGGGGCCCGCCGCGGCGCTCACGTTGCCGCCGATGGTGACGTTGCCGCCCATCGAGAACGCGCGGACGGCGTCTTCGCTATTGAGCACGATCACAAAGTCGGTGATGTCCGCGCCGATCTGGAGGCCCCAGCCGAGGCCGCCGGTCGCGATGCACGAGGGGGCGGACCACGAGCCGTCGGGCAGGCGCGCGATGACGAGGCCCGAGCCGGCCTTGCCGGAGAACATGAAGCCGGCTTTGATCACTTGGAAGACGGCCAAGCCTGGATGTGCCGTGCGAGGGTGGGTCAGACGAGGTTGGCGGGGAGGGGAAGTTGGTGCGCACCTCGTGCATTCAGCAAAACTGCCTTTGGTATCGAGTTGAGCGCAGATTCTGGACGATCTGGGTCCGCTATAGTCGTATGAGCTACACGAGTTCTTCCTTCTGAAAATCTTCTAAAGATTGAGTTAGACGCACCCACAAAACTGTTCAGAATCTTGGCTGCCTTCTCTGCCTCGCCAGGGAGCGTGAACGTCTGAACAAAGTCCCTGGACCCGCTGGCGACCTTACTGGAGCCCTCCTTCACGAAGGCCGTCGCCTGCACGCCCGCCTTCTGCGCGCCCCTCCGGAACTTGTCGAGCATGGACATCGTGATGGGGTCGTATCGAGAGGATAAGTCAAGTGGTAGTATTTGACTGCGTGAGGGTAGTTGGTCGTGAAAGAACTTGCTGTGGAGGCGGAGGTGAGTGTCTTGGCTCAGCAGCCGTCTATACAAAGCGCAATTGCACCGCTATAGCGATCGGTTACGCCTATAGCTGCCGTGCCATCTTCTGGCAGTTTGAGTCAACGTTCGCGTGTTCACAGGCATGTGCATCATCACAAATTCTGCAGTTCGCTCATATTTTGAACTCATGACGATAGCAAATGTATAATGGTAATAACAATGAGTGTCCAAGCTGCAACCTAGGATACAAGACTGATGACCTGCTGGTTCTGGAAGACAGTTATCTCGAGGATGGGCTGAGTGTCGCTGCAGAGACGAAGAAAATCACACAAGTCACTCAATGGCGACACAGACAATCAGCATGTGGGCTGCTCGAGGAACCCTGTCTTCATCACCCCAAGTCCAACCCGAGTCACCCCAATCTCGGTTCAAGAAAAAAGAGGCGTTGATTCCCAACACTTGCGGTCTTGACACCAGTCGCGGTAGTCATCGATCCGTGCTTGAGCAGCACCTCTTGCTTCCCAGTCACGTAGATCTTCGTGTTCCTTGAGTTCGTTGAGAATGTTTGTGACTTCCAAGAGGTTCTCTGCACTCGTCAACTGATCAACTGGCACCGCTTTATCATAAAAGGTGACGTGATCTGGTTCAAAATACACGCATAAAGCAAAGTCAGAAGCCGTTCACTGCACGCCGTCAATCGTCAACTTAAGATAAGATACACGCACCCATATCCCATATTTCTGACTCCATGCATACCTGGTAAATCTCCTCGCAGCCAACGCGGTCGAAATTAGGCTCGGTGCTATCCTCGAGGAACTCACGATTGACTTCGCAGATGTGGTCGTCGTCCGCATCGCCAAAGTCGACGAGCCTGATCTCGCACATGTTGGTCTCCGAGGGACGTATGGCAATGTTCCTCCTGTCGTCGATGCCGCAGTGCTCTACACCAGCTTTGTGGAGGTTGATAAGACACTGCAACATAAGCTTTCTATGAGACGAGTGTGTCAGGAAGCAATCGAGAGACCATATTAACGAGGACATGATGTACGTACTTCGCGCGTTGGGGGAGCTTGTTGAATGACCGAGGCAAAGGTTGCCCACAGTCCTCCATAACAAGGACCGACAGCCGACCATCCTCAGCAGTGCACCCAGTGTAGTAGCCATATATCCACGGCACACATATTCCCTGGAGACCAGAAAGCTTTCCGTTGTAGATTTGCGCTTCCTTCCTAAGCTTCTCAGTCGCTTTCTTCCCGTACCCAGCCTTACAAATCACCGTGTCCTTGCCGTCCCATGGGGTATCCAATCTTGCCCGGAGAACAAAAGGTTCGTGGAGATTTTCAGGCGGAATTGTGGAAGAGTCCCCTCGAGAAATGAACTCTATGATCTCCACAATACGGCGAGACGTATCATCAGAGGGGTGGGCGACGCTGTAGTCGGAGTTGAGAGCAATGAATTCATCATTGTCACCTAATCTCGAGGGATCTACAGGGAACTGTAGGATAGCCATGACCGTGAAAGCAGACCTGCACGTAAAGAGAGAAGGGGCGAGAGTGGTGGCGGACGAATAGGGGTTGATTGCTTTGGTTGTGGCGCTGCATTGCCCACTGGCAAACAAACAAGAGATAACGCAGGACTCTCGTTTTATGACCACCACTACTAAAACGTTTCAAGATTCAAAACATTTTGTCGCTTCTTGCCCTACCTGAAGGCATCAGCTTTGACGGTCATGGCTACTATTCAGTTTCCTGTGGATCTCATGGAGCTGGATGAACGCGATGAATTTGTGACCCTCGAATCCGACCCTAGCGTCGCTCCCCCTTTTGACAGTACCCCTCGCCGTATCACAGATATCACGGGGTTCATTTCTCGAGGGGAGACTTCCATGATCCCTCCTGAAAATCTGCACGAACCTTTTGTTTTTCGAGCAAGACTGGACATCCAGTGGGACGACACGGAGTCGGTGGTCTGTAAGGCTGGGTACGGCAAGAAATGCACTGACAAGCTTAGGAAAGAGGCCCTAATTTATGGCAGGAAGCTTTCTGGTCTTCAAGGTACATGCGTCCCGCAGATCTACGGCTACTACACTGGCTATACTGCCGAGGACGGTCGGCTCTCGGTTCTTGTCATGGAGGACTGTGGCCAGCCTTTGCCTCGGTCACTTAACACGCTCCCACGAAGTGTGAAGTACGTACCCCATCCCGTTGCTGGTACGGCCTTTTAATGATCCTTTTTCGCCCATAGAAAGAGTATACTGGAGTGTCTTATCAAGCTCCATAAAGCTGGTGTATGGCATGGGGACGTCGACGACGAAATGAACATTGTCGTACGTCCCTCGAAGAACGACACGTGCGAGATCAGGTTCGTCGACTTTAGTAACGCACAAGACAATCACACCTGCGGAGTCAACCCCGAGTTCCTCGAGGATACTACCGAGCCTACCTTCGATCGAATCCGGTGTAAGGAGATTTACCAGGTGTGGCTAGAATCAGAGTTATGGGTTGACAGTGCGTGCATTTCATCTTGTCAGAGACGTGCAGCAAACGGACCCCTTGACGGCACATACATAAACCAGGTTACATCCTTTTCTATGACAAGGTGGTGCCAGTTGAACAAATGACGACTCCAGAGAACCTCTTAGCTGTCACAAACATCCTCAACGAGCTCGAGGAACACGAAGATATCCGCGACTGGGAAGCGAGGGATGCAGCTGAGGCAGAGATTGATTACTACCGCGAACGGTGTGAAGCCCGCAAGCACTGGGAGTCGACGCCCCTTTACGCGAATTGATGTAGTTACAAATCATCTGGGTTACTTGACCTTAACCAAGGTGCTCGATTAAATTAAACGGACTAGCTGGGGGTGAAAGCGGTGTATATTAACGGATAACAGATGTGTTTGGCTACTTGTGTACAACTCGGCCTAGTCGAGGGTAATTAAACATTTGATTGATGAACATAGGTGGTGGAATAGTTCAACGAGGAAGAAACAACGCGTTTCGCCGCCCTCGATCTGGTCCGACTAGTCGCGAGTTGCGACTAGAGAGATAGAACGTAGTGTCTGCGTGGCGAAGTACCTGCAATAGGGGCTAGTAACCGTTCTGGATAAGATTGTCTTTTCCTGTCCCTGACGTCATCGTCGGGTGGATGATGCTCGAGGTGACTCTTCCTCGAGATTACAAGTACATGCAGAAGTTCACAAGAAATAGCATGGATCCTGTCTTCATTGATGCATAAATGATACAGGTCAAGTAAAAAGGGGCAGTGATTCCCAATATTCGCGGGCTTCACACCATCGGCGGTAGCTATCAATCTTGGCCTCAGCTGCACCCCTCGCTTCCCATTCACGCAGATCCTCGTGTTCCTCGAGCTCGTTGAGGATGTTTGTGACCGCCAAGAGATTCTCCACACTCGTCAACTGGTCGACCGGCACCTTGATGTCGTAAAAACTGATATGGTCTAGTTAAAACACATAAATACGAGTCAGAAGCCGTTTGCGACGTAATGTCAACGAATGAAATACTCGCACCCTTATCCCACAACTGTGACTCTACGCATGCGGCGAATATTTCGTAACAGCCGACGCGCTCGAAGCCAGGATTGGTACTATTCTCGAGGAACTCGGGATTGACTTCACAGGAGTGGTTGTCGTCCGCCTCGCCAAAGCCGACGATCCTGACCTCGTATCCATCGGTCTGCGAGGGACATATGACGACGTTCCTTCCGTCATCAATATCCCCGTGTTCTATACCGGCTTGGTGTAGTTTCATGAGACACTCAACGATACTCTCTCTATGAGGCGAGAAAGTGCCAGCAATTAATAAGGGGTGATATTACAGGGGATGTCGTACTTCACGCGGCGGGGAAGCTCGTCGAGTAGCCGAGGCAAGGGCTGGCCGCAGTCCTCCATGACAAGAACTGAAAGCCGGCCTTCGTCGATAGTCCAGCCAGTGTAGTAGCCATAGATGCGTGGAACGCATATACCTTGGAGACTTGAGAGCTTGCCACTATATATCTGCGCCTCTTTCTTGAGCTTCTCAGAGCAACTCTTGCCGTACCCAGCCTTACAGATTACCGAATCCTCGCCGTCCCGTTGGTTGTCCAGTCTTGCTCGGAGAACAAAGGGTTTGTGTAAGTTTTCGGGCGATATCTTATAAGAGTTTCCGCCACTCGAAATGAACCCTATGATCTCTGCAATACGGCGAGGGGTACTGTCAAAGGGGGGCATGACACTGGCGTTGGAGTCGAGAGTAACAAATTCGTCGTCGTCACCTAATTGCAAGAGATCCACAGGAAACTGTAAGGTAGACATGTCTGTGAAAGTCAATGACTTCGGGTGGAGAAAGAATGCGCGAGAGTGGTTGAAATTTCAAGGTTCAGATGATGGCAGTTGTAGAAGAAGAGGGTTTGGGGTATTGCGGTACTAAAAGCATTGGATTGGATTGCATGTTCTTTGCTAACCAATAGCGCTGCCGCGCACGACGACTTTCTGTAGAATCGCATACTGAATGACATGCGACTAGGGACATCCAATAGCGTCTTATATTTCACGGCGCTGGCTGACTTGATGGCCTCCTGAAAAAAATGTCACATACGCACCTCTTTCTGATAATTTTGATGCGGTGAGTATCCGCAATAGGGGCTAGTCGTTACACCCATGTGATTTTATTCTTCTGTTATTGACATCAGTCAGTTGTATGCTTGAGAAGTCTTATTTGTAGCCAGGAAGGAGAATCCCACAATGGCTAACTAGAAACAGCGCATAAACGCTGGCCTCAACATCCTAGATCGCCATACATAGTGACATGGTTCAAAGAAAAAGGGGCACCGATTCCCAATGCTCGCGAACCCGACGCCAATCGCAATAATTGTTAAACGCTTCCCGAGCCGCGTTCCTCACTTCCCAGTCTCGAAGACCTCCGTGCTCTTTGAGCTCGTCGAGCACTCCGGTGACTTCCCAGAGATCCTCCGCTTTCGTAACTTGGTCAGTCGGTACCTCCTTGTTATAGAAAACGATGTGATCTGCTCCAAGAAGGCACTGCATCAGCCACCTGCTACACGGTGAACATAGTGGCAAGATAAAAGGCACGCACCCTTATCCCACAGCTCAGACTCGTTGTATGCCTGGTAAATCTCCTTACAGTCAACGCGATCGAGCCCAGGCCTAGTAACATCATTGAGGAACTCGGAGCTCGCGTCGCACGCGTGGCTATGGTTTGCACCGCCAAATCCGACGAATCTGAGCTCGCAAACGTCGGTCTTTGAGGGACGTATGACGATGTTCCTTCGATCCCTGGTGCCGCCATGCTCTATACCAGCTTTATGGAGCTCGACAAGGCACTCGAGCATCAGTTTTCTATAAAGCAAGGCCCGCACGGTGGTCAGAGATCAATCATAAACCACTATTACGAGGTCACCGTCAACACGGGATGCATACTTCGCGCGGCGCGGAAGCCTCTCCAACGGTCTCGTCAGCGGCTCACCGCAGTCCTCCATAACAAGCACAGCGAGCCGACCGTCTTCAGTGAGGCCAGAGTAGGAGCCATAGAGCCGCGGAACGCATATACCTTGCAGGCTAGAGAGCTTCCCGCTATAGATCCGCGCCTCCTTCTTGAGCTTCTCGGCGCATTTCCTTCCATAGCCAGCCTTGCAGATGACCGAGTCCTTGCCATCCCACTGGCTGTCTGGCTTTGCCCGGAAGACGAAAGGCGCGTGTATGTTCTCGGGAGGACCATTGGAAGAGGCTCCGCGAGGTGAAATGAACTGTGTGATATGTGCGATACGGCGAGATATGCTGTCGAGAGGCGGCGCGACGCTGGAGTCCGCGTCGAGACTAGCGAACTCATCGTCTTCACCTAGCTTCGACAGATCTAGAGGAAACTGCAGGGTCGCCATGGCTGCGACTCCCTAGAGTCAAAGTTTTGAAACAAGATACTGTAGGAAGATGGTGCGCTGGATGTGAGCCCTTGTCTGGGCCATTGTACACATCGTCAAAAGATCCCAGCAGCACGTGTGGAACGGCTGCAAAAAGACTGGGCTTGACCTTGGCGGTTCTGGAGAGAGGACCCGTTGCTACATGACAGGGGCTCGGTACAGAAGTGGCTACTTCGGCAAAGGCCGGTCTCATTGTCGGACTCGCAAATTTGATCATCTCAACATCTGCTCGCTTGTAAATCTACCGATTATCTACGCCTGCTCCGACCCTGCCGCATCAGAATTTCTCTCTTGTTCTCCTCTCGCTCTCTTGTGCGCTGAGCGAGTCGAGGTGCTCCACTGAGATCTACTCACAATGCTTTTTTGTTATCGCAGTCCAGATGAACAGCACTGACTCTTGCATTTCCAATCTCGGACAATGTCAACAGGCATAGGTTGAAACCCAAGATGTATGCAATGATAGAGTAACTCCAAGTAATAAACTAACTAACAGCCCAAATATACCAGGATACATCGCCACAGCCGTCATAGCATTAACTGTCTGCCTCAGCGCTCAATTTCTCAATGCCATGTATCATTGAGCGTCTGCGAGCCGCTCGCGGCAGTCGTGATGCTGTTGTTCGGGTCGGACTCCCAGGTGACCTGGCCGTTCTCGAGGACGAAGTACTTGTAGGTGATTGCAGTGCTCGAGGGTAGGTTGAGCGTCGCTGCAGAGACGGACGAGGAAGAGCGTGAGTTAGTTGATTGCGTCATAGGGACAACAAAGAGGAAGGGACAGAAAGACACGTACTGCTCCAGACGGGGTAGTCGAGCGTCGAGAGGAGGACGGCGTTCGAGGTCGACCACGAGCTCAGCGCGGCGACGCTGCCGGTCAGGTAGATGGCCTCTATGGTAAGAAGGAAGACGAATCGCATGTTATTTCTAAACGTCGAGAGCAGTACTAGTGTGATTCTACGCACGTCCGAGCGAGGTCGTCTTGTTGACGCTAAACGTGACCGACGTCGTCGTGCTTTCTCCGATTTTGCTCTGGCCGCAGCTCGTCGTGAGCCCCTTGGCGCCCCACGAACCCGGCACGCTGCCCGCGCGCCTATCGAACGCCGTGAGCGCAGACGCATAGCTCCACGTCAGATCGACCGCGCTCGTCGGCGTGCCGTCGTCCCTGCTGAACTGCTCCGCGAGCCCGCCGCCGCTGGGCGTGTACTTCGCGTTGAGCGCGATGAACCCGTCCGCGAAGCTCTTGATCGCGCCCGTGAGGTTCGTGTACTCCGCGCTCGAGCTCGCGTAGCTCCCCGACGCCGCGCCGCTGTCGAACTGCTTGAAGAAGCCGAGCGAGATGTCGGAGATGCTCAGCGAGCCCTGCTGGTCCCACACGTACAGCGCGTCGTACAGCTGTTCCGCGACGGCGAACAGCGCGAGGTACCACGGGTTTCCGCCCTGGTACACGTCCTCCGGGTACCGGCCGACGGCGGCCGCGGCGCTCGCGGAGATGCCGCTGTTGACGGTGTAGATCTCGCGGAAGGAGTCGACGTACGTCTTGAGGTTGCTCAGCGCCAGGTCCGAGCACGGCTGGAACGTCACGGAGTCGCAGGCCGCGGCGGGGTCGAACGTGTGGATCGACGCGAGGACGGTGTTCGCGTCCTTGCCCGAGCGCCCGCCGCCCGTGTTTGCGGTCATGTACCCGGGCGAGGGGTTCCAGTAGGACTGCAGGAAGCACAGGACGTCGCCAGCCTGCGTGTCGTAGGTGCTGTGGTCCTCCCCGAGCGTGCTCGCGAGTGCGGAGCCGAGGCGGAGCGCCTTGTGCTGCACAGCGGTGGTGAAGAACGAGGATGATTGAATCTCTTCCCAAAGGTCGAACGTGGTTTGGTTCCAGTTCGCGGCGACGTAATCGAGGTCGAGCTTGATCGCGGGCCAGAGCGTGTTCTGGACATACGTCTGGTTGTTCTTCGAGATGAGGTAGTTGGCATAGGTAATGAACGCGGTCGAGCGCAGCGCCGGGCCGTCTTTCGATGTAATACTGCGTGAGTCCCTTATATATGCGTCCATTTTAAAGGGAGCTTACCGCGCTGCGGGCGACCCCAGCTTCCATCAAAAGCTGTCTCGTTGACGTAGAACTTTGGCTCGCCAAGACCACCGGAGCTGACGCTCCCGCTCGGGTTGGTGACCTGCTGAATGTTGGCGTATGCAACGGTAAAGTCGTCGATGAGACCCTGGTTCGAGGTGTCCTGCCCGCTCACGAGGCGGTCGATCAGGACCTGGAACGTGAGGGACGAGTCACGGATCCAAGTGTAGAAGTAATTCGGGTTCTGCAGGGAACATTGCACTCAGTATGTATTTAGAGGTGGTCATGAGGGTGAAGAGCTCACTGAGGTGCTAGGACTGGCAACGACGACACCGGCCTACGGAGATAGAGAGGAGGATGTCAGGGAGTCTACTCGAGGATAGTGAGGCATTACACACATCAGCACCAGGCGCCTTCGAGCCATTAGGACCGATGTTGTTGAGAACGCCGGTCAAGGCGATGGGTCCCTCGGAGGAGATGTAGGAGGACACGTCCTGCGCGAAGACAGACGTGCAGAGGCCGAGCGTGGCAAGCGCACCTTGGAGGAGCATCGTGATGTAGACCGTGACGCGATTCAGAGGCAGAGCACCGACGTGGACGAGGAGGGCGTGCCAATACCAGCTCGCCGTCGCGACAACATGGATTTTATAGGCCGTCGCTTGGGAAAGCCAAAGCGAGCGTAATGAGTCCATTTTTCATCGCTGGCCGCTGTTGCGTGCTGCGTTTGCCGAGGAAGAGGAGGGAAGGGCGATTTAGACCACGCGGGTTGTGGCCGCCTGACACAATGTTCCATGCGCGCTTTCACGCGAAACGCCCCACACCCCGCAGCGCTCAGGGCCGATCTGCAGAAAATAGCAGGTTCACTTGATCGCCCTGTGGCCGCTGGTCATAACGCTGGACCAATCACTGCAGACAATCCCGAGTTTTGTGGTTCGGAAGAGCGGCACAAAGAGTCGACAAGGGGAATACATGTTCCGTGGATCCAAAAAGACTCAGGCGAGGACCAGTCTTGAGCGGGTTGGACGAATATCGCAATATCACATGGAAGCGAACACCGGATTGTTGTTTGTACCGAACCATGAAGCCTGAAAACCTCGTGGACGTGGTGAGCAACTTCTGTCATCCTGGCACTTATTTTCGTCTCCCCGCTATGGTACACCGATGGTACCGAACAGTTGAACATTTGAATGGGTGCGAAAGAGGTGCGAAGCTGCGTCCGACTCATCGCGGCTTTTCTGCACTTCCACCACTGCTGCCAACACAGCGCCTAGCAACTCGACACAACGATAACAATCCTTCTCTCTGTCTCAATTTTGATCGTTCGACAGACGAGGAAGATGAAAATGAGCATTGCTTGGACCAAGTTCGCTCCTGGATGATTTTCATTTGTTTGTCAAGCAAATGAAGATTATCCAGGAGTGAACGTTGTCGTTGAACACTCTTCGCTCATTGACACCATGATCATATTCCGAACCTATCGAGTCCTTCTGCGTCCCGATGCGTCCATGCAGGTCTATTCATACCTCCTCACAATCCTGACATGTACTGTCCGACCTGATCTCGGCGCTGTCCTAGAATATGCACCATCCGATCTGGGACTATCCGCGGAGTAGAGACGCAAGGCGGGACTTCGTTGAACAGGTGAGAGTGCGCACCAGCACAGGATTTGCACCGCTGGCGGCTACTCATGGATCCACAGGAGCTGATTCCTGGGTTGCCGATCTTGCCTTGTTGCAATCATGTCGATCAACGCCGCCAGGAGTCCTCAGCGCCTAGCGCGAGCTCCTCACTTCAATATATGCGCCTCAAGATGAACAGACTTGAAGAGATCTGATACACGGGCGCTAGGCAGGAAATACCGCAGGAGGCGAGATAGATGCATGCTACATCGCACCAGCGTTGTACGACCAAGTTCTGCATTCTTGAAGCGAATGATTCATCGTAATCGCGATTGGAGATGGCAAGTCACCGTACGTCATCTTCCGAGAATGATTTTTGAGCGGTTTTCAACTCACGATGACCATCGTTCTTCCAGACATCACTCACCGACTCGTATGCATGTGGTTGCCCATGTCAAGCAGAGGTGTTGGCGGCCGACCTCAGCTTTTTGCTGCTTGTATAGCACGAGCACCTTACTGTCCTAGTCACAAAATTTTAGCCTCAACGAAATAATATTGTTCCAGTGGTTTGAGTGCATGTTCTTATGCCGTGTCAATTGGATGAAGAAAGGGAGGCCTCATGTTCCTGGGCAAAACCTTTTATCTATTGGCGCAATTTCGTACGTCTTCTATCTTGATATCTGCTGTGAACATTCTCAGGTCTCACGACGAGTCCTTGCCTTCTTCAGCTACGGTCGTAGTAGATATTGGACACATCATCCACAATCGAAATGCGCAAGTGCAAAAGGCCCAACCCACTCTCGCACCTCGGAAGGGTCGACCCCGTCCAGCGGGCGCTGGCACTTGTCATCACCCCTCCGTCGGGCGCCCATTCATTCGAAGTCCCAATAGTCTCGAACACCGTTATTAAAGCCCACCGATAGGCCCGTGACCTGCACGTTCCCCATGACCCCATGACCCATCCAACAATACTCCGCGTATCTCTCCCCCTCGGTGCTCCTCCTGGGACATTCCCTCGAACGCCTTCCATCGCCATTATCACCGCGACCTCCACGACTCCACTCCCATACCCTAGTAGGCCTGTTCCATGCCCGTCGCTGGACTCAGGCGTCTCCTCACCACAGAAGCTCATGTCGCTGGCGGTCGACTAAGCTATCGAACCCCTATCTATAGTGCCCGGCGATACGCCGCAAACCGGGCCGACGCCTCGTGGTACCCGTCCCCACCTCCATACACATCCTCAGCTCGCGCTCGCCCCCTCCGCGCTCTGGCCGTGACCAGCGCAGTGTTTGCAGGGACCATTCTGCTGGGCGGGGCGACGATACACGGGGATGCGGATGTGGACGCGGACGCAGAGCCTGATAACAGCAAGCCGGGAGGACACCGCCCCGCGTCCTTATCGTCGCTCTTCCGCGCGTACACTGTGTACGCGATGCTCTCCATCCCAAAGCTCGTCGACTGGTCTCCGGCGATGCTCACTGCGCTCCTCTCTGTTCCGGGGGTCAATGTGATCACGAGGGCGTTCGTAAGGTCCACGTTCTTCGCGCACGTACGTCCCCCTCTTGGTTCCTGATCATCTGGTTATCGTGAGTAAAGCCCCTGACGCTACATGTTCATCATTGTAGTTCGTCGGCGCTGAGACGGCGCTCGAAGCCATGCCTCTGCTCGAGCAGCTGCGGCGCGAGAACAAGGGCGCGCTTTTCGCGTATTCGGTCGAGGTCGACGCCGATCAGGCGACCGGTAACGCGGCTGCACAGCGCAGCGCGCCGCACAAGCAGGCGATCGAAGAGATGATCTACTCTATTGATATCGCGGCGGACTTTGAGGACAAGTACGCGCAGGGAGGGAAGGCGGGGAGGAGGACGTGGGTCGCTGTCAAGCTCGTGAGTGATGTCATCGGTGTCCACTCGATTGATGCTGAGATGGTGTGGTTGATTATCGGTAGACTGCTCTGCTGCCTGACGCGAGCACCTTGACGAGACTATCGCTCCACCTCTTGATGGCGCGCAGGGCTTCGGAGGGGACCTCAGTCGTTTTTCCCGGAACGCCTACTTCCTCAGATTTAGATGTGTTGAAGAAGACACCGGTCGATTCGCCGCTGACTGCAGAGGACGTCGCAGCGCTGAAGGAGCTTCATGATGATCTTGTGAGGGTTTGTAAACGTGCGCAAGAGAGGAACGTGAGGATCATTGTGGATGCGGAGTACAGTTGGTATCAGGTCCGTCCGTCCGCTTTACTTGATGTCTTGAAAGTTCCATTGAAACTAAACAACATCTTAGCCCGCGGTGGACGCATACACACATGCACTCATGGAGCGTTTCAACAAGACCAGCTGGCTCTCATGGGCCCAGACACTAGGCGGCAGCGGCAGCGTACAGCCGCTGGTGTACAACACCTTCCAGGCTTACCTTCGCCGGTTCGTCTTATCCCGTATCCCTTCTATCTTCCTCATGTTCACCCTGCTCATCAACTCGCGATGGTTGACACCACAGCACGCCCGCACACCTGCAAGCATCCCTCGCCCGCGCCAAAGCCGGAGGCTACGCCCTTGGCGTAAAGCTCGTCCGTGGCGCATACCACCCACACGAAATCGACGCTTTCGCCTCTGCCAAGGCTGAGGGTGGCTCCTCGTCTTCGCCCTCAATCTCGATATCGCCGGAAACTGAACCGCCTGTATGGACGAGCAAAGCTGAGACGGACGTGTGCTACGACGCGTGTGCGGCGCTCTTAGCTGGGCAGGTCGCGCAGGATGTTCTGAGAGCGGGTTCTGGTTCTGGTTCTAGCGGTGGAGCGCAACCGCGCATAGGGGTGTTGTTCGGGACGCATAACTGGACGAGCGTGGACCGGATACTGGATGCGCTTGTTACGCAGGGTGCTGCGAAGCGGGAGGTGAACGAAAAGGACGGGAAGGATGTGATCGTGGTTGGGAAGGAGGTCACGGAGAGGGTGGCGTTTGGGCAGCTTCTTGGTACGTCTACGGAACCTATATGTGACGAAAGATGACCAACTGTTCGTTACCCAGGAATGAGCGATGCGCTGACGGAGCATATCGTTCACTCGACGAACACCGAGACACCCTTCGTGCTCAAATATGTTCCATACGGCGCCCTCGCGGACGTGATGCCCTACCTCAGCCGCCGCGCCATCGAGAACAAGTCCATCCTCGGTGATGGCGCGGCGTCTCTCGAGCGCAAACGCGCTGGCGCGGAGATTCGCAAACGGCTCTTTGGGAGGAACGGTGTTCCTTGGTTTTGATTCGCACTGATCTAGATAGACTTGATTGTGGAACATTTGGAAATAGAAGACCGCACTCTGTTACATCCACACTCTGACAATGTTAGCATCTGGACCTTGTATTCAAGACTTTTCCACGAAATACAGCCAACGATGAGCATCATTCCCTGACGCATCGGTATGATCCCTTGATGATACTGCACGCTGATTGCATTAGTTGGGATTTAACATTCAGGTATCGCGTATCAGGAGGTTTTATGGCCATCCCCGCCCTAATTTCAGCCAAAGACCTAACTAGTCGTCATACGCTGGAGGTAACGTGGCTGTTTCAGCTTGACTGTCCAGGACATCTGTATGGTTGTCCAGGGCGTCTACATGAGTTCCGAGTGCGTTGTCCAGGTTGTACCGAGTCCGATCATCGCTGGTGCATTGCTCGAGGATGGAAGCGAGCTGTTCAGCAGGGTTAGTATCATCCACGAGTCGAACGATGCTATCTGCAAAGCTGAATGAGCCAGCCGCCCTCGCCGCGATTATCTGGATGGCGTCCTCGGACGGCGACGGAACAGGTTGCTGCATAGTTCGTCGCAACCATATCTCTGCGAAGCACGCTCTCAAGAAGTGAGCAATGTCCGCATGCACCTCGTAATCGTAGTCCTGCATATTGAATACTTGGAAGTTGTCGACGACTCGCATGGTCCGCCAATGTTGCAGCGGAACATCAGGGTGGCTGGTGAGGAGGATGTGAAAGTCGGGCAAGCCAGCGGCGCGTAACCTGTCCGCCAGGAGGCTGAAGAAGTGGGCAATTCTGGCGTATTCGCTTGGAGGTAAACATTTGTCGACACCATCGAAGACGAAGACCTGTGGTCGCCCCATCGACCACGCGTCTCTGAGACGCCTGAGCGGCTCGATAAAGAGCGGGTTGATCTGGTGGGCGTAGAATCTGTGTTTCCCGAGGAGACCCGGATCCCTGAGAAGAGCTTGGGTCACGGCATCGCGCGCGGCATCGCGTGCGGCGTTGTATTTAATCCCGAGTTGATACGCGATGGTCGGAAGGATGCAGTTTAGAGATTGCCGCTCGGGCTCTTCGTGGGGAAAGAAGAAGCATCCCCCAAGCCGCGAAGAGGCCCGAAGCTGGTCAGCGATGGAAAGAGCTACCGCTGTTTTCCCGCTGCCGCCCGCTCCATGGAACCACACCACGCTCCGACCCTTCTTTTCCAAATGCCTCATGATGTCTGTCAGCAGCTGTGTGCGGGTTCCTTGCAGGCATCTGGCTTGCGGGGAGGAGTCGTCGAGAGCGCTCAGAGGGATTTGCTCGGAGAGAGATACCCAGACGTCGTCTGCTTCGGCAATGCAACGCTTACCAGCTATTCAACGTTTTTAGCATATCAAGTACATCAACTCGGTTCGCTAGACTGCTATCTCACCTGGCATGATGGATATACGGATGGGAGGGAGTGATAGATCCAATGTAGGTACGACCGATCACGTTGAAGACATTGCTGTATTTGAGGAAGGATGGAAGCTACGCAGTGACTCACTCAATATAGAACAGGCAAGGGATCATTCCGAGCTGCTACAGATCAGACCATTAGTATACACACAACACAAGCAAACACATTGTAATCTTATGACGCCGACTTGCCTGTTACGTGGTTGAGCACGCACGAGGCTACCCATCCCAACCCGTAGGTATCCGAGACGGGTTCATCATAGTAACCGTACTTCAAATGGGAAGGCTGATTAGCTCTTCCAGATAAGCTTTCCATCGTTTCTCCCAGTTCTCCGTGACGGTTTTCTTGTCCGACTCGTTCAACATCGAGTACTGAAGAGGTCAGTCAAGAAAAAGCAAGATGTAGAATGCATGTGACATACAGTGATACTATCGCGAGCAAGCTCGCCTAGAGTGATCAAGCCAGTGATTTCACTCGCAGCCACTACCTGCCATACCGGTGAGGCAATGATCGCCGCAGCGCGGCGAAAACGACTTACTTGGAAGAAGTCGAACGTAAGACCCATGTTTCCGAAAAGGGCAGGATCATCTGAACTCAGAGCAACGGGCACACCGTTGTTCAAAAGGATAGGTAATGGGTGCATAGGCATTGACGCAGTCAGCCGCTGGATAATGCATTAGCACAAAAAAGACCTCGGAACAGGATAGATGTCAAGCATACCAGAATCTCGTTTCTATGGCAGAGTAAGCTTACCTCCACGTTAGATGCTGGACGCAACCACTCACGAGATAGGACAAACTTCAAGAGCTATTCCCCTTTCTCGACAGATTTCCATGAGCTTTGGGTGCTTGACAAGTGAGAAGCTGGAACAGGGCGTTCTTGAGAGATATCTACTGTTACGGGAGACGAGCTTACCCATGTCCAATACGCTTCGTTCCAAGTAGGATGGCATCATAGAGGTTAACATCCGCGTGTGACCCATCCCCACAGGTTTCCCCTGCGTGGAAGAGAAAGGGTATATCGAGCTTGAGCTCTTCTAACCGTTTCTTGAACCCAAGCAGTGGTTCAATGTAGTAAATGAGAGGGTTAAAGATGTTCTCGTCTCCAACCAGATCAAATCCTGGCTCGCGTCGTCACTTTAGTTTATAACCTCGGATCAGTCGAAGGCATGAACGAACCTGTGATCAAGTGAGGAAACTCTTGCTTGAGCGTGATGCAGTCGTCCATATACCACTTCATCTCCTCAGGCGAGATATTCCGAATCATTGTGTATATGATCTATGATGGCGTGTAAGAATCGACCTTCTCTCGTCATTTAAGCAACTTCTTTACCTTAACCCCGAAGAAGTCATGCGAGCGACCGTGTTCCGCCTGATTGCGCTTGAAGGCAGAGAGCTCCTCGTCAAACATTTTTAACCATTCGCGGTGAGGCACATTCTCCTCTCCGTCAATGCTATACATGAATCTGAAACAGGGTTGTGAATTCGGTTCCATGTCTACAAAGAGTCGGACGGTAACTAACCGGCGATGAAAGTTGATTCGAACCTCGACGTAGGAAATCCCATCCGCCACTAATTCAAGCAGAAACTGTTGGACGGTTGCTCGCCAGATTGGAACGTAATGCACCATGCTCTGAATGACCCGCGCTGCTTCTCTAAATTTGACCCAAATCTAGAAATCGTGAGTTCTCGAGAAGGAGCGGCAGAGTTCTTCGTGTGAATTCAAGCGAATCGAACCTTTATATTGTTGTTATGTGTCCCATACGCTTCACTGGGATTGATGGACATGCATCGTATCATCCACTTATCGAAGCCATCCTTTCCTCCGAGCTCAGAGGGAAACGTCTCCCGCGCTTTTGTCAAAGAGATCCACGAGCCGTCGGGTACCGTTTCATTGATGGATGAAGCACTCGATACGTAGTCCCTGTGCATCGGCTGGACTTGCGGGACGGTGTATTCAATCGTGATGACATCAAGTGCTCGGGGAACGCGGACGTGGATAAGACTATGCTTCAGAGCATTGTCGAGGATGATCCTGCAGTTGGTCGCCAAGTCAAAATGGGCATGCAGCACTGCGCCCTTGGGCATCTACGGCCGTGATACTGAATATGCAAAGGCGATTCGAACCACAACGAGGGCGGGGACCCACTTTACTCAGAAGTTGAAAGAGCTTGGTCTTGAGGACGATTTGTTTGCCTGCCCAAGTTTAATGGTAAAGTTAATAAGAGACGAAGATAGTCAGCTTTACCCGTTAAGAACTCCATCCCTGGAAACGCATTGGGAACACCGTCATGCTTGACTCCCCAGACGGTCTTCGCCTCTACATCGCGTATGCGCCGAATGACCTCGTCCGCTTTCTTTTCGAGAGCTGTATGGTTCGCGGCTCGCACATGATCGACGCGAAGTGCTCTGTCCTGAGAAATTAGGCTGGAACGCTTTTCATTATAAGCCTGAACGTCGATGGCGGCAGTGGTCATAACGGGGGAAGGCAAAGTGTCTCCGACCCTAACCCTAATAGACGTCTGCCGCAATCAGCGGATTCTGGCTCCGAGTGGCTCGGACCTCTCCGCGCCTAGTCAGCAACCAACACCAACTTCCGTTGAATGCATAGCGGCTTTATTGGGCACGGGAGTTTGTGAAAGAGATACTCAGGGGTTCCTAAAATATCTTGCGTAAAGTATACTTTACATGTAGTCAGTGTTCCTAGGCTATTTCTCGTTGCGACTTTCACTGGACTCCGAGTCGAGGGCAATCTGCTTCAGCACGGAAGCAAGCTGTTGGATAGGACTGAGATCATCGACGAAGCGAGTCATTTTACTAATATACCCAAAATTCCCTGACGCTCTGTCCCTAACCGCTTTGATGTCCCCCTCAGATGGCCAAGGGATAGAAGACTGGACTGAACGTCGCAGCGCTATTTCTGTTAGACGCACCCTTAGAAGACGCGTGATATCCGGGCCCGCATCGTAGCTCTGGATATTAACAACCCGTGGTGTCTTTTCAAGTGATCCCAGCACCTCCTCACATGAGGCATTAGTACTGCTCGTGAGGATAAGGTGGAAGTTGCGCCCGGGACCCCGTCCAAGGCCGTCAACCAAGAGTTTGAAGAAGTGTATGACTGTGCTATACTCCTTTGGGGAGCAGCACTTCTCGACCCCGTCTAGAATTATGACTGGCTTGTTCCCCTTGTTATCTAAGAGGTATGCCAAACCATCAAGCGGGTTGACGAAAAGAGGATTGACTTGGTGGGAATAGAATCGGTCCTTGCCGAGTAGGCCAGGATCCTGTACAAGAGCTTTCGCGATTACACCTCGCGGAGCGTAGTACAAGATGCCCAGCTGATACGCGATGGTGGGCAAGATATAGAGAAGGGATTGGCGCTTAGGATCCGTGCGAGGGAAGAAGTAGCATCCAGCTAGCCGATCTGCCGTCCTGAGTCTTTCTGCAATGGAAAGAGCAACGGCCGTTTTCCCGGTCCCCGTGGGCCCGTAGAGCCAGATGATATGTCCAAGTTTCCCATCAAGGTGTCCCATTATGTCAGAGATAAGCCGATTGCGCGTACCATTGAGGCATCGTGCGTGAGGGGATGGATCATCGAGAGCACTCAGAGGAATGTGCTCGGACAGCGCTACCCAAATGGCATCAGGATCTGCTGGAGAACGTCTGTCAGCTTGCAGCCGCATGAATTAATCACCGTCATCACCTACATCTATCCATCGTAACAGCTCAGAGCACGAAGGTTGAATATCGCGTGCTACAGATAATGGTGCTTTGAAGGTGATAACATCAGCCGGACATCATCGCTTTACGGAAGGCACTGGCGTGGATCGTTAAAGGCGGGTGAAATCGAGCGTAGCCTTTTCCCTATGCATGGGAAGCGATTACCTGGAGCGCACGAAGACCTAAAAATAACACGCATGCACTTCATTTACGAAGCATGAAGAAGGCAGGCTCAATGGTGGAAGAGAAATGTGGAATGGTCGCAAAAGGAATTTTTGGTCCGAAACTCGGATATTCCCGACAGCAACCCATTAACTAACGTAGCTACTAAGTCGATGGACAAGGTCAGATTGCTAGCAACCTAGTAGTAATTGATCCAATCATGTATTGTGCACAGCAGGTAGCATGTCACCACAAAAACGTACTGTTACTTGGCCCATACTGTTTTGTGCACCCCTCAGGGACGCTAATCCCAAGAAAGTGGGATCTCGCCCCTCAGCTTAGCACAAAATCTTACTCTACTCGGCCTTGTAAATACGAAATCTGCGTCGTGGACATGAGTATGTGAACGAGCCAACTGCTAAGCGATGACTTACCCGGGAACTGATTCCCACCATACCCCTACTACACCACGCGAGGGAAATGAAGCACAACAAAGTCATGCTGCTGAACTAGGAGCACCTTGTTCCCTCCTAGCACCTTGAAGCCGCTACATTTCCCCAGCCCCATGTTTCTCGCGTCGAGTGAATACGGTCTATATGCAGGCGGCACCCAGCAGAGCGTCTGGGTACCTTTGTAAATCCATCCGCTGTTGCGAAGGCTAAAGTCCGACCAAGACTGGACGTCAACGGTTGATCCACTTGGGATCTCCCCAAATGGGTCTACTTCGTTCGAGTCGAACAGGCGAATGGTTTCATAGTAGTGATCGCTCGAATGTAACGCAAGCAAAGAGCGGCCGGGGGAGAAGGTGAAATCGCCTTTGGCCCGAATTCTTGGATAAACCTGAGATGGTGGCTCATTTGCAGCAATGGAGGTGCCGACATTTCCAGTAGGAATAAAGTAATTGGGTGCTTCAGTCACGGACAAGCAATACACCTCTTTCGATTTGAGTTCAGCGCTAGGACGCGAGCTGTCGGCGTAGTGTCTGTAAGCCAAGAGAGTAAATTTGTTGGATAATGTCGACCCATGGTACACGGCTTCGACCGTGTACACGATGTTCGCATCGTTGCTGGAGAAAGTAGCACAGACGAAATTGCTCCCTTCGATTGCAGGGCTAAGAGACCCTGTGCGTGCTGGATGATTGCTGGGATGAATCCGGTGGACAAGGACTTTACGATCCCGAAGGCAACAAATTCCCGTACTGTCATGCGAAAACACGACTGCGTTGAAGCAACCTCGCACCACTCCGAATTGTTCAAACTTACTCCCCCTCAGACACCACACCACAACGCATCTTGAATATAGCCCTACTATAGTGTCGCCACTTGGAGAGAAAGAAAACGAACGTGTACAGCCCGCCTCGCTAGAGGTGAGCATACGGGGGGGTTCAAGGGCATGGTGGAACTTGTGTCTCTGAGATCGCAGCGTGATCGACTGTGAAAGGGATAAACAGAAGAAGGATTGGAAACCATAGGAAGCAGCGACACTCGTAAACACCTCTGTTGAGAAAGGCCGCTCTCCGTCGGAGCTGGCATAGCTTGCATTGAATATTGTAACATCAGCGACGCGCTCGCCACCGGCAGAGATCATAGCGGTAACGAAGCGATCGCCATGGACTCCAAGAACATCGAGGTGATGCGCCACATCCACTTCGTGGGTTGAAACTGAACCTCTGCTGGGAGGGATTGAAGGATCCCAGAGATTGATGCTACGTTTGTCATCGGATATGGTCCCGATGCGGCCATAGGAGCCTCTAGCTAGCGGTTTGCGAGGCGAGAACGCGGTGAAACGCAACCCATTGAGAGTGAACAGCTGGTCCATAATCTGGACAGAGGTGATTCGACCACCGAACGAGAGCAACGTTGCGGACTTAAGACCAAAAGGAAGTTGCATCGGTTTGGGCTTGGACTTGAATATATTCCATGCTGAAGGTAATGGCTCTAACCGAGAAGATTCGACCAGTTTTCCTGAGAACGTTTGGGAAGACGACATCTTTGACGCCGTTAAGAGCCAAATGTTGGGCTGAGCGGACCAGAGAACAATGACATGGTCGTCATCACGGAAGAAATGACAGACAAGGAGGGAGGGAGGAGGTGCAGAGTGACCAAGGGAAAGTTCTCTGACAGCGGCCAAGGTTTTTGCGTCTCTGAGACATACGGCGATGTCGCCGCAAGCAGAGGATAAAATCCACTCCCCGCACGGAGCGATTGAGACAGAGGTACAACAAGACCCATCCGGTACGCGGCACGAGGCAAACTCCTTCCATGGTTCTAGTTGGTCAGGCGGGCGATACCAGGTACTAATTGAGGAGGTCGCTCCAGCGACAATCACGAACCCTTTCTCACTATTCGCGCTCATGGCACAGCAGAGCCAATAGCTGCCGTTCATGCCGTTTAAGGTAGGCAACACGAATGATTCGTCAGGCCTTCCTCCAACCTCCCACAAACGCACTCCTTCGCGCGAGACCATGAGGATGTAAGTACCATCTGCAGAGAACGTGATAGCGTTCTCGAAGTGAATGGACCTCTTGTGACGGCACGTCGAGCTGAATGGTACTACAAAAGGTAACGACCCGATTTTAGAGCCGGTAAGTGCATCCCACAGATGTAGACTTCCGTCACGATGCCATGAAGCTACATGGGTGGCATCTGGGGAGACGGCAACTCCAACCAAGTTCAGAGGGTTGCTGCCCCTGGCAGAGGGCTGTCGAGAAGGTAAGTTTGCCACGACGTCGATTGAGTGCGTGCGAGGGCTCCACTGCGGCACGAGTCCCCGCAGTACGCGGACACGACTCTGCTCCCCGTCGAGATTGAATGTCTGTCGAAGCCCGCTGTCGCGTGGAAGGAATGGAAGAGCGGAGTGATATAAGCTCATCACGGACAGCCTCAAGCTGGGACTAAACTCCTGCACAAGCCTTTCTGCGTCATGTAGAAGCTGCAGATTTTTCATGCGTGTGGGTGTATCCCATGGGCAGTCCTGTCGGATGATTAGAACATCACCCAGAAACTTGGCGCAAACGCTCACTCACCTCTATGACCATTGACGCCTTGCGAAGCATATGTAGTCCAAGTCCCAGTTTGTTCAATGCAGCCATGACCTCGATCCAGTAAAGAAGCTTAGTGTGAACGAAAGCATGCACTTGTTGATCGAGGCTTCCCAAAGTAGCGGAGCCCTTGGAGAGGCAGAGATGATCTACCCAGTACATGCAGGCATAGTACAACGCCGAAGATGGACTCAGCTTGCTGTCCCTTGCTTCCTTGAAACAATGGACCTGAGCGTTAAATCTTGCGGGGGCGTTTGGGTCTTCAAGCCCAAAGACGCTTCTGTTGAGTTCGAAGTTCATGAGCACGAAACATCGGTAAGCTATCATTCCGTGTGAAACCTGTTCCTCAATGTGGTGCGCGCGGGAGTAAGCGTTGTTTGTGAAGAACTCTCGCAAGGTGTTATGACGAGCTTCGATAGGAATGTCCGGAGACCGAGACACAACCACAAGGGACGGGAAATCTTTTAATTGCTCGAGAAAATCACCCATAGCCATGAGTTGTCGGAGTTGTTGTGGAAAGACCGGCTGTGAAAGACAGCAGATAATGGCCAAATGAGGACACGGGTGCTGCTGTCCAGTCTGACCCTCGTATTCATCGAGTATGAGACGATAGAGGTCGAAAATGTTGGACCCTCCGGTGCTTGAATCATGTCGCAGAATGGAGGTAAGCCGGTAGTGAGCGTCGGGACCAGTGATGAAACGGGCAACGGTAACGGCAAATATGAATTGGCCTTCTGCTCTCTTGGTGATCATGATGATGTCCTGTTCAGATGGCCATGTAGTGATGGGAAAATCGGAAGATTGCAGCGCGAGCTCTGCCAGATGTGATTTCATGAAATGGAATATATCTGGCTCTGCATCGTAACTGTGGATATCGATTACGCGTGAACTGGCCTGGCCCAGTACTCCGAGAGCACGCTGCAAGGGAAAGTCGGTGCGACTAGTGAGAAAGATGTGGACGTAAGGCATATTGTTTCGACGCAAAGTGCCGAACAAGGAGCGGAAGAAATGGGCAGCTGTGACATATTCACGAGGGTTACAAACTTCGTCAATGCCATCAAAGACAAATGCTCGTGTTAGCGCCCGGACGATAGATCCTTCATCGTGACTGCGATCAAGAGACTCGTTCCACGCAAATCTAAGCTCCTGGAGAGGTTCGACAAAGAGGGGGACAAGTTGCTCCAAGTAAGAGCATTCCTTGTTAAGAAGGCTAGGATCCTTTTCGAGGGCGCGCACTACGGCTTCTCGTGCACGGGGATGGCCGACACCAAGCTGATAGGCGATGGTTGGAAGAACGGAGCTGAGTGATTGGCGCCGAGTGTCTTTCCGAGAAAAGAAGAAGCAACCAGCCAGCCGATCGTCCTTCTTCAGTTTGTCTACGATAGAAAGGGCCACCGCTGTCTTGCCGGTCCCAACTGCTCCGTGAAGCCATATGACATTACGAGACTGCTTATCCAAATGATTCGTGATATCCGAAAGAAGCTGCGTGCGAGTCCCGGGAAGACATCTCGACTCTGGGGAGCCGTTGCTGTACGCGGCAACAAGCACATGGTTTGCTAGCTTCGCCCATGTCTCATTGTCCTGACCTGTGAAATCTCCATGAGTAAGTCAACCGTGCATTTGGATCGTCTACTCACTGTAGGACATGATGGGGACTGAGGCATAGGGCGAACGTCAGGCAACGACTAGCACGCATGATAAGACCCAGGGTACGCCCAGCATGCTCGAGGCATGTCATACCGAAGCATCATAAACATAAGCGCCGAGAAGACCGCTGACAGGAACAGCCTACTCATCTAACCTTGCCGCTGAAAGTTTCCGAAGATATTACCATAGTAGGTCACGGCGAGCTGCGATTAGGGTAAGCTCAAAGTTGTAAGCAGGCCTATTCTGGTAAGACCGGCGCTGCAACCTGCCCCAACAGAGTGAGCAGCACAGAGTAGGCTATTTCCAGAGTTGCGCAACAGGGGCCCAAGAGGGACTGAAGGAAGAGAAAGTGAGGTAAATGGCGTGGTGTGGGAGGGACGAGGAGGGAAACTCCGGACACGCGCCTCGGTCCGCGGTCGATTTGAATTGACACGCACATCCGGCGTACGTATCTTGTACGTATCTCCACATCCTAGGCGCCATTATCTCTGATGCAGCACCTTACCCAGCGCTATAAGGCAGTTTTTTACCGTAAGGATGAATGATTCTTCAGCTGACCAACGATTCCGGTATCAATCATTCGACTCGAGAGGCAGCTGTAGTTCCGTCCACTGCACTGTGACGTCTCTGCGACCCCGGGCCGGGGAGCACGCACTTATTCATCGATGCCAATTCCACAGCACCGATAGACAGGGTGCGTCGACGCAGACTCGACGCGATAATCGTTTCATACTCTAGCTCCCTAAACGAACTAGCGCCGTTCAAAAAAACCTCTGCATGAGCACTATAGCATGAAACACTATGGCGAAACGACTGTCCATTGCTCTGATCCCCCCGTGTTACTTCGAGAACTGCTCGCCGTGACGGTCTCACGATGAGGTCGTTTGCGACCTTCAACTTGATCGTCGGATGGCGGAGTGACTCTATGCTGCTCCAGGACCGAGGCAAGCTGTTTGGTAGGCTCCATGTCATCGATGAACCGAGCTATTCTTTCCGCGTGGCCGAAATTGCCGTTCACTTTGCTGGTGATCTTCTCGATATCCTCGTCGGATGGCCATGTAACGCCCAAGGGACCCTGGACACCTCTCCGCAACGCTATTTCCTCCAGACGCTCTTTCAAGAAGAACGGTATATCCGGTGCTGCACTGTACTCCTGGATATCGATGACCTGAGACTCGCCCAGCGCCTTCAGAACCTTCCCCGCCGAGAAATGAGTCCGGGTGGTGAGAACGATGTGGAGGTTCGGCATATGATCAAGCGCAAGACTGTCCACCAGTAACTTGAAAAAGTGCAGCACCGTGCCATACTCCTTCGGCGAACAACACCTATCCAGCCCATCAAAGATGAGCACCGGCGGGCGCTGTTCCGTCTTCAATGACCACTCATAGCGCCCGAAGACCTTAAGTGGATGCACGAAAAACGGCTCTGCCTGGTGTGCATACGTCCGGTCCCGCGCGAGCAGCCCAGGGTCCTGCATCAGCGCGTTCCCTAGCATGTCCCGCACAACCGCGTTCTTCGTGCCGAGCTGGTACGCGATGGCTGGGAGCACGCAGTTCAGCCCCTGCTTGCGCGGGTCCTTGCGGGGGAAGAAAAAGCACCCCGCGAGCCTGGAGCCCGTCGAGTCCGATTGCGCCCTGAGCTTGTCTGCCAGACTGAGCGCCACGGCGGTCTTGCCTGTCCCGGGCGGACCGTGCAGCCAGACGACGCTCCGGCACGGCTGGTCGAGGTGGCGCATGATGTCCGAGAGGAGCTGTGTGCGTGTGCCGTCGAGGCACCGGGCGCGATGCGACTCATCGTCAAGCGCACTTTGAGGGATGTGTGAAGACAAGTTTGTCCAGATGCTGTTCAGCAGAGTCGAGTCGACTGTAGCAGGACAGACTTCAGCGGCTTCATCGACTACTAAATGCTGCCTACTTGCCTGGCATGGCGGACGACAAAGCGAGCGTTTTTGAGCCAGTCTTCAGTGTATGAGTTTCAATGTTGCAAACGATATCGACCTCGACAAGCGCTCGACATGAACACGATCAACGCTTATATACTCCTTTTAGTCCAGAAGACTGAGAGTAGCGCTCGCGTGATCAACTGAATGTGAAGGTTATGAACGCCAAGGGTCCACTTACGTCCACATGAACCACATGAACCAAAGACGCGTCAGCCGCGAGTCCGAGATGGTGATGGACGGGTCCAAGTATAATGCCATCACGATGATGTACAGCGTCTGCGCGTAAGTCCGCGTCTGGGCGCACTACTTCCGTCCGTCCCTCTACTATCATAACCGCACAGCTCACTTGACCTCCATCGAACCAACGTCCACCAACAACTTACGCGAACATGGTATTATATTATCATTCCATAACCACGCGTACATCATATACGCGCACAAGCCAACAAAATCATAAAACATCACGCATCATCACAACACATCAGAAGAGCACATTCGGAAAAGAAGAAATCAGACAGAGAGAGGGGGGAGTTGTCGATAGCGAGCAATAGGAGAAAGAAACGCAAACGTAAACATAGAAAAGAAGAAGAAAACGGGGATCTACGGTACTTAGTGGACGAGGCGAAGGCGCCTGCAAGAATAATGCCCAAGACAGCGATGGTGCGGAGCGTCGACCCGAGAAATGTAGTGGGCCGCAGGATGAAGATAAGTGAGTAAGAGGGCAGAGGCATGAAATCGAGCAATTATACGAGATCCCAAGGGTACCAAGAGGAGACGGAACAGGCAGGGTGACAAGTCTGCGGGTGAAGGAGGTAGCAGCAATGGTGGAGGTGAGGGAGGGAGGGAGGGCGACAGCAGACTGTAATAGATGTTAAACAAATATGTAATAAGCATTATGTTTACTTTTGGTCGTTTTCGAATGTTTTTCGGTTGCCCGCCCCGAGGACAGCAGTGCATCCTCTGATCGAAGGCATCCATTTTTAGTCGCTCGTTGGCTTACGAGCAAAATCAGCGCGCATATAGTCTAAAGTGCAGTCTATGCCTGCATCGACCGCATGAACTGCTGCTGCTGCGCCGACTGGAACATCATCTGCTGTTGATACTGCTGCGCATACGACGGCGTCGGCGGCCCGCTGCTCCCGACGGGCGTCGACGCGCCACTGACGTTGCCGTGGGGCGTCGCATGCCGCGAACCGCCCTTGCCGTGCGTATGCTGAAGACACTCGTGCTGTCCACTCGCGAGGAGGCCAAGCCCGATCGCGCCATGGTCGCCCGAGTGCTGATAGTGATACCGCAAGCCGTTCATGTTCTTGTACCGACGCTGACAATCCGCGATCCCGCATGCGAACGGTCGCAGCCGCCGCTCGGCCTCACGCTCCACTTCGCGCATCTCGCCCTCGGTGATCTGGTTGCTGTCCTCACCCGCGGCCTCGCGCTGCGAACGCTTGCTCGCGAGCAGCGCCTGCACATGCTCGAGGTCCTTGGGCGGGGCGAAGTTGCAGCTGCCGTGCGTCATGTGGTACTTGAGACCGTTCGCCTGCTTGTAACTTTTGTTGCAGTTCGCCTTCGGGCACTTGAACGGCTTCGAGAGCAGCAGCGACGATGCGGGGCGGGAGAGAGTCGTGCTCGCGCGGATGCTATTCTGAGCCGGGCTGCCGGATCTCGAGGCTTTTGAACTCGGACCGGCACCTTCCGAAGACGTGGAAGCGTATGCACCCACGCTCGCCGATGCTATAGCACGCATAAAGTTCGATGGGGAGGGAACACGGGAATGAGCGGGCGTATTGGCGGGCGTTGTCGTAGTTGAAAATACGAGGGCAGGCGACAAACAGCCGAATGGACTGCCTGGCTCGCTCCCTGTCTGCGAGTGCATGGGTTCCTCAGACACTGGTGTCGACGGAACAGTCCCCGGCATCGAGGACGAATATTCAGAGTATCCTGCATGACTGTTAAAGCCTTCGGGTGCAGCCGATGATGAGCTTGGCGCCATGGCGTATGATGATGGGAACGCACCGTTCACGGAACGTGAAGATAACACGGTGGTGTCGAATGCGGACACAGGCATCTGACCATCGCTCAATTTAGAGGCGGCGAGGTCGCTCAACGAGGTCATGGGCTGCGACAACAGCGGAGTGGTTAAAGGAGTGTCCGGTGGTGATGATCCTCCACTGGACGGTGCGCTACTTTGGTCCATATCAAGCTCCATATCATCAGGGTCGAACGATCCTTGATTAGAAGGGGAGGGCTGCGGCGTGGGTTGTTGCGTTTGCTCCGAATAGTGAGTGGCCCGTTGGGTGCGGATAGGTGCAGGATGCTGTGAGGGAGGGACGAGGGTGCGTGGGTTGCCGAAGGCATCAGTGACAACGACGTGGACCTCCTCAAAATGCTGTAGGAGCCCATGAAGGTCGTCGATCTGGAGCCCACAACAGCTGTAGTTCTTGCACTGCGGGGAAAGATGAGATTGAGTAGACCCGTATCAAGGGGTGCCTGCTTACAAATTCGTCGTTCCGCTCGAGGGCGCCGAGGGCATTTATGAGGGAACCATGATCACTCTCGACTGAAGATGATATTTTAGCACACTTGAAATCGCTGGGGCTGATGCCAGTGTCAGCAAAAATCAACGACACAAAGGGAAGCCAGGGACTTACTCGAGAGGACCCATGAGCTGACCAGGGGAGCAACCGGGGTAGAAACGGCTTCCATAAGAGCCAGCACGCCACGAAGCGGGTGATCCCAAGTAGTAGGAGGCTGATAATGAGCCATTACGGGTGTAGGAGGTGGACATCATGTTGATGTCCATTGTATTATCCTCCACGGAGGTGAAAGCGATAGGTTGAGAGGTGCCGGCCATGGAGTCGTAAGATACGTGGACAGGAGTAAGTGTACAGGAGTTGTTACAGGGGGATGAGATCTATGTCGTGGAGAGATGAGATGCAGCAGGTGTGATCTATGTCGTAGCGAGAGACGACTTGGGCGGTTGTTGTAAGGATGGCCGTCAGAGGGAGAGATTGGTGGGCGGTACCGGAGGTGGACCTCGGAACGAGCTGGATATTTAGGCGAGGAAGCAGAGGCCCATATGTCCCTTTGATTGGCTAATCCTCTTTCGGCAATTCCCACAGTAACCGAGCGAATTGGGCCGCCGTTCCGGGTGAGATGTTGACTTGCCGAAAGCTGTCCAGCGCCCGTCTGTCCCGCCCGGCCGGGTGCTCCGCCAGTGCTCCGTCGCTCTCCACCGCGGCGGTCACCTTGTCGTCCCGTCGACTGCACATCCTTTTCCCTGGAACTCCGTTAGCTTAGCAATTGCTGCGCCGACATGCCTCGAACATGTTCCTAGTCCTTCCGACCGCGCAGTCTCGTGAGCTTCCAGATATTGCTCGTCATCAATTTCAATATAGGTGCTCTGCACGCCGCCGCCCAATCGGATGGACTACCTGCCAAAACCGAACCGCTCTACTCCTCCCGCGAGGTTAGCAATGGCAGCACCGTAATCATCTGCTTTCCCTAACTGTGCTTCAGTGATGCGACCGCGAGCTGTTAGCTGCATTGACATCGAGATGACACGTTGATGCTGTCTCAGATCGGGGACGGCTTGGAACGCCATGAAGGCGTTATCGCTACCTATCACTTACCGTAGCCTCTCAAAAGCAGTTGCACGACTATTAGTGAAACCATCGCTGCACTTACGGTGACAATTCAACAGAACTGGACGCAACGTTAACCCCACTTCATCCGAAGTGCGCTCCATGGCTTGGTCGCCGGGCGACCCGGCCGAGGACATGTTGGCCGCGAATCTGATCGCATGACCATAGAAGACTGCTCGTGCGGGTATCGTGCGGGGTAACAGTCGATCGCGTGTTACGCCGCTGCCTCGACTTCTGCAGCTAAGATCGAGAAGGCTTTCTCGATGGAAAGCCTCGCATCAAGCTCCCCCTCATGCATTCCAGTGCTCTCGGGCGCGTCGGCCAAGCAGCCAGCCTTCTGTATACCATGTTCTCCCCGATCGTGCCTGATCGTCGTCTCCTGACGACTGTGTATCATCAACTGATTTCAAACATTGACCGGGGTAGTGCAGAGAGATCTGAATACTAGTGAACCCATCCTGAACCGACCAAGAAACCCAGTGCATGGAATCGCCCTGCACATCAAAGCAATATCTCACAAAGGGGTTCAGAACCGAGCATGCTTGTCTCAGGTACGCATTCGCTTTCGCTGCGTAGAATGCGCGTGTAACTCCAACGAGTATAGCATCGTAGCAGATCGTAGCCTTCAATCCCTATCATGATTAAGGAGGTGGACAGGGTGGCGACGGCCATCTAAGAATGTTTACAGCTTCCCCGGATTGACAGCTCAAAACTATGCTAGTCCAAAAGCATCGCTGCAGACTTGTCACATCGATGTCAATGTAAATCAAGTCTGACAGACCTTGTTGATTTGCCTTGCGGAGGTACTTTGTATCCTATCTTCAAGGGCCCATTGCTGCTGTCCCGGTGTTTATTCACAGAAGTTTCAGTACTCAGTACTCAGTCACGATGGAGGCGAGTAATTCCTCGCTTCACACTGTCTTATGAGAATAGATGCGATCCGTCTCCCTTGCATGAAGCCAGTGACTTGGCGTCCAGATATCACGTTCGAATGACCGTATCATATTGGCAACCCCAGCTCCTTGATCGGCGTACAGCCTCTCCAGATCTGCATTTTGCTACGGACCCAGGGCTTCCGCGTCCCTTAGTTCAACACAGAATACGGAGACGAGAGAATGTGAACGCCATTCACCATCCACGCACCACACCCGCGAACCTCCGTCCGACCTCGGCCAAGCCGAGATGAAGCGGCCGCGTCTTCTCAATCTCCACGGTAGATCAAGCTCCATGTGCATCGAAAGAACGCGTTTTTTACGGCATCCTTCATTGCTGTTGCAGCGCCCTCACAATCCGAAGACTTTCTCTACCAATCCTATCGTCGCCGCCATGAACTTTATTACCAGTACCATCTGATACTTTGTGCTAAGTTTACTCCGCTAAGCCATCGGTGCCGATCTTGCTACTACGCCATAGCGTCGATGTTCTGATTCAGCAATGCATGCGCAGCAGAGCTGTAATTCATTTGCGGGGTGCAACGGTCGGCGACGTGTATTTGCGTCTGCGATGCATATATACGTGCATACGCCCTCTATTGACAAGGCAACGCGCCTCTTCTCGGAAGTGAGTTTACCATCTCCTGAGCGCGTCATTGCATTATCCGTTGAAGAACGCAGAGCTTGCGGACACGTTTTACCAACGGCAGCTCAAAAAGTCGATCCGTTTCGTGTTCCAGGACGATCTACGTTGCACGCCTACGGGCGTACGCGTCTATCGTGACACTGATGAAAGTTGAGGCGGACGATTGAATTGCCACGTCCTCGCCCGCAGAATCCACAAGAGACGAGGGCAATAGCCTGGCTGATATCAACTTAACCTGGTGCCCCTTGTCCTTCGTGCGGCTTCTTCTTACGTTCATCCAAGCGACGTACGCGCGCATCGAAGTTCACCCGAGGAACCTGATGGAGGCGGTGGCGTATATAGATTAAGATGACGAACGGGCATCAGTAAGACACCTACTGGATTGGCACTGCGCGCTTCTTCGGGTCTCAGGGACACCGATCCACCGACGACTCACTCTGGAATCTGGAAGGGCTTGGACGGATGGCGATGGCGCGGGCGCACTCGGTGCGGACGCGTCCGAGGGCTCCCAAAGTTGGCTTTACTGCGAAGATCACATGCGCATACATACTGAACGGATCGCTGTGCGCAGGCACCATCGAGGGGGGCGGCGGCCTGCGACGGCTATTGCGCTGCTCCGGCCCGCTTGTAGATGCCCGATGAACCCAGAGTCTGCTCGAACGCCTCGAGAGATGAAGTTTTCAAACATAGGGTAGGCACAGCGATGCGTCACCCACACAGATCCCCGAATTGATGAGCAATGCAATATGAGATTACGATTCTGGATGGTTCGAGAGGATGGTGGACAGCACCAGTCAGCTCGTGTGCCTTGCGGGTGCGTGCAGGCAAAGGCCGAACGTTCACGATGAGATAGGAGATGATGGAGACGAAACACCTTTCATTGAAGATGAAGGAGTCGATTGGTGCGCTGAGTTCAAAAACTCCAATGACGATGATGGCGAGGAACCCGTGATCGGCTTGGAGCGCGCAAAGCCTCGGAGAAGCACGGGCACGACCATCGTCATGAGTAACGGCGTCGAGACTTGGATGAGTCGATGTTGACGGCATCGGCGAAGAGGAATATTGCCCTCGAAGAACCTGTGCTTGTGCGTCGGACCGTCGGAGGGGAGATGGTGATCATGGAATCATCTAGAGCCGTGGAAATTGGCTATTGGATGGCTGTGCTGCATTCCGGCCGTTGCCGAAATGGGGTCCGTCCCAACGTGCACAAGTCGAGGCTGGGATAAATTGAGCACGCCCTTGGTCGTCAGAGGGCGCATTTAACGCTACACTCTGACTTCATCATCGTCTTCCGTAGCCACGCTGGCTCATCCAACATGGCGTGGTGGTGGATCTTTATAACGCTTCTATCGTGCGCTCTCCAAGCAAGATCAGATCCTGGCTCGTTTCTCCGCAAGTTCTCCGCGACTTCTCCTGACGGAAGCTGGTTGTGGGGTTGGGTGTGGGGGGCAGAGAGCAGCGTCTCCGTCGTTGATCGCTCTCCCCCGCTCACCTTCCATGCGAGGCCCGCTGCATTCGGCAGGGAAGTCGACGAGCCGCTCCTAGGCTATGTCATTCCCTTGTCCGCCTTCACCGTACCCTGCCCCGCGACCGCCAGCGCACACGCAAACGACACCGCAGACGACATCATCAACGCTCTGAACAAGGGCTGCCCACCGCTGTGTCTTATTGGCCCTCATGAACCTGATTCGTCGGAGACGTGGATTGCTTTGGTGCAGCGGGGAGATTGTCCTTTTGTCGAAAAGGCAAGCCACTTCGCCGTTTCACGGTGACCTTACCATAACACCTACTTAGGTGCGGGAGGCTCAGCGGTTGGGAGCCAAGGCTGTAGTAGTAGGCGGAGAAGACCCTCGTACGAGTGGACTACCTGACAATCCCATCACGATGTACAGCAAAAGTGAGTCCTTGTCGTTTGACGATTGAATCGCGTACTCACCTTCTGTAGGCGACGCATCCGACATCATCATCCCCTCCACCTATCTTAGGTACGCCGATTACGCGGAGCTGAACGCTCTCATCAAGTCATCTACCACATGGCACGCCGGGATACAAACACTTTCTCTCCTCATTGCTACTCAGTACTCTGCTTGGGAATGGTACTCGTACGTTACCGTGGTCGCTTCATATATGCGCTTACTGACGAGAGTTATGGTGTCAGTCCCATAATTACCTTCATCGTCATCCTAATTTTGCCATCATGCTTGACCTTCATTACACTACTCATCCACCGTATTCGCATGGCCCGAGCAGCTCAGCGAGACCGGGCCCCGGAGGATTTCGTCAAGAACTTACCATGGCGTGTCTGGACGGGTACATCGTGGGAGAAGCACGAAGGGGTCGTCCCCGCAGTGGACCCTTCGACGTCTTCCCCGAATAACGTTGATCTGGAAGCTGGAGTTGCGGAGGAAGAGCCTCGACCGCATCCTTCGACTTCTCGCAGTCATGAAGATGACGTTGCGGCGCCATGGTGCGAGAACCAAGTCGAGTGCGCTATCTGCTTGTCCGAATTCGCAAAGGGGGACAAAGTGCGCGAGCTTCCATGCCATCACATCTTCCATTTGGACGAAGTGGACGCCTGGCTGATCAACCGCAAGAAGCTGGTGAGTACCCTCGTTCCTTTCGCGCCGCTACGCATCCACTCTCGCACCAGCTATAGCCCTCTCACTCACGCCACTGTTATGTAGTGTCCCGTTTGCAAAGCGGACGTGACTCAGCCTTGGCATTTGACTCCTCCAAAACCACATTCGTCAGCAGAAGCACAACCGGGTGAAGATGACGCAGCCGGTCAACCGACAGTCACCACGTCTCCTCCGACAGAACGAACACCTCTTCTTCACGCTCACGACCGTAGTAACGCAGATTCATGACATCATTAAAACCAAACTGTCTCTTGTATTCCGTACGTACCTGACTTGTATGCTAATGAGCAATCAAATTGTAGTTCGCTCTGCTCCCCAAATCAGGGTTAGGGTTTGCACTAACGTGGGCTCGATTGCCCGCGCCGAGAGGCTCCGAGACAATAAGGCTCAAGAAAACACGCGAGATATGTTGACATGTGTTCCTTGTTCTTAGCCTCTGTGTCCACCACAGCGGGCCCAATATCAAGATCCAATCATCAATTAAGAACACCTTGAGCGCTTTCTCGGATCTCTCATCGCACCTTCCCTGCGCAGCCGCTCTCTTATTGTTCTTGTTCCCAAAATACCAAATGTCCGATGCGCTCGAGCCCCCTTCGAGAGCCCATCACCCCTCACCCTCGTTCAGAAGAGAAGAGATATCACATCCACAATCCGCGATCGCGGGACGTGGGTCCCCCTTGGCTGCCTCGTGTGCTTCTGCGCGAAACTTTACTTGCTAGCTCGATGATCGAGCGCGCAAGCTTTCTGCTCCCTTTCTTGCTCCCTCTCCCTACGCCGGCTTAAGCTTCCGGACTAGGACGATTCGAGCGGGCCTATCTGGGGCACGGGTATATCAGAGAGGCTGGTGGAGACGTCCACGTACCTGTTTGGAGCCTGAGACGGAGAGGCGCCTGGACCTGTCTCGTTCGTACCAGCGGTCTCCTGCTCTTATAACGTGTGGACGGTGGACGCGGACGACGGACGAACGGAAAGGACTGCCCGTAACGGTTGCCATTGTCTCACTTTAGTGTTCTTGTTCGGAGGGTCGGACAAGGCCGATTGCGATTGTGTTTTGTTGGCCTCTTTGCTCGGCTCGCTTATCCGCGTTTTCAGACATTATCCCTCGCTCATTTGAGCTCTCGCCGCTGCTTTGCTCTTGCTCTTGCTCTTGAACCTCTTTCCCCCTCCTCGGATTTTATGGACCTTCTGGGAGAAAGCATCGATAGTGAGTGTTATCACCGCCGGTTGTCATTGCTCTGCGCACTCTTACTGACGAGGCGATGGCCGACAGGGATGAGTGCTTCGATTCCTGGACATCCAGGCATGCGGGACAGTTGGAAATCGACTGCGTTTAGGAGACGCAAAGGGCTGTGCGACTATGTCTATGTGGGTGCGTGTCGGCGGGGGACGGCGTGCAAGTTTAAGCATTTCCAAGGTGCGTTCCTTCTGATCGATTCATCGACGGTGATGACAATCGTGACTGACATAGCATTGGCGCGTTAGGCCCGTCTGCCGTTGTATCGGCGAGCCCTCGCGAAGACCCGCACCCCATTCAAGGTAAGCTATGGTTTGTGACGAAGACGGCGAAGCTGAGTTGTTATGATGTCTAGTTGTCCCGACGTACTACAGTATACCGAGCCCGCCCCCGTTCAGCCCGGTAGTTTACCAGCCCATGTGGCACCCCTGGGCCCTGCAGCTCCCATCTCCCTCCGCATCTAGGAGTTTCGCGCCGCTCGGGGTGGCCCAGCAGCTCCCCGACCCTTTGGGCAGCGACCTCTCGTCTGACGTCTCGTCCTGCTCTGAAGAAGGCTTTTCGCCACAGGACCCGAGCCGGGCGCTGCAGTACTACACATCTGGTGGAAACAGTGGTGTGTATGGCTACCCGCTCAGTCCTGCGAGCATGCAGGTTTCGCCGTTTAGCCCTGTCAGCCCCGTGTACGCGACCCCGGCGCCGATGGTACCGGCGCAGGCGACCCCTGCGGCTGGACGGGCTCATCGCGGGCCTGCGGGCGAGCATTCGCGGTGGAAGCGGTCTGTGTATAAGAGTGAGTGAGCGTTCGTTTTGGTTGTTGGGTGTTGGTCTGAGTGCGCGTTTTGGATAGCTAAGGTGTGCAAATTCTATGCGACTACGGGGCGGTGCACTAAGGGCCATCGATGCACGTAGTGCGTACTCCTTGTTTCGTGCTTTCCTCCTTGTTTCTTAATCGTTGACCTTCTAGCATACATGAGAGGGGAGAAGGAGGCGATCCTCTGGCAGAGTCTTCCGCTCGGCCACCAGCATCCACATCTGCAGCCTCTTTGTCCGAGCGGCACCCGCGAACGCCACCTACACCTCTCGATGGCAAGGATAAGGTCAGGCCAAAAGACGTTGTCCACGATGGGGACAGCACGGACCACGAGGACGGTTATTATCCTATCAGCTGGCGGGTAATCGGTGGAGGGGTGATGATGGGTGGATCGCGTAAGCTGCTTCGCAACTCGTTCTGACACGGCTGTGCTCACGATGCTGCATACAGGACCACCCTGTCAGGCATATGCTGCTGGGCGTTGCTTTAATGGCGAAGACTGTCCGTTCGCTCACAACACGGAGCTTGTGGAGGCAGGTAAGCTGTTCGTTGCAACGTGTACAGGGCATACGTTGGGGTACTCACGATTGTATCGATTGTGCTATAGATGATGGCGTTCTCTTTGCGAGAGACATAGAAGCCGGAATGGACTCGCTCCACCTCTCGCGCGAGATACTGCAGGACGGTTCGACACTCCGAAATCAGCGCAGACAACGTCCCAAAGGACGAGCACCGCCTCCGCTGAATATCCCGCCGCCCACTATACCCGAGGTCGTTGAGAGAGAGGCTTCGCCATTGCTTGAGGCCCAAGAAGAGGCAGATCATGAAGAGCCTGTTCGCGAAAAGTCTTCGGCACTCCTTAGTCCATCAAGTTCGGGACATCGACGCGCTCAGTCGATGACGGCGATACAAGAGTTACACGTGCGTCAGGACAGCCATACGAGTGTGAGTGACATCACAGGACAACCTGTCTGACCGTCAGAACGTGGCTGATGCGTGTACAGCAGGTGCATGCTGCGGAGCTGTAGAGTGAAGGCAACGAACATTGTTGTCATTGATAGTGACTAGTGAACGTAGTGAACACCCGGATACTAAAGGTTGTTTTGCTTCGTCGTTCGATATTCTATCATAATCGTACGCTCTCAAGTTGCTGTAGTACCACAGAGACATTATAAACACTAATTCATTCCCGTGCAATTGTAAGCTTTCTGCCATTTATGAGCATGAACGCATCGATGAGTTACGTCTACGACTTCAATCACTTGGACGATATTGGCCTCGGCATAGGTGGCCGAAGACCGGGATGCGTCAAGCTTGGGACGAGTTATCGATTAATAAAACCCGTGGCTGTTGTTATACTAGGATGCCCAGTACAAGGCGCTGGCTCAAGTCTTGCATCGGAGACGGGTGTTCCCCAGTCCCCGGATCATGGGGATGTTGGAGGAGACGCGCATGCCCCGGGCCCTGGGCGCGTGCACGTGTCGCTTCTCCGCGGGTGCTGTGACGATGAGCCGCATGTCCGGGATTTCACATTTGCCATTACGCCATCCGCCTTTCTTTTCTCCTTCTAAGCTCCCCCCGTCTCCCCTGCGCAGCTCTCGAAACAGCCCGCTTCTCCCCAAACTATTGCGTTGGGTTGGCAGCGGTTCTACCAGAAGAGAATCACCGCATACAGCCGTACAACCTTGAGCTTACCTTGCATGCATGCGGCTAGACCTTCGTGCCTAATAATGTTAAAAGCTCTCAGCGGCTAAGTTTAATGAATCGGCTGTACATGTCAGCAGTCCCTTCGGCGCTTACATACGATGCTAGGGCATGCCTTACGCACGCATGTTCGGGCGGGGCTCAATGGTCCTTATCATCACAACCTTCGCACTTGACATTTGATCTATGCCTCGGTACCCACCATGCTTGGTGAGTGAACCGTCTCGCCAGTCAATTGACTGAATTGACAGGACGTTCCACAGGTCAAGAAGACAAGTGGACCCTATTGGCGAACCATATCCCCTTTGGCGCCTATAGCGATACCTCACAGGCGGCATGCCTTGATGGTACCCGCACGAAGCTACTTACGGACATCATGCAGCATCTTGACCAGCGCTCTCGGAGCGTCATATGGCTTCACGGAGCGGTTGGAACCGGGAAGACGGCGGTAGCCCTCTCAATCGTGGAGCGGCTGAAGGCTCAAGGGCGGCTGGCCGGCAGGTTTTTCTTCTCTCGGAAGGATGCTAGGCGCCAATCACTGAATTCCGTCCTCCCTACCATCGCCTACCAACTTGGTGTTGGACATCCGCTTGCTCGGGGACAAATCGTGACCGGTCTTATGGACGATCCTGGCTTACTAAGTCTGGAACGTTCGTATTCGGATCATCTCCCCCCTTTCTTTGTCCAGCCCCTGAGGACCGTCAAACCTTCGTGGGATGCGAACGCAGCGAAAGGATTGACACGCTCTTTCGTCTTTGATGGAATCGATGAATGCTGCTCCCCGCACGAATATGAACAGGCCATACACTTCTTCCAGTCCTTACTAACCGCAACGTGCCAGAATGGCATGCCTCCTTTCCACATTTTCTTTACTAGTCGCGCCGACTTTCCGTTTCAGCCTACTCTGGAAGCTCTAGGCAGCAACAGATCCCATGTCATCGACATCCAGCGTTACGATGCAGAGCCGGACATTTTTCATCTCCTGAAATCCCATCTGACACGAATCGCGGCGCGAACTTGCATACCTCTTCCCATGGTGTGGCCCTCTGAACAGGATATTAGCATAATCACCAAAAGAGCAGCGGGCCAATTCATCTTCGCCGCTACTGTCATTCGTTTCGTGGCTGGCAGCGACCCTCCCGGCCGGCTTGCCTCTATTCTGCGACAAGATCCGAACACCCGCGAATCTACTATATACGCTCTCTATCGTCACATTCTCGACGAGTCCGAGGGTGAGAATGAACAGCAGCATCCTTGTTCTCTTCTAGCCGTGATATGTTGTCTTTCCCAGCCAATCGTTCCGCGACAGCTGGAGCGACTTGTGGAAACGAGAAACCTACTCGAGAAGCTACAAGATTTCCCGTCTCTTGTGATCGTGTCTCGAGCTGAGGATATTCCTATCGAGGCTCGCCATAGCACATTGCGAAATTTCTTTGCAGACCACTCTTATTCCGGCTCACACCATGTTGCAGCGCAGGTATCACATGGGCGGCTAGCGTACCGATGTCTCGCGCTCATGAACTCAGAACTCAAAAGAGACTTCTTTGGTTTCGAAGACTCTAAATATCCTGCAAGACTCAACGCTCAGTTCCATCGCTTCAAAGAGACTAGAGAGAACAGGCTAAACCCCTCTTCGGCGCTGTACTATGCTTGCACCTACTGGGTCGATCATCTACTCCTATCGAAGGGTCACACTTCAGAAAGCCTCGATAAGCAGGCCTATGACTTCCTTCAGACCCGCCTTATATATTGGATCGAGGTTATGGCGGCATTGGACAAGCTGGGTCTTGTTTTGCGTATGCTTCGCACAGCGTCGAAGGCCATAGAGGTGAGCGTTTGCGCTGGCCCTTTCATTTGGTAGCCTAATAATCTCGCAGAGATGTCAATGGGATGATTTCAAGCGTAGTCAAACTTCGAAGATTCTGTATGATGCAGAGCGACTCGTTCAGAAGTTTCGTCCCATCATGAGGTCATCTTTGATGAGCCTATACCACTCCGCTCTTCCTTTCATTCCCCGCGACAGTGCACTTCGTCTGGCGTTCACTCACGATATAGGAAAAAGCCAAACACACGTGCTGCAGGGCCTGATGGGAACGTGGAGTCCTTGTACACTTTCCATCGACATCGTGGCCAGCCTACCCTTTTGTCAATCACCTGTCAAGGCCAAAGAAAATTCTCTAGTAGGAGTCGCTGTCTCCCCGGATGGGACTCGCTTGGTCACTTGGCACCGTGACGGGCGTTTACATTTGTGGGACACTCTGGCAGGCTCAAGGATAAAGTCAACGAGTTCTATAGCGTTATTTAGCCCGACGTGCCGTCACAAGAGGTCTGTGCACTCCGAGAGCGCCATCACATTCTCGCAAGACGGCGCTTTCGTCCTTTTGGTCTCGTGCCAAAACGTTTTCTTGTGGGGAATTTCAGGGAAGTCCTCTGGGCTACCCGTGTTGATCTCCTTCGGCGGCAAGGAGAGCAGCGGAAATGGGCTGTGCTGTGCCATGAGCGCGAACGGAGAGCAAGGGTCCGTTATCGTCGTTGGGACGACCTCCTCTATTTATAGTTGGCATCAGAAGCCCAGCAAGCTTGAGCTTGAGCCATGGAAGGATTCGGCTTCGCGCCGCAATGGAGATAATTCTTGTACAGTCGCCATCTCCATTTCTCCTTGTGGACAATGGGTCTTATCCTTTGCTTGCAACGACGTCACCGTCTACCTTAGGGATACAACAACGCTAGCTGCTATTAAGGAACTTTCCCTCGGCCGCTCTGCACCTCCTACATCACTTCTGCTGTGCCATTTCTTCCTTGACGATGACCATCTCGCCGTTATCTGGTCAGCTCAATCTGACCGCTGGCTCCTGGTGGCATCGATTTCGTCGTCTTCAGAAACCTTTTCAGGGAGACTGATCGAATCGTCTCAGCTGGAGCCATTGTCTTCGGCGTGGTCAATTCTTGGATACAAGCCAAAACCTATCCAACTTCCGTTGTGCCTGAAGTCAGTGACGCCGCTCTACTTCGACGGCCGATTTACGGCGGTACGGATTGGTGACTCGTTCTTCACTCGCAACGGGATGCGTCTTACCACACTGGCGCCTAGTCAGGCACTGGCAAACGGGTCCTACGCCCGCGTCGGGACTATCTCTAACGACAGCGTTCATCTCTGGGATCCTTCGATAGCTATTGATTCATCCTCAGCGTTAGTCCCTGGCAGTCATGATGCGTCCCGCCATCTCGACGTTCTCGCGATCCACGGCGAGCGTTTCATTACTGCTACGAGATTTTGCGGCACCATTTCCAATGTAACAGTGTCCGACATTAGCCGTGCCAACCCAGCTGAAAGGCAGATTTTCTCGACGGAGACGTTTACAGCTATCGCTATTTCTTATGACCTTGACTCCTTTATCTGTTCGTCCCCTTCACAACCCATTACGCTGCGATCTAGAAGGGACAAAGTTCATCACCCCCTCGATACTCCCCGGTCACTTCACCCCAGCGAGATAGGATACATTCGTTCGGCATCTTTCTCTCCCGATGGCAAGGTCATAGCGTTGCTTTATCCTAGATGCGTTACAGTGTGGCGTTGGGTTGATAAGCAGGTTGAGCATCTTGGGGCGGTGCAGGGATTCTTCATGGCTGTCGCATTCTCGCAAGATAGCTCAAGCATCTGCTGCGTCAGCGACCAGCAGATCCGCATCCAACGGTTCGCCATCAACGGACAAGAACCCCACACTGCGATGCTTTTCCCCGATGGTGCATCAAGTAACTTCGTCTGTGCAGCCTTCGCAAGCAACGATGTAAACACCGTGTACACGGTGCAGGCCATGTACCAGGGATCTGCAATATCGAACATATTTCAGCTCACGGCTTACAGACACATCATTGCTAGCGGACAACGAGTGAAGGCTCATCTCAAATCGAAATCGGTTCATTGCTTATCTGTCACGGAGGCCCTTTCCGTGGCTCCTGCTACCCAAAACCATGACCGTCCCGCTGCCACCCTCGGCTTCCTTGCCACCACCATGCGTGTTACTAACGCAACAATGCAGGCTCCCGCACGAGCGGCCCAGGATGTCGAGGAATCATCCCAAAGTCCTTCGAACATCCGGGCAAAAGGCGATTTCACGTTCTCCCCAGGCCGTTCATTGCTTATCTTGCATTCGAACAACCACTACTACCAAACTATTCGCCTATTTGACTCCGACGAGGTGGACCCGTTTAAGGGGATCCCAGGTGGATCAACCGTTGATGTCGAGTCTTGGTCGGACTTTAGCCTCCGTAGTAGCGGATGGATATACAAGGCTAACCAGATGCTGTGCTGGGTTCCGCCTGTGTATAGGCCATATTCACTCGATATAGGGAACGTCGGGTCGGGGAGGTGCAACGGATTCAAGGTTTTGGGGAAGAACAAGGTAGTTTTGGTGCAGCAGCACGACTTCGTTGTGTTGCACTTTCCTCATGTGGGTGTACAGTCTGATGGACGTCGCGCAAGTAAGTCGTTTCTAAGTGGCTAGTCCATACATGAGCTCACCTTGGCGATAGATTGATTACGAAGCCAAGTAGAGCCGATTCTGTGCTAAGCTGAGGGGCGAGATCCCACTGTTTTGGATTGAAGTCCCTGAGGGGTGCACAGAAGAGCACGGGCCAAGTAGCATATGTTCTTGTGGCAACACCTTGTCGTCTGCGCGCAATACACTATTAAACCACGTTCAACGTTACTCATTCTCTGTTCTGTCCATTTTATGCCCAATCTTCCTTGACGTAAGGGGCAGAGAGTCTTGTGCAAAAGCGCTAGCTATAGTTCCTTTAACGCGAAGCTGTACCACTTCACGTCGATAGGCAGTTTTGGGAAAGACATACATAAGCTACCACACCAATAGTTTACTGAGGTAAGAAGAATACTGTTATCATCCAATTTCTATTCCTCAGCTCCTTTGACGGAGACAGAGACTAGTTTGTGACTTCCCTATGTTCCAAGCTTCCTCGAGCTGGTGATCCCTAACAGTCGTAGTAGTTTATTGTCCTTCATTGGTCTATTTGAGGGTCTGTCCATTTCCTCCTCCCCTTCCATTTCATGCGTTTCAAGCAACCGCCGAAGATCTCGATTAAACAGCTCTGTAGGTATCATCGTATCAGGTGTTCTGAAATTGACGCTTTCCCAAGCTGGGAGTGTCAGAAGGTGTTGAATCATATTGTTCTTGATCAAGAGCCTCGCGGGTAGTATTGCCACTAAAAACCTTATAGATATAAGTAGTGTTCGCCAAGATATCTTACGAGTTGGAGAAGACAGGTTTGCCCCGATCCTCGGTGCTGATTTCCGGATTTTCCTGACTGCAGTCTGCGGAGAGGCTGACGGCGAGTGTGACAGTGATGTCGAAGGGATTGGCGGACGAAGATAGAGTGCGTGGTTGGTCTCAGGTGGTACATCGGCGGGAATGGAAGGATCCCACAGAAAAACGCGATCTCTACTGGGAGAAATGGTTGCGACGCGTGCGTAGGAGCCGGTTGAGAGTGGTCTTGTAGGTGACCACGCTGTCAAAGGAAGTCCGTTGGTAGAATGAAACTGATTGTTGATCTGTAACGCAGCAAGTTGGTTGTCCATGTAAAGCGGCTTGAACGCGAAAGGAAGGTCAGTCCTTGTCTTCTTCCAACCCCATGCCCAGTGTTCCCTTTTCACGCAAGACGAGCTGAGAAGTTTTCCTTCAAAAGCTTGATGGTTGTTCAACGAAACTACAGAAAGCCAGTGGTCTTGTTGGCGCGCCCAAAGTGCAATGACATAGTTGCCGGTGAACATGTGACAGAGAAGCGAGTCTAGTAGCAGACTCGGAGACCGAATGGGAAGGGTCCTGACTATGGCAAGATCGTTCGAGGCGCGAAGATACACGGAGACGCCGTCGCATTCGGAGGATATCACCCATTTCCTGCACGGAGAGACAGATACAGCGGCCGTGCAGGCAGAAGTAGGCTCCCTATGAAGCATTTTCCAGGTCAGGGTTGGCGTTCTTCGCCACGTTGATATGGCATGCTCCCTCCCTATTACCACAAAATCGCCTTCCTTGTTACTTGAGCCCAAAGTGGAGGAAATAGCCGACCCGTCGTTTCCAGTCAGCGTCAAAGGTTGAAGCTGCACGTTCAAGTTCTCCGCGATATCCCAGAGGAAGACGTGCCGATGAGAACACACCAGAACAGAAGTACCGTTGGGAGAAAACGTGATAACGTTTTGGGAATGGATGGATTTTCCGTGCTGGCACATGGAGATGAAAGGCGCTATGAAGCGGGACAGCGACGCAACTAGGCGACTAGAGAGGGTATCCCAAAGGTGTAAGCGACCATTATCTCCCCAAGAAACCAGCTTGGTTCCATCAGGAGAGACTGCGACGCCAACGAGAAGATAACTTTTATCGGTCACCGTATCTCGACCTGACGAGGATGCCATGGTATCGATGGTGAGGACGCAAGATGGCCATTGTGGCCTCAGATCGCGGGATATTCCGGGGATATTGTGTGCGATGACAATGCGGAAAGATCGACGAAGTTCGCTGTTGAGAGGGACAAATGGAAGCGCTGCATGATCTAGATCTAATGGAAATGGTTGGCCTGAAGAGAGGATAGCCGCAACGAGCCTTTCGACATCGTAAATAAGTTGTTGAAGTTGACGTCGTCCTCTCTCGCTCCATCGAGAATCCTGTAGGACAATCATAGTTAAGAAACGATTGCCCATCCGAATGTATGCAGTACGTGTCCTCACCTCTATTGCGACGGATGCGGTACGAAGCATAGCTGGGACGACAGATACTTGGTCTATGGCAACCATAAATTCGACCCAGTAAAGAAGCCGGTATTTAAGAAAAATTCCCGCTGCTGGGTGGAAATCTTTCAAGCGAGTCCAGTCGGATCGGGAAAGGTGATCTGCCCAACTGATGCAAGCATAAGACAACGGCGCATCATTCGTCATCTCGACATAATGAGTGTCTGTAACCAGTTTCTGGGAGCGAGAGGCATCTTGATTACTTTGGAGTTGGGAGTTCATCTCGGAATGGTGATTCGTGTCCGCATCCAGTTCATCAGAGCGAAACGGGTTCCTCTGCAGTTTGTAGTTCACATAGTCTAGGCACCGCAAAGCCAGCATCTCGTGCGAATTTTCTTCGACAGGTTTATCGCCCGTCGGAAAGAGTTCCCACCATAACTTCTGGCTAGACTCGAGAGGTGCGTCTTCGAAGCGGGAAGGTGACAGTGGTGGAAGTGTCATCGGCGACGAGGTGAGTTTTATTAGTTGGGCCATGTCATGCTGAGGCGGTGTACTAGAACCCATACCTTCTATTTTCCCGTCTTTTCTTTCTTCTCCACCCCCTCTGCGGCCTCCGTCGCCTCCGTCGTTATTTCTTTCGTTGCCTCCTCCCTTTCCGCTATCTTCCCCTCCGTGGCTGCCTCCTCCTCCGTGGCTGTCTCCTCCTCCGTGGCTGCCTCCCTTCCCATTGTCTCCCCCCCTGTCATTGCTTCCCCCTCCTCCACTGCCTCCTACACCTCGATCGCCGTTGTTGTCGCTGTTTTTTCCTCCGTTCCCTCCGCCTTTCCTTTCTCCATTTCTTCCACCTTTTCTCCCTCCATTGCCTCCTCCACCATCGCCTGGAGGACGTCTGGGCGCACTCGATAGTGCACGAAGGCGAAGAGATATGAGGGTCATGTGCGATCCCATTTGTGCGCCAGATATTTGAATGTCGCCCGAGGCCGATGAATCGCCGAACAGCTCGCGGACCTGATGTAACGAGAAGCTAGGTCCGCTGGCGAAGAATAAATGAAAATCTGGAATGTCGTTATCCAGGTGTAGAATATCTAACAAGAGTTCGAAGAAGCGAGCGACTCTGGAAAACTTTGTGGGAGGGCAAAAGCTGTCGATTCTGTCAAAGACAAAAGCTCGTGCTCTCGGCTTGTCGTTGTCGGCGTTGTCGGTGTGATTTTCTCTCCATACGTTCTTAAGACTTGCAACGGATCTTCGAAAGAGAGGATCGATTTGGTCCGCGAAAGAACGTTCTGGATGGATAAGAGCGGGATCTCGTTTCAGAGTTTGAACAATGAGATGTCGGACAGACCAGTGGGCCTCTTCGGTCCCAAGTTGGTACGCGATGGTCGGAAAGATATGATTGAGAGAGTGACTCGGAGGTTCAGACCGGAAGATAAGCTTGAGGAATCGACGCTTTGGACGAGGCCGAATGCACACAAACTTCCCGCCAAGACGGTTATCTTTCTTTAGCTCGTTGGCCAAAGAAACCGCCACTGCCATTGTACGTGAGTCAAGCTCCTTGGTGCTGTGAAGCCAGATAACGCTACGGCCTCCCTCCCTCAAGCGTCCTTTGACATCATTAAACCAGTTCTTGTGCTCGTCGTCGAGGTGTATAGGATCGGGGTGACTGTTAATAGCCTCAATGGGGATAACTTCGGATAGCTTCTGCCACAATAAGATATCCGCATCTCTGACTGCACGATCATTCCTGCTCACTATAAAGAGCTCGTAAGTGTGCATGAAAAAGCTTAACGTGGCTGGTTACTCACTTGTTACGAGGACGTTTATGGTGGAAGAGCGGCTTACTGTAGCAGGGTGTTAGGCTTCAAGAGTCGAGGTTTTTCGATGGGCCCTCGGCAGTGGGCTTGTCCGACGCATATATAATGAGCGCACACAACTAGACGCTGTGAAACCATGGGCAACCGATAAGAGCCGAGGTCAGCGGATGTAACGTTCTTGATATCAGGGGGCTTCCCATTGGCAAACCACAATTAGCATCTTCCTAGCGCCATCAAAGCACTGCCAACCTATTGACAGAAAAAGACTGAAGTGGGGACTCACAGAGATTTACCAAAGAGTCACCAGCGCAGGACAACGGTACGCGTCATGAATAGCGCACGATGGACTCACTGATTTACTCAGTCAGAGGGCGAACCAGTGATACCAAGGTAATGTTCCGCCCCGCCCCGTTTGTCCAGTGTTCGCACTACGCCCAGTATTTCAACTGCACCCTGAGTTCCAATAGATTTTTCCACCATCGCCTGATAGTATCATTCGGATCCGTGGACTATAATGCAGCCATTTTGGACAGAGGCACTCACTTTCTCGCACTAAGCCATACTGAGCTTAGCACACTTGTTCATCTATTCGCACGTGTCATGCTCTGGAACGTACCGTGAACATACCACGGCCTTGACGATCCCCGTATGCGTTACCGAAGGAACAATAGAGTACACACCCTCAGCTTCGGTTTCTCCTAAGCATTGCGTGGATACATAAACTCCGAAACTTGAGCTTCCATCAAAAAGGTCCTCAAGCACAGCTTCAAGCTTCAAGTTCGTTCTTTGATGATAGCTCAAGCACAGCATGTGTATCGGCCCTTCGCAAATGCACTGTCACGGCCCTCGTTCTCTTGACCTCTTCAAGGGTAGCAAACAACTCCGCCGGCACCATCACAGTATTCCTTGAACAAGAAAGATGCAGAAGTTATCGAGCTGCCCAGGGACGATGAGTAAACTATGCACCACGAATTGGACAGTTACAAGCGAATCCCTGGCGTACAAGCATATCCTTGGCGGCGCAATCAGTCCGACGTCCTCTTTGGTTGATTCGCATACAGAATAGAGAAGACGATATAGCCCCGCCAAAGGAAAACGACAGACTCCGCGTCGCACGGCAGCGTCCACACCTCCCCGAGCTCGCTCACATTCTTCAGCGCCGAGCTCTGTACAGGCTTGTACAGTGCCGCCGCGGCGTCGGCCGTCACCTGCGGGAACGCGAAGACGGTGTCGAACACGACCGTCGCGTTCTTCGGGTGCTTCGAGTCCTTCACCTGGCTCGTGAGCGGAGGCAAGGAGAGATGACCAACGGTTGGACCGCGTCGGCCTCCAAGGACAATAGAGACAAAGGAGGATGAAACGAAGAAGAGGACGGGGACGGAGCGGCTCTTGTTGGTAGTTGACCCGGAGATGCCAGATGGAGAGACGACTGGGAACACGAAGGGGCCACGTCTGATGGTACAAGTTCAGGTTCTAACACTGGCGAAGGCGAAAGACGCTCAGGCAAGGGTCCTACTGGTGGTGGCTCGGGCTGAGGCGCTGATGGCATACTGCACGGTGAACTGCGATACTTGATGGACGGAGAAGGGGAGGGTGGGATGGGCGGCGGCTCGGATTCCCTGTGAGGGGCGGAAGATATAATTCTCATTTGTGATCCTAAGACTTGATCGGAAATATGGACTTGGCCACTGACTCCGGAACTGGTGGATACGCTTTCGACATCCTGAAAGGAGAAACTCGGGGAGCTGGTGAAGAGTAAATAAAAGTCTGGAACGTCGGCTGAGCGAAGAGTTTTCACCAGTAGCTCGAAGAAACTGGTAATGCCAGCGGGTCTACAGAACGATTGTTAATCTGAATGTTGGTACGACGGTGATAGGATAGAAACCCACTCGGTGCGAAGGGCTTCAAGAAAGAGGTGGATAGGTGGAGGCGGGTGGTGAAGAATCGAACACGACCCCGATAATCACCTCGGTTACGCGTGCCGGCAGCGTGTTTCGTAAGCGCGCGCAGGCGCTAAGAAGATGCCTGGCCCAAGCCTGGCCTCATGGTTAGCTGCGTCAGCTGAACTTGGGTTTGGGGCTTGCGCCCTCGGGGATCTCTGCTATTCGCGGTACAAACATAGCATCACACTAATTCAGGGATTGATAGCCTCAAGGCGGAGGAAGTGCTACTAACCGTTCGACTTCAGCGTTTCACGCTTCCACTCGGAGACTGGCTTGCCAAGCCAAGGCAAGCCGGCTAACGCTCTGATGGCACGGTCACCACACTATTATATGTTCCATCCAAGTGATGGGTTGAAGTTGGGGCGCTCAAGCGAGACGTAGTCCACGCGGTCTACCTCCGATGCAAGCCAATACTCTCCGTCAGTTACCGTCCAGAATACTCGCAACGTACACATGCAAACCGGGACGGCGAGCATACACACGTGGATCTCGCAGAGCCCAAACATGCTCTAGGCTCTGAGTCTTTGCGACCAAACTTGAACGGGATGTGGTTGAATGCGGCGTTTGGCGCGATCCCCACGACACCACCAACGTCTCGAGCGTCCTTTGCAAAGCGTCACGTCCGAAGACAAACTTGAGCTGCCCACGGGGGTCAAGAGACTATGAGGGTTGACTGTGAGCAAGATGTAAGGCCGCCGCTCGGGGAATTGGGATGAAAAGAACGAAAACTTAGCAATTGAGAAAAAGTCGCGAAAACTATACTGCACCGCCACCCCCTGATGGGTGACAGAGCTGACAGAGCGAGCGTCCAAGCTTTGCTGTTCTGAAATATCTTATGATAGCATCGCGAGCACAAGTAAGGACCGCTATAAGTAAGGTATGAGATAGTACAGGATATAAGTGTCGGGAATGAAGAGGGTAAGTAGAATATTTTAAATTGCGCGAAAGCAGAGTCCCTCGGGTAACTAGAGGTGGACGGCAAGTAAAACTCCAACAATATTGTGGAAGTGTTGAAGACGAGAGGGAGCATAAAGCAGACAGCGAAAACAAACAAGGAGAAATGACTGAGGTGCGTGACCGCCGATGGCATGTAGCAGGTCCATGAATCCCAAGATGGCTTAAGCCCGATGATCCCATGCCGTCGAATACTGCTGCTCCGCATACGCACCCGGCTGATACGCACCATAGCCCGGCTGCCCATAACTTTGCTGCCCATAACCCGGCTGATACCCCGTCGACGCCGGCGCCCCAGGCGCGATGCGCATCTCGTCCGCGCCCGCAGGCGACGGCTCGTTCAGCGGCCTATACATATCCGCATTCCCACCAGCACCGGCGGGACCAGCGCCGTAGCCCTGCCACGTCTGCGCGTAGCTCGCCTGCACAGGCGCCGTGTTCGTGCGGCGGCGTCTGCACAGGAACCAGAAGCAGAGCCCGACGAGGATGAGGCCGACGACGGCTGCTATGATTGCGCCGATGAGGACTTTGCTGAGCGTGGATTTGGACTTGGAGGATGAGGATTTGGACGAGGAAGAGGAGGTCGTGAAGAGGTCGGTGTCGTCGTCTGTGCTGGAGGGCTTCTCGCCCGCGCGGGCCTTTTTGAAGTCGGCGAGGGCCTCGGTGGCGTTTGTCAGGGGCAGGAGCTGGATATAGGAAGCGCCTTCCGAGGGCGTGCTGACGTCGGTGTATTTGCCAAAGTCGATGAGAAGGTATGCGTTGCGCACTAGGGACAATGCATAAGATACATCGTAAACGAGCAGAGGAGCAAAGGACTCACGGAACGCCATGCCAAGAATCATATCATACGTGACGATCCCGTCCGTCGTCCGATCAAACGAAAACGGCTGGAACGCGCCAAAACACAGATCACCCGCATTCGACATCACCTGGCTCGCCTCAAAGTTCAGATCCAGCGGATGAATCGGGAACTCGACCCCGCCAAAGTAAAACGACGCCTCAAAGTCCGCGTCGCACGGCAGCGTCCACACCTCCCCGAGCCCGCTCACGTTCTTCAGCGCGGAGCCCTGCACGGGCTTGTACAGCGCCTCCGCGACGTCGCTCGTCACCTGCGGGAATGTGAAGCCCGTGTCGAACACGACCGTCGCGTTCTTTGGGTGCTTCGAGTCCTTCACCTGGCTCGTGAGGGGGATGAACGTCCCGTCGGGGCCCTTGATCCCGTTCTCATCGAGGTAGGTCTGCCAGTGCAAAGGCTGGTCCTTGAAGTCGTCTGTGACTGCGATGTCGTGCTTGGGCGCGTCGAGGATCGCCTTGTGCGACGTGAGGACCTCGGCGATGGAGAGGTCGCCCGGGAAGGGCTCGTCAGGGTCGTCGGAGCGATTGAGCAGGATGGCGATGAAGTTGTCTGTGGACGAGTCCATCTTGAAGATGCGGTCGAGCGGAGGGTCGGCTTGTTCCTTGTTGCCAGCCGCATTGCGGATCTCGGAGCCCAGGGCGGGGCCGAGGCCAATGAGGCCGTCGACGCCGCTGAAGCCCTGAGCGTTGGGGGCATAGACTGGGTGGAAGTGAGGATTAGGGAAAGTTGGAATAAGATAGCGACGGTTGGGCTTACTGTAGTACTGGCTCGGGATGACGTAGTCGGCAAAGTGGAAGGTTGAAGAGTACACTTCACCTGGACAATGCTGTTAGTTATCCCTCTCATCAAGGAAGCAGACAATCACATACCGTCTGCACCACCAGACGCGTAGGACACCGACGCACTGACCTTTGTGTCCTGCGCATTGGAGATCTTCTTGGTCGTGAAAAGGTCCGAACTGCACGCATCGAAAGGACCGGGAGGATCAAGCATCAATCAGTCAGCCTCGTGTCTACTTACGTCTTCCAGGAGACACGCCTCACCTGCCGGTATCGATGAGGAGCGAGATCTGCTCACCACCGAGCGTCGTCGTGATCGTGTACTGCACATTCGTCTCCGCCGATACATTCGTCGCGCCGCTCATGGTCGCGCGACGCGCCAGCCCACTCGCGGGGACACCGGAGGCGCGCTTGCCAGACAAGGGCATGTGGACCGCGCTCGCAACATTGGCGAGGGCAGTGAGGCCGACGGCGGAGGAGGAGGCGAGGGTGGAGAGCTTCATCGCTGCAGCTGAGCGGTGAAGCACCAGAGAGAAATGAAGAGGGAGGGAGAGAAGGAGGGAGGAGACGAAGGTAAAGGAAGAGTGGACGGAAGGACAAAGGAAGGAGCTTTATAGATGTGGTGCCGAGGCTCTGGCGGGTCGCGATCAGCGCTCGATAGGTGATGGATCCAGGGACATGGGACTCCGGACGTTGAAGGGTTGCAACCAGAGGGCGTCTGTGCATTGTCAGATGCTTCCGACCTCATTCTGAGCGAGGTACAATAGGATCTTTGCACTTGGCAGCGAGACAGACGCCGTTCTGACCACACAAAGTGTTGTGAGCGACACAGGAAACTACGGAGGCTGTGTGTTTTCAGCGGCGACCATTTAAGCGCCCATGAGTCGAGGGAAGCACAGCAGCATGACGGGTGGCTATGCTATGTCTGGATAAAAAGTTCGTCCGTCTGTCATTGTATCCGCGAATGGCTGGGGAAGCGGGGACCGAGATTGCGATCGAAGGCGGAATGGCTTATCAGAAGGATTCCCCAGTGAGACAGTTGGGGGACGGAGGTTGAGGTAAATTGATGATGTTGGTGGAGTGGAGACTTTGTCTGGGCAATCGTGGGAAGGGAGTGCCTTGACTACAGCCGCCGGGGTAAAGCTCATTCACAGGCAGAGGCTGGTCGTCTCCCTCTGCATTGCATTCGCACCTTGACACTCCTCGCTCATTTTGTCGCTCACTCTTGTTATCTCCGTCATTCCCTCCGAATCCCTGTGCTCGTGTCTCGTGGTAACTCACTGACAGGCGCTCGCCGCTGCCCCACTCGCTCACTATGCGCTCACTTACTTCACTGCCACTCCTTTTCGCCCTCCTCGCAGACGCAGCCACGCTCCCCTTCCACGTCCACTCCCCCAACTCCTTCCTCCAGTCCCGCCAGTCCTCGACCTCCACCAATGGCACGATCCCCGTCGGCAACACCCAAAACTCCTTCTATTACAGCAACATCACGCTCGGTGGACGGACGATATCCGTCATGCTAGACACTGGCAGGTAACACGCGTCTTCAACCGCACTTTCTTTGCACCGTTGTGCTCACGCGACACGAATCCATGAAGCTCGGACCTCTGGGTGACCGGCTCCGTACCTAGCACGACAAACACCGGAAAGTCCGTCACGCTTTCGTATGCCGTAGGCCAGGCCAAAGGCACGTACATTATAATCCCCTGTGTCTGATTGTATAGAGCGCTAACCACATACGGACCCATAACCAGGCAACATCAACACCGCGACTTTCCAGTTCGGCGGGTACACCGTCAACGACCAAGCCTTCCGTGAGTCTCTCCATTCTCGTTCTTGCGCGAGCATACAAACAACCATGGACCGCGACCACCAGTCCTCGTCACCGACACCTCTTCCTTCTCCACCAACATCCACGCCGAGGGATACGATGGCCTACTCGGCCTCGGGCCCAACACCGGCTCCTCGATTTACAAGGAGCTCGACAACGCGTCGGGAAACAGCCCCATGAACCGCATCTTCCAGAACAACGCGTCAAATACGAACAACTACATCACGCTCCTGCTTAACAGGCAGAACGACCCCGCGAGCACGAATGTCACAGGCCAATTCACGATCGGGGAGATTGTACCCGGGTACGAGGCAATATCGAATATGCCGCAAGTGGCGATCGAGAAGGTGCGCTCGCCACACACCATTCTCGGGTCGAACCCGTAACCCCCACATGCGCGCAGGTATACAAGCTCACCGACCAAGACCAACACTGGCAAGTCCTCACCGACAAAGACAAGGGCATCATCGGGCCGGACGGGCAGCCCATCCAGGCCGACAGCATCGTGCCCAAGGCGCCCGACGGGCAGCTCGTCGCGGTGTTCGACTCGGGGTACACGCTCCCGCAGGTGCCGCGCGACGTCTCGGACGCGATCTACGGCCGCGTGCAGGGCGCGGAGTGGTCCGCGGCGTACGGCGCGTGGCTGATTCCGTGTGGGCAGCTGGTGAATATTACGATTAATATCGGGGGGAACGCGTATCCGGTGCATCCGCTTGATGCGAGCAGCAGTGATTTTGGGGTGACGTTTGCGAATGGGGGGACGGCGTGTCTCGGGACGGTGGGTAGTGGTTCTGGTTACGAGCGCTTTTTTGGCTGAGCTTTCTTTGAAAGTTTCAACCGGTCACGTCTGCGTTTAGCTTGCTCGGGGAGTACGATATGATCCTCGGGATGGCATTCCGTGCGTCCCTCTCCCTCCCTCTCTCCCATCCATTGCTAACCCAACGAACCCACACACAGTCCGCAACACCTACACGCTCATCAACTTCGGCTCCATGGTCTCCTCCGGATCCACCACCGCCCCCGCCTACGCGCAGCTCCTCAGCACCACCAACTGGGACCAAGCCGTGCAAGACTTCATCGCCGTCCGGCAGGGCGGGCAGAACCAGATCGGCGCGGCGCAGTACGCGCTGCTGCCCGCGGGGCAGGAACAGCACTCGCCCGAGAGCGCGGCGGAGAAGAAGGCGCACTACGAAGAGGAGGTGCTCAGCCGGTGGCCGTACATTCTCGCGGGGTGCATCGTGTTCGTCGTGCTCGTCGTCGGGCTGTGCGTGTGGCGCTGCTGCAAGCGCCGGAGAGCGCGCCGGGCGCGCGCCGCTGCGCAGGCTGGTGCGTCGACCGGCGGCGGCGGGGGGGCGGGGCGGAGGGGCGGAAGGCGCGTATGCGCAGCTGCACGAGTCGCAGAGTACGGCGGATCTGGCGATGACGCCTGTGAACCGCGGGTATAACAGCAGTAGTGGCAGCCACACGGGCGGGTACGACGAGCGCGCGTCGTCGTTCATGCCCCCGCCGTCGCCGTCGCCGTCGCCGTCACACTCGCCGTCGTTTATGGGGAACCCGCCGGCGTACCGCGCGTCGTACGATCTGCAGGGCGACCACAAGGGCTCGCTGTCGCCGCATAGTCCGGCGTATTGAGGTGGTAGTTTGCAATGCAATGTTTGGGGGGTTGTGTAAAGTAGCTACATGTCGCGCGTGCACTATATATATAATGTCTAGTATGGTAGAGTACTAGTGGACACTGGAGGGACTTTGCTGCCTGTTCATTTCCTTTCCTTTTGCTGTTTCTTTCTCGGTAGCTGGCTACGATTCGGAGAAGAGGTCCCGTAGATGACGCGCGCCGCGTGCGCATGCTGTGCTGTATCCTGCTGTCTCGTCGTCAATGCTGTTGCTTTCGGACTGCCCTCATAAGTAGGTGATCCAGACGGTAAGAGGAGGGTAAACGGATGCTCGGATTCGTGTGCAACGGGTATTATGAATACAGTGAAAGATTATATGAAACAACGATGCGTGTGTCTGTCAGTCGTACAAATAGCAAATTGCAAAGCTTGACCATGCGGTATCTGCCCAAAGCCCAAATATAAGAAAGCACACCGTATTACTAAATTTCTATCATCTCTGCCCTAACTACACGCCGCCGAACTACACGCCGCCGAAGAGCCAGTCCTCGAACGCCTTGTACTTGACGCTCCCGGCGGTGCCGGTGAAGCCAGTGACGACGAGGATGAAGTGGGCGAGGCTGGCGGCCATGATGAACGAGATGACGGTCGAGACGGAGACGAGCGGTGCTGATGAGCTGGGAGCTTTAGTGTTGTCGTAGACGACCTTGGGCGCGTCCTGGTCTTCCGCGGTGGGACCCTGGAGAGCGCTGAAGAGGCCCTCGTTGAGGCGGAACGCGAGGTTCGCTTCTTCGATGAGTACGGCTGTATCATCCACGGATGAGCAAAAACATCACATTCCAAAGTGTATATATGCAGTGCAAAATCACCCCACCTTTCACCTTCTGATCGCCTCCCACACTCTCGTCCAGCCGCCTCCTGAACTGCTCCTTGATCCGCCGCAGGTCGCTCGGCCCCGCGACAGCGTCGGGGCTCTCGAGCGTGCCGAAGCGGTAGAACGCGATCCCGCGCCCGTCGGCGCGGTCGAGCGCGTAGGCCTTGGTGATGCGCTGGCGGATGATCTGGCCGCCGCTGAGGTCGCCGAGGTAGCGCACGTACGCGTGGGCGAGCGCGCGCGGGGCGCTGAATGAGGAGGAGGACGAGGAGTCGGGGTCTGAGTAGCGGTTGATGCGGTTGATGTATTCGGTGAAGCCCGGTGGCGGCGAGGAGAGGAGAGCGGAGACGGTCGGATGGGAGAGCCAGGAGCGTGTCTGTGCTGAGGTTTCGTCGAGATGTAGGAGGTGCACGATGTCGGCTGCGATGGTGTCGGCGCGGGATACGACGGGCGCTAGTGGGGTCCAGACGGAGCTGACGAGAGGGTCCGATGCGTGCGCTTGTAAGCCGCGTTCGAGGGCGCTATGACGAGTGAAAGATTAGGTTGGAATTCACGAGAAATGAAGCGGAGACGGGAACGCAACTCGTATATATGCCAGAGCATGACCAAGAACCGAACGTACTCCTCCTTGGGGAGCTTGCCAGACGCGAGCCAGACGGCGCCCTGGGTGTTCTCGACGGACTCGTGTGCGCGCTTTGTGGACTCCCTGAGGAGGGTGGAGGCGGAGAGGGAGTAGTCGACTGCGATGACCATGGCGAGTCTGAGGGTGAGGGTATGAGAGAGAGAGCAGCAAGTGCTGTGAGGGAATGCGGGCGTCTTTTGGTGTTTGTTACCAGGTGCGGCTTCCTTGCGAGTTCAGGCTGCTCAATGGCGAACACAAGATAAAAATACTCGTACATTAGGTAACATCTTATCAGATAACACACTAGATCCATCAGGCACAGTTCAGTCCCAATCTATGCACTCGGAACGTTGCCTGTCTTCCCTTTAAATTTCCTATCTCTTACTGCCCTCGTCCTCCGCCGTATAGATAGTGCGCCAGCCCAGCGGCCCCGATAATCGATGCCAACACCACAAGCGTCTTCACAGACTTGTTTGATGAGGCACCGCCGCGTACGATATTATATGCACCACGACCAGGAACGTACACACATTCGTACGCAGGTCCCTTGAGCGTCGAGAGGAGCCCCTCGTTCAACACGAACGCCAATTTGGACTCCTCAGCAAGCGCAACTACCGCCAAAATCCCGTCAGCACTCTCACGCACCGCAGCTCGACGGGGCGAACTCACCCTTCAGCTCAACGTCTCCACCCACAGCCCCGTCCAGCCTCTCCCTCCAAAACTCCTTGAGCACCTTCACCTCGTTCGCGCTCGCCGGTGCATCCCTGTTCAACGCCCGGAACGCATACAGCTGCAACCCATCGCCGTCTTCCCTGTCCAGACCGTACGCCTTGGCCACGTTCTTCCGTATAATTTGCCCACCACTAAGGTCGCCGAGATAGCGCGCATACGCATGCGCAACCAGCAAGCGCGGATGCTCCGCGCAGAGGTACTTGATGCGCGCCGTGTACTCGATCAGCACCTGCGGGGGCGCGGCGAGGATGCCCGCGACCATCGGGTGCGCGCGCCATGCGCCTTCTGCGGTGGCCGTGTTGAGCAGGAAGCCGATGTCGGCTGCGACGTGGTCCGCGCGGGAGAAGATGGCGGGCACGTATACCGGCCTGATTACCGGGTCGTTCGCGTGCGCGGCGAGGCTGCGTTCGAGCTCGCTGTCGTCGATGATGCATTAGTGCCGTGCGTCATTTGCTTCGTGAGAGGGAGGCGGAGGCTCACTCGTAGACGTGCCACAGCAAGACGAGGTAGTGCGCGTACTCCTCCTTTGCGAGCTGTCCGCCCGCCAACCAGCGCGCACCCTGCGCCGAACCTACCCTCTCATGCGACGCGCGTGTTGCTTCGCGCACGTATACGGACGCGGGCTGGGAGGCCTCGATAGAAGTGCTGTTAGTAGCCATGAGCTCGAGGGTGGATCGGTAAGGTGCAAGTTAATGAAGACGCAGAAACCATCAGGTTTTTATGTCAATCGAATGTATGTCGACGCGCAAGCGAGTATAATTGGTACGTCTGTGTCCGCACACATTATTCTCCGGTTTTAATGAATGACGAGACAAGCTAAGCCACACACAGGGACGTAGCTGTCAAGTGAACCGAATACGACGTGGCTGTCAGGTGGACCGAATACGACGGGGTTTCTTTCTACACATCCGGGGAGGGAGATAGGTCCCTGTAATGAGGGGTGGGCAGCGTGTCAGCTCAAGACGGCTTAAGACGCCAATGTTGACGTTGAGTAGTGCTGGCTCGAGCAGGTACCCATATAAGCGCGACGTTTCGGCTATTGTTCCAAGCGCCGTGTTATTGTGTCCTCCGAAACGAATAAGATCCGCCTCCTGGCCGGGTTGGGGTCGGTCCTGGTCAATCTCCAGGTCGCCACACCTGGGATTCCGCCATACTTTCGGTCCTCTGCGATAACAGAGGAGTATACTTCACTTTCGTGCTCGTAGCTCTGACGGCGGGATACGGGAGAAAAATCGAGCAAGGATGTAGCCAATGTCAGTGGACATCGAGTTCTAAGATACCCGTATATATCCGATGTCCGCTGAACTTGTGGGTGCTGATCAGATCCATTAAACATACAAGGTTTCTATGTTGGTCTAAACATCGACCTACTGCTGTGCTCTCCCTAAGGTGGCCAGACATTCGCGGCAACATGCGGCGAGTGCAGGTCTTTCTGCATATGTCATATTCTACATATGCATCTTGGATGACAACAAGATGCGTTCTAGGTACGGTTCATCGGTAGCGGACATAGAAATACCGGGGTCCTGCGTCAGCACATCCCAAGCACGAAGGACACTTTTCGTTGGATACGCTAACGATTACTGGCGGTGGCCCGTCGGAGGAATTGGAGGCAATGGAATTTCATTGCCTTTATGTCCTAACAAAGGTTTTCCGACCTGGTAAACTAGTGTTCTGGTCTCAAATCCTAATTCGTCTTGTCGTCAGAGCCAAAAGCACACCAGTTTCCGCGTCAGGGAAGTAATTAACAGCGACTGATGCCACCGTGGCCGTGTCCCGATATTAATGCCCATCTGAAGGCGCTCGAGCACTCACATGCGCCTCGCCGCATGTACACTGCCCGTCCCATACAGAGAACTTCGAGTAGAACACGACGGATTCTGAACCTGCTGTACTAGGACCGAGGTTGTTTTGGTCAATCGCTCCTTCTAGAAGAGGGAACTTACCACACGCCCTGCTCACCTTATACAAAGAAACTTCGGTCAAACACACTGGGTTCTTCCTGTAATCCTTCGATTGCTGTATCGCATGCACTGCCCGCTCCATACGGAAACTCCGAGTCGAACACGATGTATTTCTGTTTCAGGCTCATGCATCTTGAATGATGCTAGCTACAGCTTGAAATTGAAGTATACCTTCGACTGCTGCAGTAGTACCGAGATTATCCTGGCCTGTTCTGCCTTCTCGAGGAAAATCGGCGAGAGTACTAGCCATCCCTGGACCACCAATGGTACCAAGGCGTGTACACCCGTTTCTTCCTTACAAAGGATGACGCGAGAAGGCGACGCGAGAGGGTACTGAGTACGCAGACTCGGAGAAGCGTTGAATGTCTACGACGCCGTCCGTTCTTCTGAATTAACCGTCTGTGAACCTTGACTGACCATGCTCTACAGCAAACTCAACTTTAATACTTACTCAGCAGCTTGCTGTATTCGTGACCTATTGATGTAACCTTAGCCGCGCTAACAGCAACCTTCCGGAGTGCACATAGATGAACAGCCTCCCAGCGCCTAAGCATGTCTTAAATTGAGCGCACTATCGATCAGCGCGTTATCGGTCAACACCCTTGGTCGTTATCCGCCTAGCACAAACCAAAAAGCGTTTCAAACAAAACAGTGAGTGGACATACGTGTCTATACACGCACAGACGCTGTTCAGACTTACAGTCCTCACGTAGTGAACGATGACGATTGGTGGAAGCTGTTGTCAGACAACATCCCTGTTGAAGCGTTTACCGGCAGATTTGCCCATCATCCTCTCGACGATACACAGAAGACGTTGTTAACCGCATTAAAACAACGTTTAGACGAGAGATGTAACAGCATCGTTTGGCTCCATGACGCTAGTGAAGACGCTTCATCCACACGAGCGGTGATCCTTGCTTTGATGAAAGAGCTGAACAAGAAGAATCGCGTGGGCGGAAGATTCGTTTGTTGCCTAAACGATATTAGACGACAGTCCCTGGACCGGATCTTTCCCACGATCGCTTACCAACTTGGCAGACGGGAACCCTCATCGCGGGAGTTAATAGTGAGAGAACTCAAACGAGATCCCGCTTTACTTGAAGCCGCATGCTCCTACAACGATCAAATCAGGCCTCTCTTTCATGAGCCCGTCAGGGGCTTAAAATTCACGTGGACAAAGGACGACGCTGAGAACAACGTCGACACAACGACACGCGCGTTTCTCTTCGACAGGCTCGACCACTGCTGCCCTCCCGAAGAGTATATCTATATCGTCGACTTTCTCGAGCTCTTAGTGGACACCCTCCATCTGGATCCCGATATTCCAAACTTCCACTTGTTCTTCATTACCGGACGAGGCTTTTCTCTACAGGAGGTTGAAGACGTTTTCAAAGCACCTTATGTCACGAGCACCGTTGAAACCTCCAACATAGCGAATGCGCCGCCCATAATCCTGCGGTCTTTCCGAGTTGAACATCGTTCAGACCCTCCTTCGCCTCCTTCGCCTCGAGATGATGACGACCAGCAGGACGGAGGGGGAAATGGTGGCGACATGGGGCCAGATGAAGGCAGCGGCGTGGACAGAGGAAGCAGGGGTGGGAATGGAGGTGACCACAGGGGAGGCAACGGCGGGTACGATGGAGGCAATGGCGGGGACAGAAGAGGCTTAGGCAGGAACGAAGGAGGTAGTAACGACGGGGTTGAAGCCGCCAGGGACGAAGGAAGCAAAGGGAGAAGCTTTGACGGAGGGGGCGACCGAGATACGCAAGGCGACAAGGCTTCTACGCGAGCCCACAGAACCCATTCCTCACCTCTGAATTCCCCAATGTCGGTTTCTCCAGTTTCGTACTCTCCCATGGCCCACTCTCCAATGTCGCAAACACCGGCGTCACCCTCCGAGTCCGCATATGTGTCACGGAGGGAGCCTTCCCCGAACGTCTACATGAATGACGATCAGGATGGTGAGAATTCCCATGAGATGCTGGCCCTGCAATGCCTGGACTACATGAACTACAGGCTTTGGAGGAACCCCTTCAGCTTGAACGCCCAGGAAAATGCTGGTGGACCTGATCATCGTATCGACATAGGAGAAGACGAGTCGTTGTACTATGCCTGCGTCCACTGGGCGGACCACCTCTCCCAAGCAGATTGGACTCGGTTGGGAGATCTTCGCCCCTCAGCGGGACTATTTTTTAAATACCGACTTCTTTACTGGGTCGAGTTTATGATCGCTGCAGACGAGTTACCTGCCATACCAACGATGCTTCGTGCTGCATCTATGGCGATCGAGGTGAGATTGACACTGCGTTGCACGTTACGCTGTCGACTAATCATCCGCTAGAGCTCTCATTGGAACGAGAATGCACGTTGTCGTCTCAAACAACTTTGCTACGACGTCGAGAGAGTCGTTCTAGAACTTGGAAACAACTCGGCCCGCCATTCACTCCCGCTGGATTTACCTCGCGCGGCGCTTCCATTCGCCCCAATCAACAGCGAACTCCGTAGATCCTCTCGCCTCGTTATTTCTCACTATGAGCCGAGAATAAAAGTGCATAACCTCAGACAACATTGGTCCCCTCATGTCCTCACTATCAATGTCGCCGCGTCCTCGCCTTACCATACTGTGTCCCAAAGTAGCTCCACAGAGCTTGTCGGTACTGCTGTCTCTCCTGATGGCACTCGGGCGGTTTCTTGGGAGCAGAACGGGCGCTTGCGTCTATGGGACGTCTTCTCTGGTTGCCTGCTCGAATCACGTAAATTTTCAGCCCTGTTCACTCCCTCGTGTCATCACGGAAGGCCCATTCATTCCCATAACATCATTACATTCTCATCCGACGGAAGATATATCCTCGTGAACTCAAGTCCGCAACTCTTCTTGTGGGACGTTGTCAACTTTGGGAAGGATCGGCCTCTGATTCTGACCATCGGCGACGGGCAAGTTCTTTCCTCCTCAATAAGCATCACGAAGGAGGAGGGTATACTGGTGGCAATAGGAAGCAGCTCGGCGATATCAACTTGGCGACGAACGTCGAGGTTGGAGTGGGAAATAATTCAAACGCGACTCACTTCTGCCTGTACGATTGCTGTCTCCATTTCTCCATGTGGACGATGGATCCTATCTTCTGAGTGCAACAGTAGCACAACACGTCTTTGGGACTCAGGCGGCCTCTTAAATCTCAAGAGTATTGAGATTCCCGTTCATTCTTCGAAATTGCCTCCAGACTCGCTCATTTGTCACCTATTCGCCAGCGAGTATGCCATTGTACTTTGGTCATCTGGACAAGATCATTGGCTTTCTACGACTCCTTTGAGAGCACTACAAACTCTCGAAGGTGTACTCGACGGTAAACTAACCACCCCTTCTCTTGTGGAAAGCGAGTCCCATGTAGAGGGTGCGTCAAACTCCACCATTGAGCTTCCCTTCAAGGTCAAGGTTAAGCCTATCTATGTGGGAGATCGTCTTACAGCAATCGAGATTGATGGGCAATTCTACGCCCCGAACGGCCTCCTTCTGGGCGCACGGCCTGTATCACTTGCAAAGCCGCTTTCATGTGGCTCCTATGCACGTGTTGCTAGCATATCTGAGGACAAGTGTTCCCTCTGTTTGTGGGATCCCTCAATTCCCACTGACCTGGCTTCCGAATTAGATGGGGTACGATACCTCCATCCAGTCATCCAATCACCGTCATCATCACTTCCATCATCGCCCCTTCAATCATCTTCAATGGCGACAAAACCTCGGACACCAGGGCCGATAGGCGTAGAAGAACCGCCATTTTCTCCTAGTTTGTTCCCGTCTCCCCAGCTTAAGCCTCAGCAACCCCCATCGTCGACACCAAGGTCGGGCCCCTCGTCTACATTCCTTGCCATGCATGGACAAAAAACGGACTGGCCGTGTACGTTTCTTGTTAGACTAAATATAGGTTAACAGTTGTTGACGAGGACTACTGATTTGGATAGACAACGAGGAAGAAGATGACACAGACATAGAGGAAGACGTTGACACGACCGCTTCACAATGCTCCACGGGATCACAAGCCATCAGTCCATATCTGCAGCAGGGGCACCCAGGACCAACGTGGTCCCAGCTTGTTAATTCTTTAAATTACCCCAGCATCCTTCACACAGCATCGAAGGATGGGCGGGATGAAGATGAGATAAATAGCGTAGATTCAAACAATGGAGGAAAAAACAAAGTCTCCGCCACATCTAGCAGCCGCCAGGACACTCAACAGACGTGGCCCGCATCCTACTCATCCCCAGATTACGTCTCCTCTCCATCCGGTCCCTCCGGGATCAGCCCAAGTGACCTCTCAGCCCCTCTTGCCTTCACTCAACGACATCATCCGAATCCGACTCTACCTCAGGCTCTGGCTCGGCTCTCTCCCAGCGTCTCGCCCATCAACGCGCTAAAGATGATGGGCAATGACCTGCACGAGAACGATCCTCAGAGCCAGAGTGTGTACCGGTGCGATTTATGCCCTTTCACAGCTAAACAAAAGCGAAATCTGGAGGCGCACACGAATTACCCGGAGCCGCACATGTGCGAGAAGTGTCACGTTGCGTTCGGGGACCGTTCTTCATTGTTACGGCACAATAAGGCCAGGCACGACTTTTCAAAAAAAAAGCTTTAGTTTAACTGGAGATAGCAAGATAAAGGCGGAGCCGGAGGTACCTGGAGACATGGACGGGGACTTCATACCGCAAAATCGCCTCTCGTAACAACTCACCTCCCCTCTCACTCCAGACCGCCAATACCAACATCCCTGACTGCAACCCATACCAGTTTCCACGCCTGTGGGTAGGCCTGAGAATCATCCCCAGGGTACAGACTTGATTAAGATTTGCGGACCGCTTCAAGAGACCGCATCCAGCCCGACAATATGCAGCTCCCCCTCTAGTTTGGCGGAAATGGGCCAATGCTCGTCACACGTACGGGCAAATGGGCCACCGAATGCAACCCCCTGCCGCTAGTAGTAGATCGAGTTTTTTTATTACTAGTGCTGTAGTTTTACGATCAGAAGTTCGTCCGAGTATTCGCCATGGCTGATGAATATACTTTCCCCGTGGATTCACTATATAGAGAAGCAGAATCAACTGTAATTATCAGTAAGAGCTTGGATAATGTCAATGTGTCCGAGTCAATTGTACAGCAGAAGCTGAGCCACTCAACTGCCCTTGTCACCCGATTCTTCGCGGATGAAGCCCTGCGTTGTTCCGAAGGAGCGCTGTCGCAAGTGCGTCTGATATTGGTGCATATATTGATACGGCTTTGTGGTTTTTCGCGGACACGGAAAGTGCTCGTGAAGATCAAGTCGTTTTGCTCTCGCAGTCACTGGAACCTAGGATCCTCAATGAGCATACTTGCCTTCCAATGTCGAGTGTGGACTAGCGCTGCAAGTCGTTGAAGCTCGAGCTCGGCCCAGCTTTTTTTCGTTCATTCATCTGGTCCCAGCGACGTGAAAGTGATGCTTGGCGCACTTCAGCCTGCCAAGTTAAACGTTGTGGAATGTGAGCTTCAACTAGCAATTTCAAGTAATGATAGTCTGCAATAGTTAGCTGTGGGCCTGCATCGACGCAAACCTTGTGTCCCGCAATATTTGACACTGGCACTTATATGACGCGCACAGGAATACACAGCCACGGGCACCGTAACATACGATGGAGGAACCGTTAGCTTCAAACGAGAGTTCCTAGCTCTCCCTTGGTGCTCAGAATATGGGGCGAAACTCACCTTGACTTCGACACTCGTGACACCCTCTCGCTTGCCGACATCTACCACACCACGAATGGAGAGGGTGAGTCCGTGCGCCATCACCACTGCGACAAACCCTAAGGTCTTCAGTTGGAGACTATGTCCGCTGCTGGTGGTAGATTGATGAACTCGGAGGAAGAATATGTTGAATCCCGGAGCTCAGAGCGAGTTGATGCCTGTCGCCCTGGAGCGTGCATGGTACTCCGGATTAGTCTTCTACTCCGATTGCTGACGAGGTTGAAGTTATTGCCGTGCTATCGAGGCTGATTTTGGGGAAGACGGTAAATCTGTAGTGCAGTGATAACGAGTGCGCGCGTGTATTGAGGGATTGAAACGAGAAACGAGAAGTGGGACTGGATGGTACGACACCAGTGGATACCATCGAACTTGCTATACATCCAACACCCTCGTCTTCCTGACTCAACCTAACTCGACTTACACTCATGACGCCAGCGAAATACCAATGCAGTAGTATTGGCCCTAATAGCTATATCTTTGCCTTCGTAACAGGCTTTTCAGGCGTGATTCCGCTCGACTTGTGCGGGCGATGACTCGGAGCACGACATGGTGCAATACCGATGGACGTGTGACGGTTGACAACGTTGACGCCGCGTTTCACGAGACAGAGAAAAAGGATGACATTGTTGCGAGACGCAGTGGCTGGGACTGTGAAGGGTCGAGGACGAGGACAGGTGCATGTGTATGGTCAGAGGACGGAAATACCTCGGCTGGCAACCGCACCCAATCGGATTGAGCCGGCGAAGCGTGGGGATAGGAGACTATTATTGCAGGAATGCACTTATACAGCATGCTCGCAACGTTAACGCGAGCAGCTCATATCAAGAACGACTATCATCTGATATAGGGTCTGCCTAGGGGAGACTAGAGCATCCCTCGTTGGTGAGCCGTCATATCTGTTGGCTTGTGACACCCTGCATTGGCTATGGGTTCCTCGACATCAAGTAAGTGAAATCGTCAATGGGTTCGTTGCAGAAAACTCATATCTGAACATTGTCATGAACTGCAGTGAACGATGACGCCGTATGGAAGGTTTTGTCTGAACACATCCCTGTCGACGCTTTCAGCGTTCGTTATTCTACCAAACGACGTCAGAATCATGATGGACACCACAAAGCCTTGCTCGAGGACATCTTGAGACGCCTAACCGAGAGATGTCGTAGCGTCATCTGGCTTTGTACTAATGCCAACAATACGACTGCCCATTCGACAGCAGTAGCTCCCTCCACTACATTAGTGGCCCATTCCGTGGCTATTCAGCTGGCGAAGGAAAACAGTTTAGGTGGGAGATTCGTTTGTTCATCCCAAGACCCCAAGCGTCAAGCGTTGAACCACTTCTCTCCGACAATTGCCTATCAACTTGGGACACCGCCGAATCATTGGTCTACGAGAAACTTGCTGGTACAGACTCTCAGACGAGATCCCGCGTTGCTTCACCCCAAGTGTTCTTTTGACGATCAAATTGGTCCTCTTTTCCATAAGCCTGTAAGGAGTCTCAAAAACGTATGGAACCAAGCGAAACCTCGAGTGTTCGTCTTCGATAGGATCGACGAATGTTGTCCTCCTGAGGAGTATGATAGCATCGTTGACTTCTTCGACCTTCTGGTGGACATTCTTCATTTAGACGATGGCATTCCAGATTTTCACCTTTTCTTCGCTAGTGGACCCAAGTTTTCTTTAGAGCAAGTTCGTGAACTCTTCAGTGGCCCCTCCACTTCCTACAACCTCCAAATTACCGACACCGGACCAGACTCGTCTATGAGTCTCGTATCTTTCCAACTTCGCTCGCCACCCCATGTTTCGCCGCCTCATCCGCTACTCGCTTTATCACCACCCGATCTGTCGGCTTCTCAGCCCAGCTCTCCGTCAACAATCCCTTCGACTTTGTCATCCTGGCAACTTGAAACCTCTTTCCATTATGGCAACAATTCTTCCAGGTCCCCATCGTCAGGGCCTTCATCTCCCCACCCACGCATTCGGCCTCAGTCACGTTCTCAGTCGCCTTCGAGCCCTTTACCCTCGTTGTCTCACTTTTCTCAGCCGATTCATAAACGCGCCAGGTCACAATCATTGAACTCTGCTTCTTCCCGTCCACGTAAGCGAGTCCGGTTGCGCTCTCAAACACGTTCTCCGACTCCGTCCCAATCGTCAGAACTAGACTACTCGCTTGCTCCGACACTGAGTATACGACATTCCCCACCTAGTCGTAGAAATTCGCCGGCTTTCTATTCTTCCATGCCGTTGCCAGATTTAGGTCATCCGACTCACTATGCAATGACTACCGTACGGGAATTCTCCCCCAGACCGTGGCGTTATTCGTCTCTGCCCGCATCATACAATTATCCGTCTTTCCGATTCGACCAATTTGAATCACCCAGTTCAATGCATTCGCCGTCCCCGACCCGATCATCAGGCTACACGTCTTCCAGTTTGCTTGACCAGTTTGAACCATCGAACTCAAGGCATTCTCCGTCTCCATCCCAGTCATCAGACTACACACCTCTCTATTTTATTGATCAGCTTGAATCACCCAGCCCAAGGCAGTCGCCACCTTCAAGGTCGTCCCCATCGTCGGAGTCGAACCATCCCCTTCCGCACGCAATGCTTGACTCACAATACTTCTCACCCCGACCAGAACGCTCTCCGTCTCCGTCTCAATTACTCAGCGATTCGTCATTTCACCCATGGAACACTGAGGTACCCTATGACACACAAATGTCTTCAGCCTTTACGTTCTCGTCTTCTCATGAGACGACCCAGACTTCCAGGTTTCAGTCACCAGAGTCTGGTTCCTCTCCTCCACCGTCCTCGCCGATTCACTTGGCTTCGCCTTCTCATGACACGGCCCAGAGTACCAGGTCTCAGTCATCAGACTCTAGTCCCTCCTCTCCACTGCCTTCTCCAACTCGCTCCTTTTTGCCGTCTCATGACACAAACCAGTACTACAGGTCCTTTCAGACGCCTCCGCCAGTTCTATTTCTCCCTTCGTCAAGCCCTCTGTTGCCCCGCAGGCATGATGCACTGACACGGGATCCCTACAGGCGCGACTGCAAAGTGTTCACGAATGACGTCTATCCCGAGGAAGGACATGCAGACGGACAAGATTTTCACAATAAAGCAGCTTTGCAGAGCATGGAGTATATGAGTTACAAGCTTCGGCACGATGGTTTCTGTTCTCAACAGTCGGGTGATCCGGGAACAAACGACAACGCTATTCATCCACATATGGTGGCGAATGACGAAGACATGAACCCTTCGTCTGCTTTGTATAAATGCTGCGTCCATTGGGCTTACCATCTTTCTTGGTCGGACTGGACTTTCTCGAAAGAATTTCACGCAATAGTAGGCGCTTTTCTGAAATACCGACTTCTACTCTGGGCCGACTTCATGGTCGCTGTAGACCAAGTGGCCGCCGTTCCAACCATGCTCCGCACAGCATCCGTGGCAGTCGAGGTGAGTCAGGCGTGAACTACTTCAACTAGCAAGCGTCTAATGATTTAACAGAATTCTCGTTGGAGTGCAAAGCGGCGTGGTCAAATCCAGCAACTTATGTACGACGTTGAGAGGGCTGTTCTAGAGCACCGATCTTCTGGCAGCTCAGCAAGTCTAAGTGATTCTTCAATCGCTCTTGCGCCTCGTAACAGTGAACTTCGCCGATCTTTCCGTGTTCTTATCGCAGACAACGAGCTCAAAGTGTCACATGCAGTGAGGCCGCGTTGGCCAGCTCGCGTTCTCACCATCGATGTCATGTCTTCCTTGCCTTCTAACCATGAACAGGCCGAAGGTGACGCTCGTCTCCGCGTCATTGGCATTGCGGTTTCTTCCGATGGCACGCGGCTAGTATCATGGGAGGAAAGCGGTTGCCTGCACCTGTGGGACATTATCACTGGACATCTTGTCTCATCATCGCGCTTTCAAGCTCCATTCACTTCCGCGTGCTCTCATAATAAACCCATAAACTACGAAGCTGCCATCAGCTTCTCCAGTGACAGTGACCTCATCCTTCTGACGTCCCATTTAAGCGTTTTCTTGTGGAGCCTCCGGGATAACGATGATTCTCAGGATTCTTCGTTTACCCTGAGTAGCGAAGATGGACCAGCACTTTGTTCTGCATTGGAAATCGAACATTTCCACGGTTCCACCTTCATAGTCGTAGGGAGAGCGCATGGAATCTCAACGTGGAAACAAACAAGAGATATGGCTTGGGTGTCCTTGCATTCACAGTCAACCCCGTTCTGCACGACGGCGGTATCCGTGTCGTCTTGGTGTGAACATATAATGTCTTCTACTTGTGACAGCCTTATCGTGCACCTTCGGAAGGCGGATGACCTGACGGTCATCCACAGCTTCCCCACTGTCCCCCCAAGCTCGCCGCTGAGCTCCCTTCTCTGTCACATGTTCTGTGATGACTATGCCCTCGCTCTATGGTCAACTCACCGGCGACAAGAGAGGTGGCTTTCTGCACTTCCCATGTGTACTTCCCGATCAGTCTCATTCGAAGGGACTTTGACCAACTCGTCTGGATATATGGCAGGCGATGCTGCAGTTGGGTCTAAATCTCGATCTAGCATGAGATTTCCCTTCCAGGTCAACCCCGTATACGTCGACAATCGGCTCGTTGCACTAGAGTTTGACGGCTCTCTTTACTCTAGGAGCGGAGCTATGATACTGAATACGGGGTTGGCACCTGAAAGTCCGCTCTCAGCTGGCTCGTATGAACGGGTGGCAACCTTATCTGAAGACCGATATCATATCTATGTTTGGGATCCTTCCATCCTGGCCAAAACCCATGGTTTGTCCACTTTCTCAGCTCTACAGATGCTTTGTGAGCTCACGTCTTTATACAAGTTCGTTCGGATACGGAATCGACGATGTCTCCCTTCCTGGGGTTTATTGATCTGCCACCTAACGTATCCCCCGCAGACTCGCCAACCACATCCCATTATATCTCCTCTCTTCCAGAATTTTATTTTGCACACTAGTTACCCCCTGGCGTTGATGGCCCCTTTTCTTGACTGGTAGAGCATGCGAATCAAATGTAGGAAATGTTAGTAAATATATGGGAACTATGGCTGGTAGTACAAACAATGTAGGATACAAATCACAACATACAAACCAAAGTGGAGTGACGGCGCTGGATGGGCAGACTTCGTCCATTTGTGAGAGCTGACTTTCTCCCGACTATGCTTAAACAAGGCCCCAGACGCACCATCTTGTTTGAGTCGAACAGTACAGCATTCACATCGAACCCCCGGGAAAATCCTCGGAAAGGTAATGCTACCTTCGTTTTCACTTTGTGGTTGGATACGTGCCGTGACCGATAACTCTACCATTCCCGTGAGTTCGCTACGGAAAGCGCATGCAACATCAGAGCTTGGATAATGTCAACATTCAATTATATAGGAGTAGCTGAACTGTTGAAGCGAAAGGTAAGGGTTGATCAGAGGAGCAAAGCAAACGTGCCCTAACGTAAATCATCGTAAGATGTCGTATCACGGCATGAATCAATCTCAATCTGTCCAAGAAGAAAAGATATAAGCGCAAACACCAAGTCCAAGTAGCACAGCCGACGAAACCGCATCTCTGCCATCTCTCCATCCAGATCCGGGGTGGAATAACAGAACCTGTGCATCACCGCTGATACTGCAACTCAGGCGCAAGGCCCAGCTCCTCAGACGACGACGGCGTCGAATACGCCGTGCTGACGAAGCCGACATGTGACCCGTCCTCCGTCCACAGGTCTGTCACGAGCCGGACAGGCAGCACCTGCCGCATCTCGCGGAACGGCGCGCGGACGATGTCCGACGGTGAGATCGAAAATACGACGAAATCCTGTGGGTTATCCGCCGTCAGCTCAGCGATTCATGGTCGAGATCTCGTCTGGAGGGCGTTTTCAAGATGATGCTCACGCGTATAGACAGACCGCCCGCCTTGAAGTCACTCACGCGTACGTCGTCGCTGACGAATATCTCACCATTGTAGCTTCGCCAATCGGGTCCGGATCCCTAAACAACGTGCATAAACCCACTGATATTAGTCATCTCGCACTTCCTGCTTCCTGGGCGCTCGAAGCAGAAGAGAAAAAGATAAGGGTAACGCACAGCTTCCTGGAAAATGCCCTCCCCGATACAGTCCGATCTCCAGATATTATCCTTCGTGCCACGCGACGTGTCGTCTCTGCATGAAATGACACGATGCGATAGATTCTGTCAGCTCTCTGAAACATCGCATACGCGAGTAACCCACCGAACATCCACAATGGTCTGTCGCATAAGCTGTATGCGCGTCACATGCTTCCGAGGCGAATATAGACCCGTCACAGGTGCCAGCGGCGCGAACACCTGCATGCCCGCGGGCGACAACGGGCACGCAAACGTGAGGTGGAACGGGATCGGCTTGCCCATGCTGAAGATGCGCGTCAACGGCAGATAGATCTAAGGTCCCATTTCCAAGGATCCCACCAAGAGGACGACAGGAGGAGAACGGATGGTGGATGACGGGTGGATTGGATCTGGCGTGAAACTAGGATCCTCTTTAACTTTGAAGGAAGAGAGCACTCGCCTTTGTCTCGATGTCTGCGTGGTTCGTCCCCTCGCGTGCCTTGATCGTCGAGGAGAAGGCACGCCATTGCAAGGGCATCTCCAGGAAGCCTTTGCGCGAGTGATGTGCGATGAGTGGGGGCGGGATGGGGACGCTCGGCCGCGAGCGGGGGTAGTAGACGAAGGGCGTAAAGACTGATCTGAAGAATGACAAGGCCCCGCTTAGCTAAACGTGATCTAGAGGTGAATATATGCACAGGGAGGCGGACTCACAATTCATCGCGTTTGAAGACAGACTTGACCTTCTCTGGTACAGGCATTGGACGAATAGCGGTGACACCAACATTATACTCGATGTTGGCTCTGAAACCAGGAAGACCGGATAACTTGGACTCATAGGTCGGCGGCAGGGGCTGATCATACAAATTAGCTTAAATTAGCACACGATGATGCGTATATGCGCGTTCGTGCTTACGTATTCCCTCCCTGCATGAGTGAACGTAGTAGGGAGAGCAAGACTGAACGGGAGTGACGACGGGCACTGTGTATCTTCCGAGCGGTTCTTGACCCATAGCATCGACTTGCAGAGGCAAAGCGTGGACGTGTCTTCTCCGCGACCTGCTATCTCCAGCAGAAAGAGCGTGCCCTCGACCTGAATGCGGCGCACACACGAGCACATGGACACAAACACACATGACGCGATAAGGTGTCAGCTTCCATCCTCCGATCAGCGAAGCGACCCCTGGTTCTTCCTTGGCGCTTGAAAGTGGGATTGAACTCGCCTTAACCTCGACGCTTGTGACACCCTCTGGCTTGCTAACCTCCACTGTACCAGAGACAGACGAGCTGAGCCCGTACGCAGGCACCGTCGCCCCGGCTCCCTGGTTCTTCAAACGGAGGCTGAGTCCACCGCCCTTGGTCTGCTTGACGAACTCGGAAGACGAACGGTGGGGCTGGATGTGGGAGTTCATGGCGAGCTGGCGCTCGTTGTGTTGCGGTGCGAATGTGTATGCCGGGATGGTCTGATGTTGCTGCTGCTGATGTTGGGGTCCGGGACCTGCATAGCGAGGAAGGGAGTGAGTCGACATCTCAGCAGAGACTAGTGGGGACGGAAAGGGAAGAGGAGAAAAGAGAGAACGGGATGAGACGAGGTATACCTTTGAGGGTGGCGAGTCCGGGCAGGCGGCAGTCAAGGGCCTATCAGCTGAAGGGAGCCGGAGTCGGGCTGGGCGAGTACACGCCAATGGATGCCATATGGAACCTGCTATACTTGAAACAGTGTCTTCCCACTGGCGCGACCCTATGGCTCATATATGCATATGTGACGCCAGCGGAACTGCGCACAGGAATACAGTGTGGACACAAGTGATTGGATTCTCGCCATTGAGTTTGCATCGTGCATTTCAAACGTGAGTCTGTGTCAAAACGGATGCGCATGGTGAGGGCGACATGACAGGGCGTGTGGCGGTCGGTGGGGACGCCGGGTGTCCAGGGAGATAGAGAGATAGAGTTGGATATTGTGCAAAGTGCAGTGGGCACTGTGTGACACCGATAGAGTGCCATATGAACAAGCCCCTGAATTAGCTTCGCACTCGGCGCGTCCTCGGAAATCGAACACTTTGACCTCCACATCGGAGCGCCTCTGCCGTACAGCAGGGGAGTCCAGGATCCGGAAGAGACTTCAAAGCTTCAAGTTGCCAACGTCTTTCGCTCATTCCTAGGTGACCTTGGAAACTTTGACGTCCTGCCGCGGCTCATGATGCATGATGCATGAAAGGTCACGTCGAGGTGGCTATGCTTTGATCTTGTTTTGGAACTAGACACAGCCACACTCCTTGATCTCGTTTTTTTCTTCTGCTTTTTTAGAGTCTATTCGTATTGACCTTCTTTCCAGCGCTTCCACATCTTTGTGACTTTTCGCGTTACAAAAAGTATCTGGCAACCGAAATCGCTCAAGTCACATCAGAGGCTAAGTTCTGGCAGTCAAAACAAACCTAATGGAGTCATGCCTGATGTTATCCAAAACTCATCTTTGACGGCCCTCTCTTGCATTGCACATAGCCTTTGCTAGTGAGCGACATCCTAGATTGAAAGCATAATGTTGATCATGATTGTACAGCTATGTTTACATGCCCCCCGTCTCCATCCAATAATTGAAGATAAATATTGTACTGGTAAGCTAAGCGATCGAAAGCAGCGCATATATGCATATGTATAGTGCATGTGTATCTACAAGGATCCAATCCACTCTCCATGACAAAGACCAGGAATCGAGAGCTCTGTTCTATAAAGCTCACATCTCAGTATTCCAGGGGACACAGTGCCGGCTTGTCCAGGGGTCGACGACGAGGCGGATGGCGATCGCGTGGTTGACAGAGGCTTTTCGGTTCCGGAGCGGACCTGGTTCATCCCATGAGAGAACGACGAAGTCCTACGATCAGAGGTCAGCACTGCCATCTTATGTGCGTAAAATGAAGTTGGTGTACTCACGTTCACAGAAAACTCGGTGGTGATGAACCCCGTGTGCTCGATCTCACTGTCGCAGCGCAGGACACCGCTCCATTCTACGGACCAGCAGTCGTGCTTCTGCTCAACCATCACGGTCATATTTGACCATTGGGCGGGCGAAGGTGGCGACTCCACGTCGCTCTCGTAGTAGCTCGGGCTCAGGCTCTCCCCGCTCTCGGTCTCGCTGTCAGACTCGACTTCGGGACTGGGAGTGGTGCGCCCGGCGGTGCCGAGGACAACATCACCAACATGTCTCGATCCGTGCTGGTTGAGAACCGTCTGTCTCAGGAGGAAGGTGTTAAGCGGTGGCTTGCCCCCGCCGACGAGCTGCTCCCTCAGCGCCTCCGACCATTGATCCTTAGGGACCTCCAGCCGAACGCGGAACGGGATGGGGTCGGTGACGAGGTACACCCGCGACGCCGGCAGCTGAATCTATCGATGCAGAATTAGACGTCAGCGTCTAAAGCTTTCATAATCATCGGGCCGAGGCCTCGACTCACATGACAGTCCGCATCGATTTCCGTCTTGCTCGGCGCCCCCGACGCTGCCTTGACCGGGATCTTGGTCTTCCAGAGCGCCATGTGCCAGTCTTCGGGGCACGACTTCTCAAAGCTCGAGCCCCCCAGATTCGCCATTGCCATGACCATCGACATGGGCATCGGGCGCGGTGGCCGCACGCGCGGGCGGTAGTTCAGCTGTGCGAGCAGCCGCTCGTCGCGACTATAACACGCGCCAGTCAGCTCCCCGAGTCTGCAGCGGGTAAATGAAGGGGGCATGTACTCACTTAGGCAACCAGGCGCCTAGGAACGGCACCTTGCGCGCGCGGACGATGTGCACGGAGAGCACGTAGACGACGTGCGCCCGCATCGGCCGCATCACCTCGCATGACGGCGGCAGCGGGCTCGCTTTTGATGTCCGCCCGTCCCGCTCCTCGCGGAACGTGGACGGGAAGGCGATGGCGAACGGGAACATGCTCGGGCACAGCGGCTGTGCCTGTTGTTGTTGCTGTTGCTGCTGCTGCAGGCCCAGCCGTGAGTCGCGGCGCGAGCGCGGGAAGCACTGTTGCGGGTGCTGGTCGTCGTCCGATTCGCCGCTCGACGAGGACGACGAGAGCGAGCTGCTGTCGCAGTTCATCGAGTCGCGGAGGTTCCAGAGGGTGTGTTCGCGCATGAACAGCCTGCGTTCTGTGGCCTCCATGCCTCTCAGGCTTACTCGGCCCTCGAGCTGTGAATGCGATCATCCGGTCAGCACAGGATGGAGTACCGCCCGGGTCTGCACGTACCTTGACGGAAACAGACGACACCCTCTCCCGGTCTTCGATGTCCACCTCGCCGGACACCATCCCACGGAAACGGAAAGTTGGAAGCTCATCCTCCTCGCGGCAGTTGCGCAGCGTCAGCGTGGTCCCGTCCTGCCTGTAGGTGAATGTGCAGTTGTTTTGACCGCCGGTCTCCGAGCAGCGCGAGTTCTTGGGCGTCTTCTGCATGCTTTTCTCGCCAGGCAGTGGTTTAGGCGAGTAGTCAGGAATAGGCGATCGGGGTCCCTCGGCCTCGTACGCGGGCGGAAGGCCCGAGGGCATTGGGAGCAGGAGGTCGATGGCCATTTGTGTGGGGAATGGAGGTATGTATTATAAGAGGATAGAGTATTAGAGAAAGATAGTATGAGGAATAGGATAAGAGGGAGGACGAGGAGAAGGAAGGGCGGCCTATGATAGTAGAGGAGGGGATTTCAACTGGGTCCCGACATGCGTACCCCATGTCCTATTATACGTCGGTACAGGTCCTCGAACCTGATCGGTGTAGCCCGATGCGAGATGAGCCCTGGCAGGACCATGGCATCATTGAACGGGCTGTGTCTGTTGTGTTGGACGCCCACGGGCCACGGAATTGAGTCCATCAGGGACACCGGTATACATCACCTGTCGTGCAGCTTGGACCGGTGACCCTTAACTTGGGGCTGTTGTTATTGTCACGGAGACTAAATAAGGGTCGTTGCGTGCGTTTCATGAACGGACGTTCCGTCAAAACTTACGTTGCGAACGCGAGGACAAGAACAATCTCCGAAACAAAGGCTTGGCATACGCGCTCCCTCGCCGTGGCTGGGTTCTTCGAGGGCACTCTGCAAGCGTTTCTTGGGAAAGAGATGCTATACCGCCATCTCAGTTGAATAGATACAATGTGCTCGAAGAAGCATCATTCCGCCCATAGGCTGAGAATAACAGTAGGCTATACTGATTTTGGAAGCTTACCTCTTGCGCATCTTGATACTTCGCCCATTACGTGCGACGCACCTATTCCACCCGCATTCTCCGCATTTGCACGTAAATTATTGTCTGCGGTACTAATACGCGTAAGAGCAAAGTTTCATAGAAACGCTAGTAAGAAACGTCCTACGCTATTGTCCTAGTATTGCGGTAAGAGGGTTCTCAGAAGTCCCGAAGAAAACAAACAAACATAGAACAAAAGATGGTTTGGATCAGACGATGCGGTGAAGATGGGACGTGAGAAGATCCGAAGTCCTGTGCACGAGGCACCCGCGCCACTATATTTAGCTCAGCCGAGGAAGCACTCTAGATGCCGGCGGTACCCTACGATGGCCACTACACCACTACCACTTGCAGTGTTACCTGTGTCGCCAGACCAGCATCATCATCAAACACAGGGCTGGAAGCAGTCAACCGTATCACGTCCAAAGAAGCGGTAAAGTCACGCCGCTTGCGAGTTTTTGAGCACAATAGCGTGGTCTTCTTAGTTCTAAATGGCCAGGCAACGGGAAAGCTCTAGTCTTGGCTCTAGTTTAGCGCATTGAACACCAGTACTTAAAATTCCGTCATGTACAACGTATCCATCGTACTCAGACTATAGAGCTGTGTAGACCTCAATACAGGGGACACTCTATCATAATCCAAGTCACGATCAACGGCGACTGCACATCACAGCGCCTGGTGCCACTGCGCCGTAAAGCTGAGGGCATCTCGTTTTGTCTGTGTGCCTATCACAAGACACACGGCGATCGTGTATCACCCTAAAGATATACGGTCTCCTGCTATGTTTCCGATTTCGCCATCTGAATGATAGAGTGAACTTCAAGTTAACGGCGACTCCGAGCCATTCAAGCAGGGGTCTATAAGTGGAATGAAAGAAATCGGAAGTGACCACTCACAAGCGTCTCGATGTGCTGTCAGTGCTATCCAATCATGCGAATCACCAAGTAAATCGTGAAATTATCTATTTCGAATAAATACAAGGTCAAAACTTTAAAATGGGTCTACTGTAATGCTCGATCTAAATTTAGGTTATCTACACTCAGACAACAAGGACGTATGGTAGACGGAGTCCTGCAGAGGTCTGCTGCCTAGAATATGAGTGGTTTGTGATGACCAGTAAACGGGTTCCGCCAGCGAGTACGAGATTCGCGGTGTGCAACTCCGTGGCTGTGCTATTACCCCCTGTCACGCACACCAACGAACGTGCAGCTTGTTGGCCACCAAAAAACCACCATAAATGCAGGAATCCACAAAGTGAAAAGATAATAAGTCGAACCAGATCTAGAGGGTGGTAGAACAAGACCATTCACGCCTCTCGTGCGATATCTGAGACTCTAGCCCGCTGTCTTCTTTGACGAGGGCTAGAGCTTGATGGCAGCGGGGCCCTATCCATAGCGCAAACCATAGTGATCTTCTTCGCTATGAGTGACGTCAATGCGGTACGTCGGCAGTCACTCAGCACCACTCGTACGGAGGATCGTTTGTCCAAGGGTCCGTCACGAGGCGCACGGGGTGTTCATGCGTGATGCCAATGATCGACGACTTTATCCTGAGTTCCAGCACGATCAAGTCCTGAAAAAGGTCGACGAGCGAGCTGATAAGGTAAACCATCTCGGTGGGGGAAAAAGGTGACGAACACGGATGACTAGATCAGTAATGCCAAAAGTGGGTACGATGGCGTCGGGGCCCCCATCGCTGGTGTCGCTGGGGCACACGAGCTCGCCGTCGCAGTCGAGAACAAGAAGATCGTCTTCCACGTCGTCGTCGTGGCTCCGGGTTGAACAGCGAGTGCGAGCGGGCACGGGTCTACTGACAGACGTGATCTTCCCCTCCCCGAGAACGAATTGCGCGCTGGACCTGCTGGCCTCGTACACCCGCGTGCTGATCCTTCGAAGTAAATATACACGCGTCCGGATGCCTCCGTCGTTCAGCGATCCGTGGCTGCCGCCTGTGAGAAGGTTCAAAGACGATTCAGATGTGCGGAACTGGATGTGGAACGGGATGACGTCCGAGAAGGCGTAGGTACGAACTGCGGGGACGAATAACTTTTATTAGCGGTAATGGTCCTGCGGTGAGTAAGCGAGTAAAAAGCTAGAGGATGAGCGGCGCTCACGCAGCATTGTATAGGTGTTAGCTCGGGATTCCGGGCGAACTGCATGCAGTGCATGATCTGGTGCCACTCTTCTGGTGAGCTCTTTACCGTGGACAAGAAGGGGAGCTCGCTTGGGATCATCGGTGCTGGCGGGCGCGTGCGTGGGAGGTAAGAAAGCGGTATTGATACGCAGCTATATGGTACAGAAGTGTAAGCGAGTTCACAATCGTCGCAGACGGAACGCCCGAAACGTCACGTACATATTCGTGGACTTTGCCAACCGTTGAAAGAGTTGCTTCCGCTTCGACAGTGTGACGATAAGCTCATACGAAACGAAAGAAGAGAGCGCGTGGCAAGTGAACGAAGGAGGTAGCGGGCGCGTCTGGCCTGCGTCCGAGAAAGTCGGAGGCCATATGACCGCGAAGGGGATCATACTCGGACATCGCTTTGGTGTCGCGCTTGCTTCCCAAAGTGTGAATGACTCCTCGAGGATTCTTGTGCGCATTACGGTCGTGTAGGGAGTGAGGCCGACGCCTTTATTGCCTCGAAGCTGTCGTGACAACAACGAAACATAAGCCGAGTTTCACCATGAAGCAAACAGGGACCAACAACTCTGAGAAAGAGCGGCATCTTACCTTGATGGCGACTTCGACGAGGTCGGTGGCATCATGAATTGCGAGATATCCACGTATGCAGTCGAGCCGGCCGTAGAGGGGTTGAACGCTGCCTGGTATCTGATCGTTCAGGACGACCGTTACCCGCTCCGTGATGCGTCTGTACGACCCAATGCGAGAAGGCAAGGACGGCCGACGACTGTGTTCAATCACCTCTTCGCCCTGCAGAAGTCGCGAGGAGTAGTTGGGTGAGGGAGTGGACGGCGAATAGTCTGGGAGCGCGCCAGAGGACGCTACGTAGTCAGGCGGCGCAACGTCGGTGGGCGCCATGATGATGGTCGACAATGAGACGCGTAGTGAGCCTTCGGTCGAATGTTTGGATGACTCGTGTCAAAACAGCATGCTATAAGGGCTGCTTCGAGTCACATAAGAAGTTCGCTCTATACGGAAGCTAGAGGTCCTGGTGACTTAGTGCCTAGAGCGTGGGCTACGGGCGTCCGGACGCAGTGGTGTCACATAGCAAACAGAACTCTAGAGGTGTGATCATCCCCATCAGACGCGACGGCGTTCCGCTTTCAGATATGACGGTGTCACCACGTTCGTTGACTGTTGTCGTGTTTTGATCTCAGCTTCAAAGTCACATGGGACAACAAGAAGGGCAAACCTCATCACTAGGACTGGGCTATCTGGTGCTGTCTGCAGCAGCAGTCGTTCTCATCGCTCTCCCAGCGGAAGACCAGCCTGTTAGTCTTGGGGTAAGCTTCGGATCGTTCTGCGGGCCTAAGACGAATATGTCAATGAAACAAACAGGTGGTGCTAAGAATAGCACTTACCCCGCGTTACAACATACACCGGCATCCTAGCAAAAAAAAGCTTTGACGGGTGCATTGGCTGACAAAAGCTGACAAAGCCCTACAAAGCCCCGCAGATGAATTGGAAAATGTGGTGGCACTGACAGTGTCAATATGAGCGCAGTGATCGCGCGATAAGACCCATGCGATGAAGCATTGGCTATCTCGGATTTGTCGGCCGCAGGTCATCGTTAGTGCTTAGCTTGACCAACAGAACGAGGCTTGCGTGGACTCGTAGTGGACGTTTGATGGATGAGGTGGGTACTTTCTCATTGTTGCTGAAACTGAAGAAGCATGGTGTACAAACGTGGGGGCCAAAATAACATGTTCGGCGCGTGGGAAAATTGTAACGATGTTGATATCTTAGGAGAGGACCCGCACGGCCATGCACATGGGTCCGCGAGAATTACAATACATTCGTCTGAGGGAATAACTACGGTAAGTAAAATACCGCAGGTGTGTCAGACACGTGGGCCAGTCCGTGAATGAATCTACGGACTCGTCATATGGAAGCAGCGTGTATGGGAACAGCATGAACTGGCTAAAAAAGAAAGGGAGCCAAAGGCTCTCAATAGACGCGATTACATGGGAACAGTATAAGCCAAACCCCTTGTCGTAAACAAGTATGATCGCAATAACTGGGCAACGCGAGTCTACAAGACACAGTGACCTGTAAAAGGTGACAGAAATATTACACAACTTTGCTGTGATTCATCCGGCGCTCAGTGGCAAGATCCAATGGCCTATAAATACCTCTCGGTTCGGCAGGACACATCTTTGGGTGATGGCGGTGTTGCCACTGCTAAGACTTCGTCAGTGCAAAGTCTATTGCCAGTAGAATGAGCCGTACATGAACCCCTCGATTGCGGCGCTTCGAAGTTTGAGCAACGAGGTTGACAGGGGTGAAAAGCATAACGCGGGTGCCACCGCTGTTGGGTGATGAGTCGAAAAATCGCGGTGCGTATGCACTACGCCGGGTGAGGCTCCTCGGTCCACGGATCTGTCACCAGGCGTATAGGATGCTCTTGTATCATCTCGATGAACGGCGATTTGAGCGGCTGCAGAGGTTTGAGCTCGAGTACGATCAAGTCCTTGATTGTGAGTAAGTAAACGACACAACGACATACGAGCAAGATAGAAGAAAGGACGCACTCGAACGGCAACATCAGAGATCGAGAAGCTGGGCGCCCTAATAGGGACCTCGGAAGAGTGGTCGATCGTGAGTTCACCGTCGCAGTCGAGCGCGTGTGATCCGTCCAATCGGGATTGGCTGCGGGATTTGACCGTAGCAATCCTCCCCTCGCCGATGACGCGAGTGTGCTGGGCTTTGCTGTCGAGCACCTTCGTCATCGTCCTGCGCTTCAGGGATACGCAGATTTGAATTTCTCCACCTTCCAACAAGCCGTCGCTACCCCTCAGATAGCGCAGAGAGGCCTCGGGTCCGTGGAACTGTATGTGAAAGGGGATAGCGTCCGACAGGGCGAAGATTTGGACTGCAGGGATAAAGAGCTGCGCGAAAGGTGTCCAAAATGCGAAGGGGATAGTTTATAGTAAGCACCCAAGTTCGCGATGAGGACGGGAACGGCGCATAGGAATGGTAGTAGAATAAGACAAGTGCTCACACAGCACTGTATAGCAGCCAAGTCGGAGCTATAGACGGATTGCATACTACACATGATCTGGTGCCACTCTTCAGGTGAGCTCTTCACCGTCGACATGAACGGGAGCTCGCTGGGTATCATCGGTGCTGGCGGGCGTATACGCGGGAGATACGTGAGCGGGATCGACACGCTATAATGTTGCGAACGGTGAACGGATCAGCCTGGGAATGAAATGGAACGAACGCGCGGAGCACTCACCTGTCCATGGGTTTCAGAAATCCCAAAAGTTGCTTGCGTTTGGACAGGGTGACGGTGAACTCGTATGAGAGTGACGAGGACAGCCCCTCGCATTTGTACGAGGGAGGTATGGGACGCGTCTGACCCGCATCCGAGAACGTCGGAGGCCAGACCAGTGCGAAGGGGATCGTGTCCGGACACGGCTCCGCCGAACTCGCTGTCCACATCGTGTACGACTCCTCGAGGAAGATTGACTTTACAGCTGTTCCAAAGGCGGTGATGCCGAGACTCTTGATGCCTACAAGCTGTGACGGTTTCAGAGGTTGCAGAGCCAGCGATCAGTGATCAGCATTCTGAAACAGACAGATATCTTTACCTTGATAGACACCTCGACGAGGTCGGTGATGTCATGTAGCACGAGATACCCGCATATGAAGCCGTGTCGTCCGTAGATGGGCTGGACGCTGCCCGGTAGTTGGTCCCTCAGGACGACGGTAACTTTGTCGGTGATGCGTCTGAAAGACCCCGTGCGAGTGGGTGTCGGTACGCGTTGGCTGGTCGCGACCTGCTCTTCGCCCGGAAGAGGCGTCGAAGAGTACTTCGGCGAAGGTGTGGAAGGTGTATACTGCGGAGGTACCTCTGAGGATGCGTCTGCTCGTGAGAAATCCATGGTTCGAGTCAGGATCTAGGAAGAGGAAAGCTTTCGAGATTAGAGAGATGCAGTGACTCATACTCACCAACATCGTTCTTTAATACAGCATCACAGACGCCGTGGGTGCAGCTCGAGTCATCTTCAGCTGCGAATAAAGCATCATCACAGCATTCACTGACTCGATCCTCTCGACGAAACGATGAAGCTGGGGCGCAGTTGTCATGTTGCGGATGCGGTGCCGCGGAGAACAAGGTTTGGGTGCCTAATTTGACACATTCCGCAGATCTCGGAGGCAAAGAGACAAGGCCAGACTACCCGGAAGGTCCCCAATTTCTAAGACATTACCCCGTACATCCGCCTCTAGCGCGTTATTGACCTGGTTTCAGCAACGTTTTGACCTAGGAAAAAGATGCTGGAGGTTTTAGCGGTTATGGTTGTTTAGCATTGACTCAAACACTTGAGCGCCTAGAGAGCACCGACTCTGTAGGGTATTTAGGGCACTCCGGTGATCTTACTACCACCGACACGCCGCATCACTCTGAACTGACAGGATCCTTCGAATAATTGTTCCAGCCCAAGTGTTGAGCTGACAAAGATTCTCGGCTCATGGCCCGAAATGATTGGTAAGGCGGACGGGAAGTGTCCAATAATGTGTTCCAGGATCGCCTGACTTTCACAGCCTCGTGTTAACTGGGAGCTATCGAGGGCAGTCATTCAGTCGAACTTCCTATAGCGGACACTTACTCACCAGGCTGGGACAAACATCGTCTGCTGCTACTCGCGAGGTGAGACATTAGCCTCGCGCGCACAACGAGGCTACCCGAGTCTCCGGTGCTAAGTCAACTCGCAGTCGCGATTGCGCGATGAAGGCCCCAAAGGCGCAATGCTCAGGCTACGGATGTGTTGCGGAGACTGCGCGATAACCATCATAGAACATTCATATATCGAAGTGCAGGTGAATTCGCGTCGTAAAACGAGGCACAACACGCTGATAATACAAGCGCCAGTGTAAAAGTCTTGGCTAACAGCTAACTGAGAATAGGCCGTATGAGTCACAATGAGTCAGAACGTCAATATCGTACCACTCGGACATGAAATTTCTTGACCCACACCAGAAAGCTCCGTTGTCGTGGCTGCGCTTTAGGAGGCCGACCTATATTGCCGTGGTATTGGAGTCTTCCCGGGGTATAATGGAGCCAATATCGATGACGGTGTAGAAGGTGAAGGTCTTGTGTTCTGGCTGCTTTGATGACGGACGCGACTGGTCGCTGTCGATCGGCATGGGATCGTCGGAGCGATATGTGTACGAGACAAGCATATTAAACTAGACAACGAACCAAGGAACCAGTGATTAGTACGCGATTCCCAGACCACATTTCGAACACTGCATTCACGCACCTTAACGTCCCCCCTCGCTTCCTTTCCGATAGTCACCTCGCCACCCACGACTGTAACGTTCGCCCGCTTCTCCAGCACACCGACCGTCTTCGCTTTACTCTTCGCCTCTTTCTCTCGCGCCAGCCTACTCCCAGCACCGCTAATCCCCAGTTCGTCGTCCTCGATCCCAAACATGTCTTCATCATCGTCGTACTCCCATGCCTCCGCAAACGCAGCAACAGGGAACGGCTGCATCGGCAACGAGATCGAATACGGGGATCTACGTGTCTTGCTATCGCTCCCGTCCGCCGCTGCAGCTGCGACGTGCACGCGGGCGACGGATAGCCGGACTTGGATAGGGTCGTAGAGCGGGTTGGTGAACGCGAGATGGAATGGGTATGAACGGCCAGCGAACATTCCGCCACCAGCCTTTTCTTCGCCGCCGGAAGCTGCCGCTGAGGGCCGCCCTGCAGTCTTCTTCATGGCTTCCTGGAGGTGCGGCAGGGTGACTCCGATCGCGGGAAGGTAGTTACCGGCGACGAGCTTGATCTTGTACCGCACCGACTGGGCCTTTTGCTCGGGCTTGATGAGGATATGGCGGCAGGTTGGACATCGTTTCGTGACTTTGGAATGTAGTGGGATGCGGAGGGGCCGTAGCTCGCTGGCAGATCAGAGAATGTTCATAAGCGTAAGGTCGTCAGACTGGGATGTATGCACACATTACCTCGTTTTGATCGACGTCGTCCAACTGTTTGCCCACCGCTGCTCCAGTGCCGCAACCTGACCTGCCGACTCTAGATGCTTCATATACTCCACGTCCTCATCGTCTCCTCCACCCGCGCCGAGTTGGTTCAGTACACCCACCTCGACGCGGCTCTTATACTCCGACATCTCGTCCTTGTTCGCCGTCCGGTCGCGCCCGGACCGGCTACGCGTGAGGGGCTGGTATTTGCTGACGCCAGGGATGTCGCGTGCGAGGGCAGCAGACGCGGCTGCTGTAGCTGCAGATGTATGGGAGTGGTGGTGATGAGAGGATGATAAGTTCGAGAGATTTGCTGAAGAGGAAAGCGAGGACGTGCGCAGGAATGGCTCGAAGTGCTCCTTGAGCCGGTCGAATTCTTGGGCTTCGGGCGCGGAGTCTTCAAATTTCTGGAGTTGCGCTGGTTGTAGAAGGATTGGGAGAGGCCGCGCTATTCAGTGCGAGCGAACTCTTTAATGGTCGTCGAAACGCACCTGCAAGCCCAGTTGGCTTCTCGAAAGTGATACCTACCGACGCCGAGTCCCATCGACAATAATTGCAATACAGAAAGAACGGCGCCTCTCCCACAGGACTGATCGCAACACTCCTCCCATCGTCTTCATCCGGAGGATCGGAAGCCACGACAGACAGCGTCGCTCGGCATAGAGGGCATGAAAAGCAGTTACGAGCGCATCTAATCAACGATGAGGGTTAATTCAGCGTCTCCGACGACATGAAAGGAACCCTCACCGATTCTTCTCAGCACGTACACTCGCGCTGGGAACCTCAAACAAGCAATTTGGGCAGTAATATCCGCTGACCTCCACCGAGACACAGCGGTTGCATCGTACGGCGTCGCACTCCTCGCAGAAGAAAAGGCTATGCAGAGGGTGGAAACTTGAAGACGACGAGGCCATGTGCGGCGGTGGAGGTTGCTGGACCGATGATGTTGAGAAACATGGGCAGTAATATTGGACAGACGCCATTGTCGTGAGCCAGCGCGGAGCAAGGAGTTGCTGGCAGGGAAAGATGACAGGAACTCAGAAGGCGCGGCGCGTGGGAGCCTCAGTTCAGACGAAATAGGGGCTTAACAAACGCTAACTTCCATTAACACCAAACACCCTAGCATGCTAAGCTGGAGTCGATTGGTTTTTATCATTGTTTACTAGGAAGCTGTAGATAAACCGTTTCAACAGGTACGGTTACATTTTAGCTGTTCACGAGGGAAATCATGACATATCCTACATCACACCATGCTCACACAAACGTCTCCATCGCTGCGTTGAACCAAAAATCAAAATCTCCTAATTAGCATTGTATCATGCTAAGCCAATGAAATGTTGGGATTTACCTTCAGTATGGTTGGAGCTTCCCGTGAGTTCTTCACTCGAAACCATTTGATTCAGAGGCATCCGCACCATGTCGTAATGCGGGAAGTTGGTATTGCTCACCGAGTCACCTCCCAGTCCACGCCTTATGTGCCTCGTCCAGCGGATTGAGACGCTGTTTCGTCTTGAGAGTTTTGTCCTCGAAACCAGACCCTTGGCGTGGCTGCTTCTCTGCCCCTGGTGTCCCGCTTGGTCATGTCTGCTGACACAGACCCAGATCTAAACGTAGAAGGTCCAAATGGTAGAGGTGACGTCGAGGCCGGAACGAGTGGGTTGGAATTAGGAAGCCACGAAATCCCATAATCCTCTGCAGAGATGGAGGGATCCCAGATGTAGATGTGATAACCTTCGTCCGATATGACCGCAGCGCGGGCGTAACTGCCAACTGAGAGTGGCTTTTCAGGTGACCACGCAGTCAGTATCGTCCCGTTTCCAGAGTAGAATCGTTTATCAACCTCAAGTGCGACGAGGTGATTATCAAGACGGACTGCCTTGAGCTTGCTAGGACGTCCTTGCAGTTCGCTTTTAAAACGAAGTGAAGCAACCCGTCTCAGAACCGGTCCGAGAGTTGTACGTGGAATCTCCAGGTAAGTAGCAACAAGTCCATCATCCTGCCGAGATGACCAAAGGACAAGAGCATAGTCGCCAATGAACATGTGACAGAGGAGCAAGTCCAGCAGTGGATTTGTACCAACGGGAAATATTCTGACAACAGCCAGATCATCCGCGCTTCGAAGATACACGGTAGTGCTGGCACACTCAGAAGTCATGACATACTGACCGCTAGGAGAGATGGACACCGTCGTTGTGCAGGATGAGACGGGCTTTGAACTCGAGAGTACCCATCTAGACCACATCCATTGCCATGTCGAGATACCACGCGCTCTCCCCACAACCATCAAATCACGAAAGTTCCGCCTGGCCAGAGCGCAACAAAGTGCAGGCCCTTCTTCGCCACTCAGCATGAGCAACGGATCCTCGTTGTCGACACTCTCAGAGCACTTCCACAAGAAAATCTTAAGATGGGAAATCAAGAGGACGGAGGTATTGTCAGACGAGAACGTGATGGCCGCTTCAGACCGTACGGTGTTGCCATGAGAGCAATGAGAGGTAAAGGGAGCTTGGAAGCGAGATGATGCGACAAGGCGACCAGAGAGGATGTCCCACAGATGCAAGCGACCGCTTTGTTCCCAAGAGACTACCCTGGTGCCGTTAGGAGAAATCGCAACACCTATGACTTGGCGAGAGGTGGCATCTTCAACCGACGGATGCCCAGAAGGCAAGGATGCCACTGTATCAATAGTGAGGACCCGAGCCGACCAATGAGGTCTCAATACTGGCATACGTGATACTTGAGGCTTGTCTTGTGCAATGAGAATGCGAAAACACCGGCGAAGCTCGCTGCTGAGAGGAGAAAAATGAAGCGCGCTATGATCCAATTTCGTATACCTGCAAGCTGGCGATTGAAATTCTAGGACAAGTCTTTCGACGTCGTAGAAAAGTTGTTGAAGTTGAGCACGCCCCTTCTCACTCCAAAGAGATTTCTGTAGGGTCATAAATTACATCGTCGAATGAGTGACTTCGTACACGCTCACCTCAACTGCACTGGACGCTCTACGGAGCATCGACATCAGTAAAGATGAAAAATGCTTGTCGCGCCTTGTACAAGGTTGTGCAACCCTGCACAAGGCAACAATTTGACCGTGACGCCGAAATCGGCAAGGCAAGTCTATTGGCGCGGCAAGGTCGCTTCGGAGGAGCGGAGTTTACACGGACAAGTGCCTACAAGGCAAAGAAATTTACTTCGTTCGGTATTCCTAGACCATATTCCAGCACCTGTACCTCACGGGATCAGTTGAATATAGTCATGCCGCTTAAGTTCCGGCGACATGACTACAGCCATCAAAATGCTCTATTCCACACACCGGCAGTACCCCCAGCAATAAGGTCAGTTATTCCATGTTGGGAATGCCCGTCAAATCATTCCGTATAAGGTATATGTCTGAAATCTCGCTAAGTGCTCCTTCCCCCCAACGAAACATATGACACAGTGCATTTGAGTCAGCCCCAGTATTATGACGTAGCGAGAACCTCGGCTTCGTCCCTTCCCGCCGCTCCCTTCCCGCCACTCCCTTCCCGCCGCTCCCTCCCGCGTTTCCCGTCGGCCCCTCCCGCCCTCCTCGCTTACGCCCTGGTGCCTCCCGCTCGCTTAGCCTCTCCTCCCTCCCGCCCCACTTGCTGCCCCTCCCACCCCGCTATCTTCCTGCTCGACGCCCCTTCTGCTCCTTGTATCCCTCACCCGCAGCGTTCCCCGCCATCTCCAACATTCCCCGCTACCTGCCTCTCCGTATCCG